CGTTTTCAAAGTTCGAAATAATTAAAATGACGTCATCAAGTAATAGTAGCCAATAGTCTATTTCTTCGTATCTGATCTAAGATAGTGAATCATTAAAATAATTAATCGTTCAGTGAAAAAAATTGTTAGACAACTGGTTGTTACATTTTCAGAGAGATTTCCTAGTGATGAATTTCAAAATGGTCGATTTAAGAATAGTGAATGCGAAATTTTTATTCAAAATTCGCATACGGAAATTAAAAAGAAATAAACGTTTGTAATGAATCTTAAAGTGAATCATTTATTTTTCCTGTAGTTAAATCTTATTCTCGCTACTTTCGAAAATTCGGCTCGTGTGCTTCGCACCGCATTTCGTAGTCGAGTGAAACTCGAATACCATCTAGTTAGTAGATGCTAGGCGTCTTTCCGCCATGCAAGAAGAAAAAAAGCGTCAGCTTCGTTGCCTGATACTCTGGCAGTGAATAGATAGATAAGAAGCATCTCGAGTTCAGTAGAGTGTACTAATTCAAAGTATTTATGATCAGAAAACTTCCTTTTCTTTTTGGTTCAAATACGACTTTGTTGACATTTTTACTTTTACTCATTTCACTATCTGAATAGATTAATCGACATTTTCTTACTAACCAATAAAAGTTGCCACGTCTACTTTGTTTCATAGTTAGTATATTTTAATTCTCTATGAACTTGAGATACTCAAAAACGTCGACTGTTTGAGATGGTTTTTAAAAAACGGAATTCTTTTATATGAAAAGTTTTAATTTTGTAACTTAGAAATAAATCTTAATTAGAGTAAGGCACTGATGCGAAACAATTTTTAAGCAAATGGCTGATTTTCCGATGATGTTTCTCATTAACTCTGATGTGAAAATGTGATCCAAAAATGACTTGGTAAATCAAACCAACAATTTCTAGTAGCGACAGAAACAAAACAAAGCTGCCAAATGGCAGGCTCATAGTCGTGAAACTTGATTTTTTTCTCGCAGTGTCTTCGCCTGAAGGAAATAAAATGATATGTTAAATTTCTAACTTCTCGTGTATAAATCAAGATTCGATTGCATACGATGAATCATTATAAAGCATCGTTTTTATTTTTTTTTCGAAAACAATCTATCTATATTTAGAATTCAATCATTTGTTACGTGTTCATACAGTGACTTTCATTGTAAAAAACGAACAGCTTGATCTATTGTTACATTTGTTTCTCTATAAAATAATAAGTCAAGTACAAGAACTATAGAAAATATGAAACTCCAGCATAAATAGAAAAAGATGCTGATATTTTGTTTTTTTGATTTTTCAATAATGGCGGAAATGAACAATTATTTCTGCCCTTTTCTCATTCATATTCACTTGCATAAAATGCTTTTTAAAAACAGGCCGTTTTCTTTTACATTAAGAACAAGTGGAAAAGCTCGAGATTCATCGTCAATAACATCACATCGAAATGTTTCGTTGGCGAATATTGCTACAGCATTTTTGAGCGAGCGAAAAACATCATCACGACGTCAAAGTAGTAATCGTCGGAAACAACGATTGACAGTTACAGACAAACAAAATAACGATTCAAGGCTCTCAACAAATTGTGCAAATACAAACAATCCTGGTCTAGGACAACAATTCACAGTTCAAAATACGGATGGTGGAATCACAACTATTTTTATGGCTCATACTAGCACCGCAAACGCCAATAACAAACATCGAACAAATGCGGTAATAAAAATCATGTAGTTTTATATATATATATATATAGAAATAACCTCAGTAATTAGCAAGTATTTGTAAATTTCTGGAAAAATTCTCTTTTAATGTATTGTATCATCTAAAAATCATTAGACTATTGTTTATTCACTTCAAAGATTCTAGTAATCTCTGCTTTTTGTCTTGTTACCGAGCAGACTAAAGAACAAAAGTCAGTTACACTTTGCGAAATATGACTATGCCTTAAACAATTAATAATTGAACTCAGAAAAGATCAAAAGTTATTTTTTCCCATCAAGGTTCCTAGTTGTATTTAGTTCTTGGATTTACTTACAATAAAGTCAACCGAAATACTCTTAATTAGTTTTCGGATTTCATATGTAAGATTGAATCTGACGAGAGAGAGGGAGAAAACACAAAGTAAAAACTATAGTTTTCCATTTAGAATTGATTTCTTTTTCTTTTTCTTGATGAAACACCTTTTCTGATTAATATCTGCTATGACTAGTAGAGAAAAAATGAAGCTATTTTGGAACTGCTTTTTCCTTTCTTTTTTCGTGATATAATTTGCATTGAAATGAACATCAATAAGAGATAAATTTATTTATTTTTGACGTATTTCGATATTTTTAATCAGGTAGATATGCGTATCTACTATTTTCATTTCCATCCATGGTGGGATTGTTGTTGACGTGACGACAAACAAGACATATATTAAATTTATCTTCTGTGCTTTTACATTCATATAAAAAAGTCATATTGAATCAGCATCGGTCGTTTTTTAGAAAGAAGATTGACTTTGTTGTGCGCAAATGGATTCATATTTTTTGTCAATATATGTCGCCTTTTGTTTTAACTTGTTTTGACAAGCATTACACATATACTTTTATGTGCATGCCTCACACTAACTGCAAACGTCAAACAAGCGTATGCTATTTCCTCTCTTTTTTCTCATCTCTGAGTTTTCTTCTTGCAATATTCTATCTATTTTCCAGCTAACAGCTGGTCATACTTCTTCTTCCGTAGTAACATGCTATGATGCACTACAGGAATAAGTGCTGCAGAAAAAAGGAGAGCAACAAATAATAAGAGAAGCCAACAAGAAAAGATCTTCCTTAGTTCGTTGTCAGAAAATAGTGTAACATACATCATAATCCATTGTAATAAAGAATATGAAAGTCATCTCTTAATACGAATCCGAATAATCAAAACGATGTGCTAGAAATCATTAATTAGTATCAAGTTCATTGACATATGTCAAATCATCAAGTATGAAATCGACTGCACCACTTCGAGTTCATTTGAACGTTTGTGAACAATCATCACAATATTCATCATTTGATCCAAACCATATGTCGGTACCATCAACAGTAATATATGGAAAAAATAAATCAAATACAACTATTCCTCATGCAATATCAGGGAATCTTGATTGTAACGCACAAAAATTTGCTCGTTTTAGCAGTGTTAGTAGTAGTTATACTCAATTTTTAAAACAACGTGATATGGATAAAGTGAAAAAAATTGTAAGTGATATTCAGAAGAATTTGTCCACAAATTGTAAGGTGCGCCAAGGTCAAAAATCGAGCAGGAGAAAAATTTTTCTTTTATTATTACATGGTTGGGTAGAGCTCGATAAGTAGATCATGAATATCATCTTTAAAATGTTTCCAGGATTATGTTTCGACTGAGAAATTTTCAAAAGACAAACTGCATCTGAAAAAGTGAATATTTCACTTTTTTTCGAGAAACTCGAAATTTACCTAGTTTAACAATCTTCTAACTTTCGGAAACTATCATCATCGGATTCAGCATAAAAATCTGAATCTACTCGTGTAACTTTGACCAGTAAAAAACATAAGTTTCATGTTTGAGGAGCTCAACTATTCGAACCGTCAAGTGATAGCCAACAAAATTATGCATTCAAGTTTGAAAAATATTGTCTCCTCTCTGAGAAAATCGATTTTTTTACTAGATCGGTGACTACAGCTTACAGAATTGCCCTCTTATTTTTTGGTTTTGACTATCATAAATTTTATCAAAAAATAATTTTCATCAAAATACCAGCCTACTACCCCCGAGTCATTTTTTTTCTTGATTCTACCCTGTAGTCCCAAACAGGTAAAATGTTGATGAAAATTATTTTTTGATAAAGTTTATGATAGTCAAAACCACAAAATAAGAAGGAAATTCTGTAAGCTTTAGTCACCGATATAGTAAAAATCGATTTTCTCAGAGAGGGATCAATATTTTTCGAACTTGAATGCATAATTTTGTTCGCTATCACTTGACGGTTCGAACGAAGTAAGAAAGTCCGAGAATTGCTTTCAAAAAAAAAATACTTGATGGTTTTGCGAGACATCAATATGAAAGTGTCTATATGGGGACCTAGTTGAGCTCCTCAAACATGAAACTTATGTTTTTTACTGGTCACAGTTACACGAGTAGATTCAGATTTTTATGCTGAATTCGATGATGATAGTTTTCGAAAGTTAGAAGATTGTTAAACTAGGTAAATTTCGAGTTTCTCGATAAAAAGTGAAATATTCACTTTTTCAGGTGTAGTTTGTATTTTGAAAATTTCTCAGTCGAAACATAATCCTGGAAACATTTTAAAGATGATATTCATGGTCTACTCGTCGAGCTCTACTCAACCATGTAATAATAAAAGAAAATTTTTCTCCTGCTCGATTTTTGACCTTGGCGCACCTTATTTATAATTCGTCATAAATGTTTCAATCATTTTTTGAATCATTAAATTGTTTTTTAATTAAATTAACAATTTTTTCATAGTTATCCCAAGAAGATCAACGATTTTTGTTATCATCAAGTGAATGGGTCGAAGATGTGAAAGATACTGATCCGTATGTTTCTGTTATTAGTCGACTTGGTAAGAACAAAAACTATTACATTCTTTTCTTATCCCGTTCTATATCTGCTTTGATTTAGGTGAAGCTATACAAGATTCAGAAACATTAGTCGAATTCGTTAAGAAATCTTTTTCCATCGTCATTAATACATGTAATGTATAGATTATACAATCTCTTGGGAAGAGCAACAAATCAAGATATTTTTTGATAGGAAATTTTATTGAGAAATATTTAGTGCCAATTAGATATTGTGTTAGATAAAAATGAAAAATGAGACATGCGGAACCAATCAATTATATAAGTGAGAAACAAGAGTCCATTGTAAAAAATCAATTATGACGAGTTAATAAACTCGATTAATGAGCAAATGCGAATAGGAGAAAAACTTCTCAAGACGCTTTTTTATCAATGGAAAATTGATAATTTCCTTCTCTTAATTACAAGAAGATATACATGATAATAATTCAAGAGAAAAAGTACCACTTATTTCATATTCTGATTATGAAATCTAAAATCTCTTATTACATATCTAATGAGAAGAAACTTTTGTAAAAATTTAATTTCCTTCTTTTTTTATTAGTGTTGCATTTTTACATTTCCTCAGCTACAAATGATAAGTTATGAGCTGGAATTCCATTCTATTCTCTTTGGAATTCATGATTATACAGTCGACTATTGTAAAATTAATGATATCTAGAGGAAAATACCAAAAATATTTTTAAATAGATTTTTACGCTCTAAAAATATGTTCACTAATATCGATGAAGAGTTGCCTTGAATAGTTCTTTCAAGTATTTGTTTGCCAGGCTTGCTTTTAACGATTGTAACGCCGGAAGTTTTTATCTACTTGAAAGTCTGACATATGATTTTCTTCCGTCAGAATAACGACTCTCCGGGGGAAATAATAGAAGAAAAAAACGAAACTACTACTTCTTAGAAGAATTTTCTGCCGAATGAAATCATATTTTCAATTATAATCGTTTGCTTTTTTTTGTTTAGACGGAGCTACAGTTTTATTGGCATCGATAACTTTTTTTCAGATAATACTTTTCTTCGTAGGTAAAAAACATCGTATATTATGATTGAATTTGTTCAAGTTGAAAATTTTAATTTATTTGGGTTTCAGGTGTTAAATATTTAAATGACTGCCCAGTACAACCTAATCTACCTGTTTATTTACTTGTTGTCGGTGCCATGGGTCTTGTGCGTGTACTAAATTTACTATGGAAATTATTTCGTCGAAGACGCATGCGAAAATTAGAAGGAATTGAACTTGATCAAGAAGAAGAAACTGAAAATAGTTTGTATTCTTTTCTGTTAATTGTTTCAATATTCTAAAAAAGAGCCGTTTTAATTTAGATGGTTCTGATTTCACAGATGCTGTTCTAGATCTATTCCTTCTTGCTTGGTTTATTGTTGGACAATTTTGGACTTGGCGTGTTTTTATGCCAAGTTTTGAATTCGGATTAGAAGATCCTAATAATTATTGTCATAGAAACGTATACATATTTACGCTTGTCCATATTGCATTTGTTTATACTATGTTTTTAGCAGTTGTTGTTTTTCTTATTGCACTTACATGTTGTGCAACATATCCACATTTAATTATTAAGACACCACGTTAAATAAAGCTAAAAATATTTATATGTATATATATATATATATATATATATATATATAAATATATTTTCAATGAGTATGATTAGACGAAGATGAAGCCAAAAATTGTAAAAGTGAAAAATATGAATATGTAAAAGCACGCGAAACTTTTTGTTCAGTTACTAAATCTTTTAATTCTGCATACATCACATTATTCGATCGATGTTGTAATTCTTTAGCCATGATTTCAGCTGCACGTATAGTAGCCATGCGCTTTGTTTCAGCTAACGCTGCTTGTAATTCTTCGCCACGTTTAAAACGTTCACGTTCGGCTAGCAGACGTTGTCGAGCACGTTCCTCATTTCGCGCACGAATATAATCTTCACGTTCTTCAGCATTCATCATACTCAAGAGTGTTTCTTCTTCAGCACGAATTTGTGCATCTAGTTCTATGGAAAACGAAATTTAAATTATAGATTAAATGGATATTACAAGCAATTAGAAACAAAATACATACGAGCAGCTTGTTCTCCTTCGATACGAGTACCATCGGGAATGCCTTTTTGTCGTTTGAGTCGATCCATTTTTCGATCGTATGCTGCTTTCAATACGCGAGTACGTTCGGAAAATAATTTTTTTCGACGCTCTTGATATTCTTCGTCAGTTAGACCCTCACGGTCAATATCTAATTTACGTAGATCACGTTCCCTAGAAAATATTTTTTTATTGATCGCAAAGAATAAATTGGATAGATATTAGTAATTAATTCATCAAATTCGTTAGGATTAGAAAATATTTTCACCAAAATCTATTTTGACTTACCATTGTGCAACACTTGAATTGACAAAAACAAATTCAAAATTTTACTTTCATTCTCATACGAGAAATAAAACAATAGAGAATTGATATCTTACCGTTCTTGTTCATCAGCATTCAAAAGATCACTTGCACGATCAACATCAACCAAACTTTCTCGTTGTTTTTTTAAACGATTTTGAATCGCAAATTCTTCTTGTCGTTTCATTTCAGCTACGCGACGTTTTTTCTCAGCTATCATTTGTTCTTTTCGTCGTCGTTGTTCATAAGTACTTAAACCATCTAATTGTTTTTCCTAAACATTTATAAATAGAAAAACTAAGAAATTCGAATAAGGGAAAATTGTTCTTCATACGTCATCGGATGTCCAATCGACTCCATCGTCTTGTCCCGAAGGACTTTTTACTCTAATTGGCCGTTGTTTTGATGCAGCTTGAGATTGACGTCTAACATCACTAAGACTATCAACCGGTGATTCGGATGTATCGTCATCAGGAGATAAAGTAGACTCCTAATTAAACCCAATCATACTTTTTTCTATAAATTTCTAGTGCACATTTTCTTTTTATACTTTCTTCTTTGTTCGTGTTGAAATGCCAGATGGTAGAAAATTCCTTTCTTCTTCAGTCAAAGCTAAACAAAACATAGAAAATAGGCAAATTTAGATTTTTTTAAATTTTCTCTATGATCTCATTTAAATTTCGGCTATATATGTCACTCGCAAAAACAACTTTCTTTCTTAACTCATCAAACAACAAATATGACTTTTTTTTATAAATATAATTATTCAATAGCGCATACCCGACATTCGAGTGAATCCACTGTTGGTTCTTGGAATTCTCAGTCCTCGAGCTTCACGAGCTAAATATAAAAAATAATTATTTTATTTTACTAAAAGATAAGCCTTATTTTGTCGTACATTCGATTATGTTTGCTAACTGATCTTTTGTTACCGTTTCTTTGACTTGCAATGATTGCTCTAGAAAACATATAAATCAATCAATAATTCAAGAATAGAAGTTTCAAAATTGAATTCGAAAACTTTTAATGAGTAAATTGATGTTAAACTCAACGATCTATAGCTACAAAAGCTGAAAAACGAGTTTATCGATCGAGGTTGGAGTTTACTTCATGAGTCTTTATGATTATGATTATTTAGTAATCTGGCATCACCGTATAAATCATAGAAATAAGACTTTCCTTTAATGAAAATTAATAAAATTAGCATTCAGATTTCTCTAGAAATCCCTTTAATTAGTAGCATGACTAGAAGAATCACATGCGATCGATGCTGAATGGGTGTACTGTGTGCTTCAGGTAATTCAATTCATATAGTGTCATTGATGGAGACTCTAATGTTTTTATTTAGAACTTGTCTGTATGGAGACATGCGATCTTTAAAATCAACAGATTTCTACTGGCCAATGATTCTTCTGTTTACAATCGTAATTCATTGATCACGTGTAAATATGTTCAATCCTAGTCACACACGTCTATTTTAATGTTTTTCTTACTTCCAGTTGTTGGATCAGTTACTAATTCGTAGACTTTTCCATCTTTTCCAACAGCAGGTTTCATACGAAAAACTGTTTCTCCAGTCTTTTCATCAACAACTTGTTCGAATTCGATATTTTCCAGTCCATAACTTTCCATTACATTTTGACTTAACGTGAAAACTTCTTTTCCTGTTTTCGGATCTATACGAACTGTGAATGCATCTTGATCTAAATCAATTGTTGTTGTGATTGTTGCCGCTTGAAGAAAAACAAATAGATTATAAATCAAAAAGAAATTGATTACTGCTCTTTGTTACTTTTTTCTACATGTTTTTGTGGTATAAAACGAATTGTTTGTTCGCCAGTCTGAGGATCAATTATCATTTCTACTTTTTGACCATTTAGAACATTAACTTTTGGTTTCATAATTGTTTTTCCAGTTTCCGTATCAACTTCAATATCAAATTCTAGATCTTTAACATTCGATAATCCCTTTCGACGAATCGCTTGATCGGTAAAACGATAGAATTCTTTTCCAGTTACAGGGTCAGTAACTTTTTCAAAATCATTTTCATCAATCGATGCTTCTACGGGTGGAGCTAGTGAGTAGAACAAAAGATCAAAATTAATTAGAACGGAAAAATTAAGGAATAAAATAATTACGTGTTCGTCCTTTTGGTCGTTTAAGTACTATCCTTGGTAGGCCCGTTTTTTCGTCGACATAAAATTCAAATTTTTGTTTACCACCTAACTTTCCTGTTTGATTACCGCCTTTAACTCGTATTTGTTCTTTGCCAGTATTTGGATCTGTATAAACTTCGAATTCAACGTCACGTAAATCATCGAGACCTTTTCTAGCTGCTGCTGCTGCTGTTAGTTTAAGTACGCGTTCACCGGTAACTTCATCAATAAATTCTTCAAAATCTTCATTAGCTAAATCGTCTTCAATTGTTTCAACTAAACACCAAAAACGCTAGCTAAGAAAAGACGAAGTATTTTTCTTACATTGAACGTCCACTTCTTCCTTCCTACGTAATGTTTGTTGGCCAGTTTTAGGATCAATCACCATTTCATATGTCACATTACCTTTTGTTACTTTTCCTGTGCTAGTTTTCATTTGTATTACTTGTTGGCCAGTATTTTTATCAATTACAAACTCAAAATCCACACTATCCATATCAACAAAACCTTTTCGTCTCGCAACTTCTTTTTTCATACGTAAAACTTTCTTGCCGGTTTTATTGTCAACGATTTCTTCAAAGTCACTAGCATTTACATCCAGATTAGTTACTTCAACTAAATATTACAAATATAAATGCAGAACAAAATTCAATAATCTATTTACTGGTCTTGGGAATTTCTTGAATCATTCGAAGTGATTGTTTACCTGATGCATCAGTTACTATTTCGAATTTTACATCTGACGAAAGATAAACAGATCAAATGAACATTTAGATTATGTCGACAACACTTACCATTGGGTCTAGAGTTATCACCTTGCTTGACTCGAATCGCTTGCTTACCAGTTTTAGGATCGATATAAGTTTCAAATTGAGCATCAAGTAAGTCCATCATACCAGCCCGTTTAGCTACGTCAACTTTTAATTTGAGTACTTTCATACCTGTTTTTACATCAATAACTTCTTCGAAATCTTCCAAATTAATTTCTTTTTCAGTCACTTCTAATTCAGCTAGAATATAAATTATTGAAAATAAATCAATGTATAAAAATATTGCTATTAAATTTTCATACGTGTTGGTGGTCGTTCTTTTTTAACTTTAATTGTTGTTCGACCCGATGCATCCGTTATTAATTCAAATTGAGCATCACCTAAATTTAAAAAGAAAATGTTTAGCCTATTGAAACAAACAAAATATTAGCGAAAAATAAATGTACCAGCACTGCCTTGCTTGCCACCGCCTTTAATTACAATTGTTTGCTTTCCATCAGCACCGGTAACCATTTCGAATTGTACATCAAGTAAATCAGTTAGACCTTTACGTGCAGCAGCGCCCTTCTTTAATCGTAATACTTCAAGACCAGTATTAGGATCAATGACACGTTCAAAATCATTTACATTTAATTGACTCTCAATAATATCCATATCATCTATGAATAATATTTATGAATAACTGTTACCGTAAATAATTAGTAGTCTCTTACCTTTATCTTGTTTAATAATGGTTCGTTTAATTATCTTTTGTACGCCTGTTACAATATCCACAATGATTTCAAACGTTGTATTTGTTCCACCACTAAGAGAAGATGAAGGAGATTTAAGAACGATTCTCTGTTGACCAGTGACAGGATCAATAACAATTTCAAATACTGCATTGGCTAATTCATCTAAGCCTTTCGCTTTGATTACATCAGCTTTCATTCGTAATATTTCTCGGCCAGTTTTGGGATCAATCACACGTTCGAAATCATTTAAATCAATACAATTTTCTGTTACTGTAACAATTGCTGCATGAAGAAGAAGAAGAAGAAGAAAGAAAATCAAACAGTATATTTTTTCTTGTTGATATTTTCATTCAAATCCATCAAAATAAGACTTACGTTCATCTGACTCATCAGCATCATCAATAGGAGCAATCATTCGGATCGTTTGTTTACCAGTTTTTGCATCGGTTACAATTTCTACTCGATTACGACTTGTCTCATTTTGTCCATCATCTTTTATACGTACAACTTTTTGGCCTGTTGTTGGATCAATAACAACTTCAAAATTGGTATTCGCTAAACCAGTTAATCCTTTTCTAGCAGCAGCATCAAGTTTTAATCTTAATACGGTTTCACCGGTCTTTTCATCTTTGACGAATTCGAAGTCGTCCATTGCTATATCTGATTGAATTACAGGAGCTAAAAGTCAATCAATACATATTGATTATGAAACGAAATAATAATCGACTACGGAAACAAATTTCTTACGTGTCTTTGAAACTTCTTTTTTCAATACTAATATTTGTTTGCCAGTATCCGGATCGAAAAAAATTTCGACTAAAAAACACAGCAACATAAATCTATTATCTATTTTTTTTTTTCGTAAGCAAAAAGGTCTTCAATGAGGAATTCACTCAACGACGAACGTAGTTCAGCCAGAAAAACGTCTCCTAGAAGATCTTAATCAAATACGATCCTTAACTATTCATGATGGTGTTACAACAACACCATTAAATCAAACAAATCTTTTCGAATGGCAACCTATTATAATAGGACCTGATGGCACACCTGATGAAGGTGGTCTTTATGAGTTGTATCTTTCAATTCCGTGTAATTATCCTGTGAAGCCTCCGAAAGTCCGTTTTAAAATTGAAATATTTATAAAAATAGTGATATTTGCATCGATATATTGCAAGGTCAATGGAGTGAAGTCATGAGTATAGAAAAAATTTTAATGTCAGTTCGTAGTCTATTAAATGAACCAAATGTAAATAGTCCAGTTAATCCTGAAGCCGCTCTATTATATAAAGAACATCGAAATGAATTCTATCGACATATACATAGTGATATTAATAAGCAATTAAATGAAAATTTAGTATTACTAACACCGTTAAATTCCAACGATGATCTTATTAAATAATGCTCACCTGTTAAATTATTGTAATTTGGTAATGATTTTATTTTAACTATTTCTGCACCGATTTCTTCATCTGGTACAATATCGAAATTGGCTTCGATTAAGTCCATGAAACCTTTCTGTTCAGCGAAATCCTTTTTTAATCGATAAATATATTCACCATTTGTTTCATCGAATATTGGATCGAAATCATCAGTTGAGATTTCTTCAGAAATAATTACAGCTAATCAAAAGAAAATGATATAATGGAAGATTTTCTCTATTTTTCTCAAAGAAATTCATTCAAAATATATTTACTTTTTGTTTTCTTCTTTGCTACTTTGCCTTTGATTTTATTTCTTCTTACGAGATATGCACTTTTTATACGAATATGTTCGTCACCTGTGTCAGGATCTATGTATATTTCAAATGCTTCTATTGGATAATCCATAAGTGCCATAAGAACATCGTCTGTGATTTTTAAATGTTCTAGACTTCCTTTACTTACTAAATCAAATAATCAATTTTTTAAATTAAACACTACGTTCTTTTGTTTCTCTTACAAACAAGTCCAAGAGTTTCTCGAAGAATTTCTCGATAGTCATCATCGGATAGACTTTCAAGTCTTTCGTCAAGAAGATATTTTAAGTTGCGTAAATTTTCAATAATTGCAAACTGAAAAGAAAAAATGAATTTCCTAGTCAAAAGTAAAAGTTGAGAGAAATTATATTAAATTAGTTATAGCTAAGATGTTTACGAAGATTGCTATTTGAAAATACATCTCTTCGCCGTTCTTTTACATAATCAATCAGCAATACCAAAAACTAGATTTACATATTTAGATAGATTGGTATCCAATATCGAATGAAAGAGATTTACCATCTTAAAAATTTAGCTATACCTCAGACTAATATGATATTCTTAATCTGATTGACGAACTAAGACAGAACTACAATTATGCATTATTCGATAGTTTAAATTTACATTTATGAAATTGTAAATGTTTATATTCAAATGAAACTGCTTCCATAGAAAAATATGCATAACCGTTCCGTGTTAGTGTATCAATTGAAAGTTGAATAGCTATAATATCGATATGTACGCTAAGTTCATCGGCGATAGCAATACAACATTCAATCCAATATTATGTATAAATACTAATTATGTACCTGTGCATCTTGCGCAAGATGATGTCCAGAACTGGTACGCTTCAATATAATTCTAGCTAATGATTGTGCATGATTTGCCAGTGCCGTAAGAAAGTCTTTATCTTGTAAATCGACTTTACTTACTACAAAGATAGAAAAGTAGTATTACGAAAAAGAAAATTTTTCTCAATCGAATTATATACATCTTCGTTGTTTGAATAAATCAAAAAGACCTTTCACTTGTTTTACATAATTTGGATCAGCACCATTTTTAACTAAATCATTGATCCACATATCGTAAACCCAAATGGTAAAACTTAATGATGCATCGATATCACCAGCATGAACATTTATTGCTAAAAACAAATAAGAATCAAATAGATAAAAATAAAATATGATCGATGAAGCATACTTCGTCTGATCAGTGTTTCTGTGTCGCCGATTGGATCTAAATAAATCGTTGGTGTTGATGTCAATAGTTAAAACAAATAATTGATAACATACGTTTAGATCCATGCGCACCAGAAGGTCGATAATCTGGTTTATATAGATAAGGTCGTTTGACTACTGGTGGAGTTCGTGGCTGTTGATATGCCCAAGATGTAAATGCGAAAAGTGGCAATTCTAATTCAAAATCAAATCTTAGAATAAAAGAAAAAGCAAATGAGTATCATACGTGATTCGGCTCCTAATCGAGTTTTACTATTTGAATAAGCACGAGTACGAGGTTGCTGCTGTTGTTGTTGTTGCTGTTGTGTTGGAATTGCTTCACTATGCATGGACAAGGTCGATTGAAGCACAGCTATATAAAAATGAATACGATTGATTTAGAATTGCAATCTATCGATTGATACCGACCGTGATCTTGTATTTCTTGAGCAATTCGTTTTTGATGGTGATCTGAAAGAATTAATCGTCAAGATTATTTTCGTGCAAATTTTATTTGTAAAAATACATACGTTTACGGCCCGTAAATGGTGAAAGTCCAACAGGCGGTGGAGCAGGAACCAATGCGTGCGATTGTGATGGTACTATGCGTCTTTTTTCAAGAGGCAGATCAAAACTCCACGATTGAAGATCAATTTGGCAATTAACATCACCACCGTTTAAATTTAAAGCTAATAGAATAGTTTGAATCAATTGATTATACAATTAAAATATCTGATCCTACTTCGCCGAATAACTGTTTCATCTGGTAAACGTTCACGTTTTGTTCCGAGAACGATTGGCACACAGGGTGCAGTTATTCCTTGTTGATCACTGTTTTCTACTACTATCGAATTTGCCGAATGATGATGATGAGAAAATGGGTCATGTTTTATCGGAATATTTACATGTACGTCTATTATTTTGAATAAATTATTCAAGAAAAATCTTTTATTTCTAGTATGCAAACGTACTTTCTGGATGACCTGATGGTCCGCTAACCAAGAGAACTTCGCCATCAGGTGCAATTAATAATGCGCCCGGTGGAACCATTGCTGAATTTTTTGATTTTTCTGTTCCACGAGATCGATGCGTATAAGCAGATCGTAGAAAATTTGGTTCTATTAGTAAAATAAATAAAATGACTTCAATTAGATTGGCACTAATCGATCAAACCTCGCATTATTATAGAATTTTCTGTTATATTCATTGCGGATGGATGAACATGTTGATCTAGATAGAGACGACAATGAATCTGAATTATATAGAGAAAACAATGGAATACCGTGTTCCTCATCTGTTTTTGTCCCAGGTGAACGTGTTACATTACGAAGAAGTGTATCTTCTGTTGGATCGATAAGTGTTGTTTCTCTGCTTATATTATCATTAGTATTAGTATCATTTTTATTATTATTATCATTAGTATTAGTATCAGTTTTATTATTATTATCATTAGCATGATCATTATCATTTTCTTCTCGAATCGAAGCAATAGTTAAGAGTCTTTCGGCTTCTTCTATAAATATATTCATGAATATAAAATTCTGTGAGAACCTTGCCGTTTGTTTTTACCTTGAATACTCAACGGTGATGTACCACACCGATCTGTTGCAAATGTTTTTCCAGTTCCTATTCTTGAGAAATCTTGTTTTGAACTTTTTGATGAATGTTGACGATTAAATAAATTTAGTAAAGATTTATCTTTTTCAACTATATATTTAATTAAAATTTATCCTATGAAATTAAAATGTTCGAATCGAATATTTACTTAGTTGATTTGTTGTTGTTATATGATCTTGATGTACCTGTATGGGTGTTAAATGATGTTTGAAACTTCCATGATCTACAGATTTACGTCTTGTTTTTACTGTTAATTTATTTGGAACAGAATCAGTATCAAGAGATTTTCGTAATTTCGTAGATAATTTTACTGATGGATTTGGCTGATGTCGTGTCGATGCAAATTCTTGATGAGATGAATTTGGTAACGGTGCTAATAGACGAGATGCACGCATAACTAAAAGGAAAAATCAATAATGAAAACAAAATAGAATTAATTAAATTATTTAACCTTTCGAATGAACAAAGTCACTCATAGTTTGAGTATAAGCAGTATTGAGTTCATCATTAATTGATGTATCAGTTTGTTGTTCGTTGCTACATGTTTCATTTGCTCCTTTAGTTGGTATAACTGGAAAAGAAAAATCAAAATCAAAATTAAATTAAATTAAATCGAATTACTAATCGTCTGCATTTGTCGATTTCGAGCCCATCTACTTCCTGGCATTTTACCAAACATATAATTTTCGTGTCCTAATAATTGATTTGCAGCTTGAGAATTTTTATGATGCTAAATCAAAATATTTTGCATAGAAATTTTCGAATAAACTCTTTCGTTTACTTGATGCCGATCGCTGCGTGTTTCTAATTGTAAAAACGTTAGAGTACTTTCATCCACGAGTGGAATATCCATTGTAGAATAGCTTTGACTCATATCTGAATCTCGTACTCGATTAAGTGCGTCTTCAAATATTTCCTGTAATACAAAAAGAACTCTTTGAAATAGATTAAAAAATCAAAATTTACAATATTTTGTTGGTCAGCAATATTCTGCAAGGCTGTTTGTATAAGTAAATCGGCAAGGATTTTTTCTTTTTCAGATTGCGCTAATGTTTCATAAGATAAATGAGCTCCTTTTGAATCGAATATCTATTTAGCAAGAAGAAGAAAAACACAATATTGAAGAAAATGTTTTTATCTATCGATATACTTGTAATGGGTGTTGTACCGGAGAATTCATTCGTTCTGTTTCTTCAGGATCTAAATGAATACGAACATATAATAGTAATAGAAACATGAACAAAAACAATGACACAAGCCATTTAAACAAGTACTATTTTCAATTTTAAAAAATCGATAATTATCTGATACGAATACTGGCGAATGTTGAGCTAAATCTGGATTTCGATAAATCTAAGAAGAATAGAAAAAAAGACATTCGTTTTATAAATAATGATAAAAAATCCGCATAATGCTCATATACAAACAGGAGGAATAAGAGAAATTTCGTCGCTAAGTATATGTGTTTTCATCATTGAATAACGGTGACTTCGAGAAGCTGAATAATCACTATCAAGAATAGCTACAAATATTAATAAAAATCTTGTGTCTATTTTCCTAAAAGACGATTATCTTACAATCAATATCTCGTTTTTTGTCTTCATGACTGGCAATCATAAATCGTCGTTTGATAGCAACGCTTGGACTAATACCAGCATATTTTGATGCATGCGAACGTTTCTTTGATGGTATTTTCATATTGATATAGGTACCATCTTCATCAACAACGCCATCCGCTAACTGATTCTAAAATGACGATTAAATTCATTTATTTTGTTTTCTTATCGTTTTTCTATATCATACTTCAGGAGTTCCACCATAGGCTAAGATACTTCGCTTTAATTCACCATATTTAAGTGGTGGTGGACTTATCAGAGAAGGCGAATTTAAATTATGATGTAAGAGTCTCCTATCGCGACGAGATTTTGATTTTGAATTTTTCATGAAATCAGTCTCAGCAAATATAACAAGTGGACCACGTCTATTAGAATATCAATTGTTTTTCTTAAACATCTAAATAAATCATATTTTACTTTGTTGAATATGTTTTTGGTATATAAGGACATTGATTAGGTTTTGAAGAATGCATAAGTGGTTTTTCCTAATGCCAATGAGAATATTCGATATATTTAATTTTGGAAAAACAAAATTTCAAGAAATATTTATATTTACATTGGAATCGGGATAGATTTCTAAACGAGAACCACTTTCAGAAAATTCGACATGACCGCGACTTAATTTCGACAGATGAAGTGCATTTGCCATATCTTATTCCGTCTCGAATTTGTTGATTGTCGTCTTTTGAATTGAATCAATGTATCATATATAAAAAAACAGTGTTCATTTCTTTCTTGCTTTCTTTCTTCCTTCGATTTTTAACAGTACGACAAATAATTTTTGTCAAGATATGTTTCTGTGCAACAAATAGCATTAGCTGATGGCAACATTTGCTGAAAAAAAAATACAGTCAACCATTATAATCATTCATTGATGTTATTGCTGATCAAATAAATGGAATCAACAAGTGAGTATTGTGTTGTTTTATTCGGCAAGGTGAACATTTTTGACATATTAACATGTGAGAACAAGTAAACAGGGTATATTCGATTTTTTTTTGTTAAACCATAGTCATTCTGAAATCCTAGAATGGCGTTAAATAAGTTATATTTCTAAGTGCAAAGAATTATGTTCGAATTCGCCTATGGCAAATGTATGCTGTTTCTCTGTTGTTAAGCGCTTGGGGTATCGAAGTTGCTTGAACTCAAATAAATATCAAATAGTGATCGATGGTCGATCGATGTATGATTGATATTAAAACGAAAATATATGCTTATAATTTGTTCTTTTATTTTAACCTCTTGGAAATGATTTTATACGTTGTTTTTGGCTAATTTATTACAATGGTTACACTAGATTCGGTCAGTGTGTCCGGCCGGCCGGCCGTTAACACGATAACCTTTGAAAGCCTCATCCAATTGTCATGAAATTTTGTACACATAATGATCTCATTAATATCTCAGTCAAGTTCGAAGATGAGAAGGATCCGTCAAGAAATAGCGGAGTCATCGAAAAACTTGTCAGTATTGGCCAGGCCATCCCTGAGGGGGAAGGGACAGGGATTTTTTCAAAACAAAAACTTTTTTTTGTTAGAATTATTCCCAACATATACAAATCGACTCAGTTTTTGCAGTGCACATAACAATCGGATGCGATATCTGATGTTTCCTAATTTATGTGATTTTGTTTTTATTTTTTAAATTATTTCTTATTTAATATTTCAAATGAGTAAAGATCTTCTTTTGTATGGGAAAGACTTTGCTACAGACAACCATATAATTACAATGTCTCTCACAATAAATTTCATTCCGATATGTTTTATTGTAAATCTCGGTGTTCATTTCTCGTATAAAATGTAACAGGGAGAATCAATTTGAAGTACAAACGATGGCATGATTATAATGTAGATAAATTAATTCGACATTCCTAGAACTATCTTCGACCTATAATGAGTTTCATCGGGTATTTTTATGATACCGTACATGTTGCATAAGACAGATTAAAGCATTGGAATATAAACAATAAATCTCGAAAAGCACGTCCGCATACCAAATATATTGTTGATCATGTGCCAAGGTCATCAATTGCTCTTACAGCTTTATCTCCTCACATTCTTATGATCTTTATTTGATATGTTGTTATTTAAGATTAAATTCACTGGTACAGTTTCTATTGGACTGATGCACAGAGAATAATGGAGTTAGATATTCTATACCCTAGTTAGCTGACATCTTCTTTTCTTGGCTCATTATGAAATTAGAGTGTAGTATTCTCAAAATTTTATCTCATTAGAATAAAGCTTGAAGTATATCAAGTATTAATATGTTACATTTTTTCAAATGTCATTAATTAATAATTAGCTCGTATTTTTCGGTTGAACTAGTGCAATACGTTTCTTCAATAGAGTTCTATCGATCAACAAGAAATCTTTCTAAATCTTTTATTGAAAGCAAAACTCGTAAATTTTATTTTAAACAATAGATAAAATGAATTTCTATCATTCAATATTATGCTAATTATGATAGAAATAACTACACTCTAATATAAGACTTTTTATTATTAAAATAAAAATACAATATCAATAAATGATACCTATAGTAATGATAATTGTAAAAATTATGAAAATTCCAGCAATAACCGGTACTGATATCCAATACGGTTTTTTGAGCGTTGATGATTGTTGATGATTATGAGATGTTCTCGCAGATGGAAGCACGTCCATATTCATCTTTGAATGATTCATATTCTGAATACTATGATCTTCATGTTGTACAGTCATATATAATGGAGACGATGATACAATGAAAGTAGCTGATGATGTTGAAACACAAGCTTGATGATGTTTAGGTTCACCGCTTGCTAAGTTCAATCGAAAATCATCATCTGCTTTATTTTCAAACTTTGATGTAGATATTGAATATGAATTTTTATCACCAATACAATTAAGGAGAGTTCTATTAGACCGTGTTGGAACTGTCGATAAACACAGATAATCACCTCGAGCACCTGTATTCGTATTTTGAATTCTCGATTTTGATGTAATTATATCTGTTGTCAATAAATTATTATTATTATTATTATCAATCAGCATACTATGTTTTCTAGATAGTTGATATGTTTAGATAATTAAATAGAAATTAGTAAAATTAACTAAAGATGCCAATAATACTGTCAAGTAATCATACAATAGCTAGCAGCAACAACGACAAACTGAAGCATCATAAAATTGAAATTATGATCAAAGCGCCAATATGATCAAAACAAAGTGACATTTGTTCTTTTCACTTTCATAAAAATTGTTCTTTTCACTTTCAACAATCAAATTCAGATAATAATAATAAAACAATAATTCTAATAAACTATGAGTATCGTTCTGTATATTCATGAATCGATCGAATATAAGGGTTCTCAAGATATTCATCAAAAAGACAACATGTAAGAACATAAGCGCGCAGGGATAAATAGTAGGAATTAAAAGAGCAAGAAAGCAAGAAAAAACTATATATATAAGCATAAATCTACGCTGATGAAGGAAAAAGAAAATTGAATAATGTCAGAAAAGAAAATTTAAAATGAAAACGAACTTAAGCAAGTCAGTGTGTGTGTGTTCTCTCTGATCGCTCTGTACAGGCCAAACACCGGGAAGTACACTCTTGCCCGTTTTTCAAAAATTAATGAAATAGAGAAAATAAAATGACAGATAGACGAACATCACACAAAAATTAGAAAAAAAGAAAAGTGATTAGATGAAGAAAAAAAGAAAAGAAAAAAGAACTTGCTCTAATTATTCAATGAATGAAAGTGAATGAGTGAGGAATCAACCTAACAGAATTTTGATGATATATTGGGAGGGTTTTACTTTTTTTTTTGTCAAACTACGAATAAAGTTTTTAATATTAATCGACTAGTTTTTTTTGAAAGTGTTTTCGCCTGCATATACAGCGCTGCTACCAAGTTCTTCTTCAATACGTAAGATTTGATTGTATTTAGCCAAACGTTCTGAACGACATGGTGCGCCAGTTTTGATCTATTATAAAAGCAAAGATATCGATTGAACAAACCAAAAGTATCGAATCAATCAAACCTGTCCGGTGCCTAAGCCTACGACAAGATCGGCAATGAATGTATCTTCAGTTTCACCACTTCGATGGCTGACCATGACACTCCAGCCGGCACCACGAGCCATGGTGCATCTACACATTTAAACATGAACATAGAATAGGATTGGGATTAAAGACAAACAACTTACGCCGCAATGGCTTCAGTAACCGAACCAATTTGATTTACTTTGAGTAAAAGACAATCGCATGCATTCTTCTCAATAGCTAATTGAATTCGTTTTACATTGGTCACCGTTAAATCATCACTTGAATAAGAAAAAGACAATATCAGAATTTATTATGGATGTTCATAGTAAACTCCTTTTTTACCCGACAAGTTGTACACCACGACCTTTAACAGCAGTCAGCAACGTTTGAAATCCATTCCAATCATCTTGTTCAAAAGCATCTTCAATAGATATGATTGGATATGTTTCAATTTGTTTAAGATAGTATGCAACCAATTCTTCACTTGTTAACTAGAAAACATAATTAAATACACAGTTCATTTATTTTTTCTTCCCAACACTCTAATGAGGCTTACATAATGTGGATGATCTTTTTCTTTATTATTTAAATCGTATTTTTTTTCTTGTTCATCATAGAATTCACTTGCAGCAACATCCATACCAATTTTTATTTTACCTGTATAGCCAGCTTTGTCGATAGCTTTGACAAGAATTTCAAGTGCTACAATTAATAATAGAAATAAAAATGAAATTCTCTATTAGATATTCAATTACCTTTCTCAGCACTTTCAATGTTGGGTGCAAAACCACCTTCATCACCAACATTCGTTGCATCAAGACCATACTCAGCTTTAATTCTATAGCAAGAAACAAAAATAAAGAAATAAACCAGTTAAAAAAAATACGCAAAACTTTCATACAGATTTTTTAAATGATGATAAACTTCTGAACCCATACGCATAGCTTCTTTAAATGTTTTAGCTCCCGTTGGTAAAAGCATAAATTCTTGCATAGCGAGCTTATTACCAGCATGGCTGCCACCATTGATAACCTATCAGATAAATTTTTAGAAAATTTCATATAAGTCGATTCAATATCAATTACATTGAAGGCTGGCACTGGTAATCGTATAGTTGTATTTGATAGTTTAGCAATGTATTGATATAAAGGTACATTACTATGTGCTGCTCTACAAAAAAACAAAGAAAGAAAAAGAATTTTAGTTAGAAGAATTATTCATATTAAAAATAAGGCGTACCCAGCTTTGCAGACAGCTATTGAGATGCCAAGAATAGCATTGGCACCATATTTTTCTATACATAACTACATATGATTATATAATCGAAAAAAAAATTAAATGATTTACTTTTGCTATCTGTTCCATCTTGTTGAATCATAAAATCATCGATTTCTTTTTGTTGAGTTACATCAAAACCTTTCTAAATGAACAGAATGTTTAAGGTTAAATAGCGCAAAGAAAAAAGTATTTTAATGACGAACTTCAATAATTAATTTTCCTAATGTTTGCACATTAGCTACAGCTTTTTCAACACCTTTATAAGACATAATTAATAGTAATATATATATATAAATATTATATAAGCTCGTGTACCTTTTCCTAGATGAACATTTTTATCTCCATCACGTAATTCAAGTGCTTCATGAATACCAGTCGAAGCACCAGATGGAACACCAGCACGATAAAGGCCTAGAAAAAAGCATACATAAATTTTAGTCAGATAATTTTCTTTTTTTTTTGAAGAGTCCCTCATCGTCTTTTTTTCTTCGCCTTTGTCGATAAATCTTATTATATATATTAGAGTCAATTTTGAGAGAAGAAAAGAGCAATTAAGACCGCTATAGAATTCCTTTGCACTTTCAAGGTCATTCAAGAGTATGTTTTGACTTTATTCTTGTATCATGAATTACTGACGTTTTCTTTTTTTTTTCTTTCAAATAAGATTTCATTTTGATTAAAAGATTTGTTTTATGTTAAACTAAATATTTTTTTAGCATTATACAATGAAAACTAAATACTTATTTTGATACTGATAATATGTTGTACGATAAAGATTAAGGTCTTGTTTTGTTTTGTTAAATAGAAAGTTTTTATTTATACATAGGAAAGGCAAAAAGAGTAAAATTTATTTTTTCCTTTCCTTTCCCTCTCTTTTTTAATAGTAAAAAACTTTTTTTTTTATACCTTTGCTTGTCCAAAGATCGACTTCAATAGTCGGATTACCACGGCTATCGTATATATAACGACCAACAATCTTGAGGATTTTATCACTCATTCTGTTTGCTTGTTAATTGATGATAGATGATCTAGGATAATTTTAAACAAAAATTTAAAAAAGAACTTAAAATACGTTCTATAATTAAGATGGAAACGAGAAAATGATTGAAAGATTCTTTTCCTTTTATTGAACTTACTCGATTTCAATGTCGGTATAGTTGGTCAGTCGATCGATGGCCAACAGGCCTGGGCGCGAGGGCCCTGTTGACGGCCTGCTGTTTTTCTCTTTTTTGCTTTCTTCTTTCAACTAAAAGCCGACGAGAATCGAATGCTAGCAGACAAGCAGTAGCAAAAATATTTTCTCTTTCTCCTTCCCATTTTTTCTCTCTTGTCGTTTATTTCTATCTCTTTTCGTCCTAAGCGACAGCCAAAAACCTCTCTGAAGAACAGCTCGTCGCGTCGACAACACAGACAAACACATGCGACTATGTTATTTGACAATTAACCTTGTGGCGTAAGCATAAGAACGAAAGAACATGAGAAAAAACGTCTGGACTTTTGTTGTGCAACAGACAACGACGATGTAGGGATTTACAAGGCAATATGTAAGACAGCGAAGAAAAAAAAAAGGAAAGAAAAGCAAGAAAAAAAAACAAGAGGTATAATATGTTTCTCTCTTTTTCTCGTTCTGTAGGCTCATCTCAAGGTCAGATCGACATACATTAGTTATCGACGGCAACGGCAATGGGAAGTTCAGTATGAGGAAACTACTAGACTAAAAAAAATGAATCCCTTACGTGACATGGATGTATGATATAAACAGACGAGTAACATAGAAATAAATATATATATATAAAAGATCCTTTGATTTTGTTACGTCATTATAATCATACGAAGAAGTGAACTAAAAATAGAAAGATCAGCTAGTTCGTTAGATATGTATGCAAAATGTTCTTAATGTCGGACATTCGATTGAATAAATAACCTTAAGTCCAACGATGGATAATCCAGTCTCTGATAGGAGACAAAAAAATCGAATTACATTTACTTACGGGTGAACGAAAAGAGTCTAATATGAAACACTGATATATGAACGTACGATAAAAATTAAACGATTGTTTCAAGGTTTTTCGAGAGTACTAGACTCGCAAAAAAAATATTACTTCTCGAATATAACTAACAAAATCGGTTCTAACTACAATCATTGTCTTAACTGTCTACACGAGAGTAATATCTGTTCTCAAACTACGTTACCTAAAATTTTTCTTGCGCTTTTAAATCGACATTTAAGGACAAATTGCTCTATTTCTATGCATCATACATTTAACTAGCTGGGTATACAAGTGCAAATACATTCTATTATAAAGTGCCCGTTGTTCGACACACGAAAGAAATTTATTTATTTATTTACATCTTACCGACACCCTCTATCGCAGTTGGTTTATTTTGTTTTATGATGATGTTGTATGTAGTAGAAGTGACAAATATATATATATATTATTGCCTAGATTGTTCTTGCTCTCCTTTTTCTTCCACAGTTTAATGATGAATAACGAAAACGAACGGTAGAAAAAGTAATGGAATTTAATCTTGAAAACAAGCAACTCGATCACTATAGTATTTATATTATTCAAGCGCCAAACTAACATAATCAATTACAGATCTTGACCTTTGCTTATAATTTACATAATTACTTATTAATCAATTGAGACGGAAACTGCAAGTTGAAATCAGAAGATCCTATTACGAAAATCCATGGTTCATACGGATGACTGAATGCTTTTTGAAAGATACATACGAATATGTTAGTTTTTTTTTAATCAGTTCAGTATATAATAATTCATATAATAAAAAGCATAAATTCAGTCATACGTATGGACTTTAAACTGTGAGCGAAGAATAAAGTTACATTTAATGTAAATCTATTTATTTTCTTTTATTATTATTAAACTTTATCCGAAACGATTATGATAATAAATCATTATAAAAAAATCATATTGACATGTTATTACACAGAGGCCTTGTATTTTACTAGCAGAGCTCTTAGAAGAAAAACGATTAGAAAGTTTTGTCTTCTAATTCTATGTGTTACTATGCTATAGAGCAACTATTGATACTTGGAATTTTTTTAAGAAAAAGTTTTGCTGTTCGAAATAAAATAAAAATACCTATTTTCTTCACTCATCGTTAACCAAAATCAGATTTTCTTCCATTTTCTTAGTTCTACCCGAATAATTATTTGTAATTAAGCACATTACTCTAAATACTTCATATTTATCAATTGCATTAAAGAAATCGTACAGAGCATTTTACTGCATAGATATATTTATTTGTTTTCTATTTCTTCATCATTCACCGTACTGTGCATAACGACAGTACCGAAAGACCCCCGCACTTCATCAAGTTTATAACAAAATGATACAAAAAATCAGTCTCATATTTTCTATACTCATTTGCATTTAATAAAATAACTCATTCTATTGAAAATAATGTATTAAAATGCGTAAAATGTATGCATCAGTTTCATATATACCGTTAAGTATATTGTTGATAATAGGCCAAAAAAGAAAAAAACCTGCAGAAATAATAAACTGAATACAACGAATAGTGAACAGTTGGTGGCCTTGATGAGAGAAATTCTCGTCGTACTAACATTACTGAAATGTCATCGAATCACTCGACAGACAGTTCACTTCTATTGAATTTTCGTTGCATAATAATAATATTCATTAACATTAGTACTTACATGTTCTCTAAACATCTTAGACGAAGTTCAAGAGCTCGATAAAATATATTCATTTAAATATTATATCTATTTATAATTCATACTCATAAGCTGATCTATCACAGCGTAGAATAAAAAATTACCCTTAGACTTATCAAATAATGGAACACACTCTATGTGAAGGATGCGCTGTTCCATGGCATGCTTAATTGAAAGAAAGAAAAAATGAGCAAAGAAAGAATTATCTATTGAATAATAAACTTGATACTAGTCATCAACATATATATATATATTGCATAACCTTCCGAAACGTTTTTTAAGCATAATTTTATGCATAATAAGATGTAACATTGAATCAAGTTTTATCCCGTACTAATCTAACTCAACATAGCCATGACAATTAATAGAAATAATCTCATACAACTTAAGATTTTTCCTATTTTACTTTTAGAATTCTATCAATATCGTTTCTCTCTTAGCATACGAAGAAAATACAAGGGATTAGATTATTTTATTTTAATTATTTATTCGTTATAAATATCTGAAAATTACAATCATGCACGCAAAATAAATGCAATAGGTTTTTTTGTTTCGCTAAAAAATAAACAAAGCAAAATGTCATCAGTACTGGAAAAACTGATTAATTGTGAAATAAATAAAAATGCGAGATTAAATAAATGAATAAAAATAAGCCTAGACGACAGGAGAAAAAAAATGCAAACAGTAGGATTTCTGACAATAAATAACTTACAATTGATCAATAAGCAGTGGTGTGTGCAGTGCTTTACAAGCACGAAAGGTATCATTGAAAACAAAAACGCTAAGTGAACATTTCTATTGATGAATAGAAAAGAAAGAAAAAAGGTAGCGGAAATTAAAAAAAATGTGAAGTCAATAATAAAGACTTTTGAAAATCGAGATCAAAACCATGACTTTACGAACGTATATGAAACATGCTTATGAATAATGTTAATAAAAAAAAAAGATAGATTAGTTTCAAGTGATTGGTGAAATCACACTTTTCATTGTAATTAATCATGAAAATTGTTCGTATTGAATACGATGTGTTTATGTTAACGGTGGTTTATTTTCAATTTCATCGATATCTTGCAGTTCAATTTTGTGATTGATATCGTTCTCTGATGATAATATTCTTTCCTCGTATTTAATGCTAGAATCTAAAAATGCTTGTCGAATATTGCATGAAAACGGACTTGTTTGATCGACCATTCGTTCGGGATGCCACTATATATAAAAAGTGATGGATATCTATAGAAGAAACGTTTTTTCCATCTTACTTGAACACCTAAAAAATATGGATTTTCACAAGGAGCTTTCCATTCTATTGCTTCAATAACAGATTCTTCAGCTTTAGCAACTACTGCTAGATTAGCACCGACTTTTTCAATGCATTGATGGTGCGCAGAATTAACAGCACCTTTCAGGCAACCAGTGATTTCTTTCAGAAATGCCCCATCTCTGACGAAAACATCATGACGTTGATCCACTCCTGAAAAAAATAAGTCGTGAGAGAAATTCATTTTTCTACATGCCATAACATGAAAAGGTGCAGATAATGAGGAATAAATTGTCATCTATTTCATCAGATAACTAGATACCTGATAAGGAAATTAGTGTAGGTTACAAAATAAAATCTCTTAGTTCTTTGAATAAAAACGAATTTTTGAAGGTCAGCTCAAAAAAAATAACTCTTAAGTTAATCTGATTGGTCAATCGTATCATCTTTCAACTTCATTGCAAATAGATACAAGATCAATATTGCCAAAACGTTATACAATCATTTGTATGTGTACTTGATCCATGAATGTTGAGAAATGTAGCCTCAGAATTTTAAATCACTACTGCTGCTTCATTATTGAATTTTTTTTCGAAAAAGATTCAAATCAAATAAACATTATAACATTATCGAAATCTATTTGATATTTAATGAATTTTATCTAGAGCTCTATTTATAGTAGAAAATATTGAATATCGAAGCAGTTTCATTTATAGAGTGCCCATTTTTAGATCTTTATAATTAGATGGTAATAAAGCAGTTGTTTTTAACACAAAAAATGCGTTTTTCAAAGGTACGACTAGGTGTGTTTCTTTTCTATGGATTCTCTGATTATGAATACCTTGTATTTTAGCATGGCCAATAATTTTTGTCATTGAAGGAATATCATAAAGCAATGTACCACCATGATAAACATTGAATAATTGCATTCCTATGAGGTAAAGAATCAAGAATTCGAATTTTCAATTTACACAACACAACCTCACCTCGACAAATCGCTAATATTGGCAATTTAAGTTGTAAGGCATATTTAATAATTTCAATTTCAAAATCATCACGTTTTTCATCAATATCAGTTAGTTCAATGCGTCCACTAAGATCTGGTCGTTTATACCGACGTGGATCAACATCTTCACCGCCAGATAAAATTAAGCCATGACATTTTTCAATATCATCAAGATTACTTAAATGATAAGATAAACGAATCGGATCAACTTTTTCTGGTGCATCTAACATCCAACGTTCATAATTTCCATAACGTGCACAATCTGTTATTCCTATTTTAATACTATTCATCAGTATTCGAGTTTTCATTGTATGTATAAAACCGAAGGCGCATGTTAATTACATTAACAGTAATAGACATCGACAGAAAATAAGCATTGTAGGCGGTAAAAGCATCGAGAGTAACTACTCAGAACATATGTGAATCAAGAGATCATTTCAGATTGGCTGTTTGGGAAGCTAGTTAGAAGAGTTTTTTTTAGGATTTTTGAACTTCTAGTAATTTTAAGATCAAAGTAGTCAGACAAAAGACACAGAGATCAATAGAAAAATCTATTAAAAAGACAATAAAATTGTTCTATAAGAATAAATATTGCGATTGTAGCGCTCTCTATGTTTAAACTCTTATGAATAACTTCTCAGATATCATATGTTGCTTGCTTGCTAATATTGAAAGGTCAGATGAGTCAGATGAAATCAGTCATTTCAATGTGAGAAAAAAAATGAATATGTCATTTGTTGTGAAATAAATATGTAATACACGTATGCAATAATTTTAGATATGGCGTCGTCTACAATAAATCAACCCAATAAATCAGATGATCAAAATAATAAACTTAACCAAGTATCAGAAACTTTTGATGAGAATGAAAAAGTTTTGCCAATATCTTCCGCGAATGTGGAAGAAACAATAAACTCAGAAAGTGTCAAAATCATTCACAAGCGTGCCACAGGTATCTAGTTCTTCATTTGATTTGAGTTTCTGCTAATTTTTTTAACAGTTTATTTGATTAATATTTTGCTTTAAAACATTCAATATTTTTCTTATCATAATTAGAAAACATAAATGAATCATCGTTTGGTGTAATTGAAAAACAAACATGCGCGCTTTTAGCAGCTCCTTGTATGGTTTAGCATGGGAAATAATCTATCTATAATTTTGTTTTTTTACTTCTCACAGGTATTAGCTCCACTGCCCGGGCACGTATATCAGTACCATTGGAAGCAGAGAAAAGTTTGAAACTTCATGCACGACCATTTGACGAATTTCTGGTACAAGAACCAAATACAGATGTACCACCAGAAAAATTTGTAAATCCAAACGATAATAAACCTTCATTTATTCAAAAAACTTCGTAGGAAATTTTGATAAAATAACTAATTTGATTTTGATTTCGTTGTTATTGGTATGACGAATGATCAAGCAAAAACAGTCTTCAGTCATTTTATTAATTTCAAATAAATTTTTTTGTAAAAAAATTGATTTTTATTGTTCTTACAAACTTTTCGTTCAATTTTTTGAATGATTAATAGCGAATATGTAATGAAATATTCAATAAATCTAATAAATCCTCTTGTAACTTACACTATCTGAATTTCAGTCTATGAAATATTCAATTATTATTTATTTCAACAATAACCTAATTCATGCTTGGCAATGAAAAGTGTTAAAACCAATACAAAATTCAGTAAAAAAATGCATAGAGGATTGGTACATGAGAACACTACTTATTTTGATCGACCTTTGTACTTTTATAAAAAATACTTAAATAACCATTGAGGCTCTAGATGTTTGTTTGCGTAAAGATAAAGAGAAAAATACTGCTTCCTCCTACGAATCATTATGGAAAAAATGTGTAGCATAGCGTTTTTTGTACTTGATATTTCTATTTATAATTTATTTATTCTAAATATTGGCGAACTCTGTAATTTTGTTCTGTAATGATTAGAAAAAAAACAGATATCTAACTAACAATAATACGTAGAAGACAGAAGATAAATTTCTGTCTCAGCCTTGGTTAAATTAAAATATATTACTATCGAATATTTTCTGCAAAAAATTGAAAAGTATTAATTACATAATAATAAATTTTCGAATACAATAATTCTCAAGGTTAAAAATAGAATAGATTATATATACGTATATACGTATGAAAACGTTTTCTTCTAGTTGTCACTTTGAGAAATCATCACAGCTGCAACCAGTAACTTATGCGGTATTTTAGTACGTCAAATCATATAATATATTTATCTATTCTCAGTCTTTTTCATCGTAAATGGTTAAAACAGTGGGTGTTTAATGTGTCGTTATATATTCCCTATGTAGTGGGTAAAGAAACAAAATGGACAAAAATATTCATATTCTCTATCGAATAGTCGAGAACCATCGTAATTAACTTTCAGTCCACGGCATATCCTAGACATATATATATACATGTATCGCTGGCAAAAACATATCAACAAACAATTCTATCATTAACCTTATATCAAGTGAAAAATGGTGCATTTTCCCATAACGCATTATCGATTATTCAATGATCCCTATGATCGATTCTTCGGTGATCAATTACATTTCTTCGATCCATGGGGTGATTTTGATACATTCTCAACGGCTTTTTCAACAAAACCCAGCTCATTTCGGTGGATCAATGAACCACGTCATATAAACCGTTTGTCATCATTATATCATTCAACATCAAACAATGCAAGGAATGCTAGCAATGGCGATACACTTATTCCTGTTTCAAATTTTACAGCGCCAGCTGTTTCGGAAAAATTTCGTGTTCAACTCAATGTTGCTGGATTTAATCCGGAAACTATCAGGACACGAGTAGAAGGTCGAAAAATCATTGTTGAAGCTAAACAAGAAGATCGAGAATCTTCTGGTGATTATAGTATTCGTGAAATTCGAAAAACATATGATCTTCCCGAACATGCTGGTTAGTACAAAAAGCAAAAGCTCTATGTAAAATTTAAGTATTATATAATTTTTTGAACTATAGATGCATCTGAGTTGGCTTCGTATGTTTCACCGAATAATATGTTTGTTATGGAAGTTCCAGTGAATAATCCACGTATTGAACGTCGCCCATCGCAAGTACAATTAGAGACTAATACTCTTTCACAATTCGGTCAATTTCGTGATCCATTTTTTGATTATAATCGTTTTGTTGTATCAAACGACTTTCATCCACGTATCATCGATATAAACAATGGGCAGAAACAATTAAAAATGTCGTTAGCAGTGAAAAATTATCGACCTGAACAAATTAAAGTTTCAATAAAAAATAATGAACTTATTGTACAAGCTGAAAATGTTTACAATGATATAAATCGTTCTGAACGATCATTTCTAACGAAATCAATTACATTACCACCAGGTACACAAATCGAACAACTTCAATCATTCTTTAGCAATGATGGACAACTAGAAATCGAAGCACCATTTACTGAGCCTAATAAAACGTTCTCAACTGAAATTCAACGTCAATTTTAAACAAATATTATATCAAAACATAATATATATATATATATATATATTTTTTTTTTATAGCTCTTCTTTTTTGCTTATATAAAAACCTATTTATTTATGCATCATATGAATAAAATCTAGATATATAAAAATGATTACTTATAATGTCTTTGCTTTCTTCTAAACAATCCAAAAATAAATATTTGATTGAATTTTGAGAAAGTAGATTTTTCTTAAGACAAAACGACAACAATGTTCGGTAACCACGCTGAAAATATGTCACCCTATAAATCATACGTGGTGCAATGTCTTTTGATATTTATTTTTGTTATCGTATCATATTTTTTCTGGATCAAAACAACAAAAGATTAACTATTAAGCATCTCGCGTCTCACCTTTTTTCATAAATATTTTGCTATTTTGACAGGTTTATAACATTTAAATAGAAGTGAGAACTACGTACAAAAACAACCAAGTTTCACGCGATGAAAGAGGCAAAAGACAAAAAATATATATGTGGTTTTGAGAGATTTATTTAAGAAATCTTTTGATATTAGATCTCAGCTTTGTAAGATCACCGTAGATCTATGTGTATATATAGTCTGCATATTTAAATGAGCTAGACGTTTTTAGCACACCGTTGTGACCTATTAAGTCATAGTATCACTGATGTCATTACTTCCATGGTACCGTTATCCTTTTTGGGATGATCCATTAGATCCATTCTTTTTGTATCCCATTGATTTCTTTGATCCATGGTTTGATATTGGTTTGTTTCCACCGTTTCCTCCGGCGACGAGATCATTTCGATGGATCAAAGAACATGAACGAATACGATATAGATCAACAAATGTATCAAGTAATACTACAAGTCTTCCACCACCAAGACGAATTCCTCCGCCAGAAAAGTTTCGTGTTCAACTTGATGTGAGCGGATTCAAACCTGAATCAGTCAGAACAAGACTTGAAGGTTCCAAAATAATTGTCGAAGCCAAAGAAGAGGATCGAGAGGCACGTGGTGATTTTCAACTTCGAGAATTTCGAAAATCATACGAACTTCCAGGATATGCTAGTATGTAACGAAGGATAATTTTAAATTCAAATATGCTTATTGATTGTTTTATAGATGCCAATGATTTGGTTTCACATGTAGCGCCAAACAACATGTTGTTTATCGAAGTACCAATAACAAAGCCTGAAACAGAACGCCGACTTGAACAAGTCAAAACTGACAGTCGAAGTCTGGTTCGATTTAGTGATCAGAACGTTTCAGCTTTAGATGATGCTGGATTTTTGGGTAGCTCCGATTTTCAACGTCGTATTGTTGATAAAGGAAATAATCAAAAACAATTGGAATTAACCGTTAGCATGAAAGATTATAAACCAGAAGAAATCAAATTATCAGTAAAATTTAATATATTGAGTGTTCGAGGTGAACATCGATATAACGATGGAACTCGCTTTGAACGATCATATTTCTTTAAAACAACAACATTACCACGTGGTGCACAAGTTGACCTTATTCAATCTACTTTCACAGATGATGGCCAATTGAAAATTGATGTTCCACTTATTGATTGATAAAACTGCTGAAATTCAATGCAAATCGAAAGACATTGAGACACATATATACACACTTATTCTATCATATTCTATATGTTTTATGCTATGTAGTTTATTGATTGCTTGCTCGAGGCATAAATAAAAGAATTTAAAAATACTGTTGTCTACGCTTTTTTCTCAAGACTGAACTGATAGCATACAGATTATGATTATCGCATGAGATGTGTAAATTATATGACTGTGAGGCGTATTTTTCTTTAATCAAAATTTGAATAACATAAGTTAATTTGAAGAAGTGTTGTTTTAGTAGAAAAATGTTACAAAATCTTGTCATTTTATGTTACATCTGTACCGACAAAAACGATAAACGACACAAAATATGTTCTATACAAAACTTTTCATATTTCATTCTATAAACACTTCATAAACTAAATTGGCAACTAACAGCATAAACTTTTCGAAATATTCTTTGGTGTAAACGAAACCTCAAACTACATTGACTAAAGTTCCTTGCGATATATTTCTTGTTTATCTTTGGTGAGAATGATTATTATTGGTCAGAACAAAGCAAACATATTGAATAACAAAAACAGAATGAGATGGTGTTAAATTTCCTCCAACAACCAAAATATACGTTTTTACAAGATAAGCGTTTGGTAATATTCCTATAAGAAAAATATATTTATATGTTGTATAATCCACATAACACTAACAGGAACCAGTAGTTCTTTTAGTCTTGGCAAGTATTGCCTAACGAGAATACCGTCGAACACAAAATCATAACGAACTTTGCAGATGGTAATATAAGACTGCATCACCCCACAATAACCTTAAAAATACCGCATGCATTCTTTCAAAAACATGCATTCACCACTATCCTTGTTTACCTACAGAAAAGAGAAAAAATCCAAGCGCAGAAAGCAAACGAGACAAGAGGAAAGCAAAAAAAGATAAAAAGAGAATCGCGAATGACACCGATCAAAGTAGAGTATTCGAGAATGTTCCTGATAAAGTTACCACATTCTAATTGCCTTCGTTTCGTCTTGATATAAATGTGACTGAGTATCGGTGTCTACAGCATTCATTTGAATATTCATTCACAACTGCATAATCCTTTCAGCTCTATTTCTACGATAACTTTCGCTTGAATATAACAATGTCATTCTTTCCAATTCGTCGTTATCGTTTATTCAATGATCCATTTGATCGTTTCTTCGGTGATCAACTTGATTTCTTCGATCCATGGCGAGACTTCGATACATTTCCAGCAGCTCTCTCCATTCAACCAAATGCATTTCGATGGATCAATGAGCCACTTCGATTAGCAAATAATCGAATTGCTCAACCAACATCACCGGGACTACATGCAGAGAAATTTCGTGTTCAACTTAATGTGGCTGGATTCAATCCAGAGTCGATTAAAACTAAAGTCGAAGGTCGAAAAGTCATTGTCGAAGCCAAACAAGAAGATCGACAACCTGATGGCGATTTTCATACTCGAGAACTTCGAAAATCGTATGAACTACCTGAACATGCTGGTACGTAATAAAATCATTCAATGTCAAATCTTTATATTTACCTTGTTTTTTGTTGTTGTGTTATAGATGCAACTCATTTGGCTTCGTATGTAACTCCAAATAACATGTTGGTTATCGAAGTACCGATCAAAAATCCCGAAGCAGAACGACGACTTCAACAAGCTAGTACCGACACTCAAAGTCTAGCACAATTCGGTTCGTATCGTGACCCATTCTTTGATTATACTGGATTCTTGGGTGGTTCCGACTTTCAATCTCGTATTGTTGACAAAGGTAATAATCAAAAACAATTGGAATTAACTGTCGGAATGAAAGATTACAAACCGCAAGAAATCAAGGTCTCGGTAAAAAACAATGAACTTATCGTGCAAGGTGAACATCGACACAACGATGAAAATCGTTCAGAACGCTCGTTCTTCTTCAAATCAACAACATTACCACCTGGTACACAAATCGATCAACTTCAATCTCATTTAACAGACGATGGTCAATTGAAGATTGAAGCTCCATTTGTTGAAAAAAAGGAAACTGTAAGATCAATTGAAGTAGAAAAAAAGTAACATGGTGAATAATGAAGCACTGAACAACGGCATGTGTTTTTTTGTATATTACCTCTTTTTTGTTGTTGCTACTTCTTACTTAGATACGTAATAAACTAAAAACGAATTCTTATTTAATATCTTGTTTTCATTCTTTTGCATAACTTGACATTTTATGATATGTAAACTTAGAGTACAGTGCACGGTTCTCAAGTATAAATTTTTTTAAATATTTCTCGTTTTTATCCCACTGACAATCTTAAATGGTCGCTGATCATCGAACACATCATTAACAAGAATCGTGAAAATATCGTACAATTTTTTATTTTCTGCAGGTCGAAATAATTCAACAGCGTGACGTCATTGACGTTTCTGCGAATCCGATGGCTCATCTAGTCTTTTTTCTTCTTTTGCGTTTCTTTTGTGATTCTTACTAAGAAAACGATATTCGTTTTCATACTTGCTATTTTACCTGGAATATTCATATGCAAAACAAATGTAGAGACAAAAGATGCCAATGCATACGCACAGCCTTTATCGCGAGAATCTAACTAAATTATTGAATCATTCACAACAATCTTTTGCCCTTACATTCAACAAGTCAGAATGTATACGTTGAAAAAGTGTGTTCACGTGAAATGTTTCCCAAGGTTGTGTATTGTACTCGAGGAGTAGTATATAAAGATATCAAAACAATGAATTTGGTTAGTCTTATCACTGATAAAATTAGAAATATCTAAATAAAACATTTCCTCTGGATGTCGTATCTTTTGATAATACTGATTAGCTGTAGAAAGAGAAGTATGATAGACACAAATGCAAATACCGATAGTGAGAAAACAACTTTGAACTCTATCCAATGCATTTAAACTTTTCGATTAATAAAGAAGAATAAAATATTGAGTAAACATTAATTACTAATAGAATCTCAGTTACAACATCATTGGAATTATTGCAACTAGGTTAGTTTTATGCTAGATGCCAAATACAAGGCATCATCTGTTTAAAATCATTCTCGTCGGATTTTACATAAATACATTTCGTATAAATATTCTTTTGATATTTCTAAAACACATTCCTGTTCGTCAAAGTCGATCAATTTAAAAATAAATCCCGCCTTGTTTTACATAAAATTACTGTAGGGGTCAAAAAAAACATCATGTCATACAGGTATCTTTTTCTTTTCTTTGAATAGCAATATTTCAAATGGAAAATAAATTTGACAAATAAATTTATGAAGAATACTAAAACTTCACTATGTAACATCTATTTATGACCCTTAGAAAACTTGTAAACTTCAAATACTCCGCTTTTATGACGTATGCAAAGCTGTGTTCTAATTTCTGTCAGCAGAAAAAGAAAATAAGTATTCAAAGAGAGGCAGAAAAGAGAAAAAACACAGAAAGAGAACACCCTAGATTGTGAAGAGCAGACAAGAAGCTTCGAGAATGTTCCTAAACTACTATAGCTTTCTCGTACCCTGATTTCTCCCTCTATATAAATATGTCTGAGCTTCTTTATCGACAACGTTCATTTGAATATTCATTCACAACTACATAATTATTTCAGCTCTACTTCTACGATAACTTTCGCTTGAATATAACAATGTCATTCTTTCCAATTCGTCGTTATCGCTTATTCGATGATCCATTTGATCGTTTCTTTGGTGATCAACTTGATTTCTTCGATCCATGGCGAGATTTCGATACATTTCCAGCAGCTCTCTCCATTCAACCTAATGCATTCCGATGGGTCGATGAGCCGCTTCGATTAGCACATCATCATCATCGAAACAATCACCCAGGATCGACGAGACCACATGCAGAGAAATTTCGTGTTCAACTTAATGTGGCTGGATTCAATCCAGAGTCGATTAAAACTAAAGTCGAAGGTCGAAAAGTCATTGTCGAAGCCAAACAAGAAGATCGACAACCTGATGGCGATTTTCATACTCGAGAACTTCGAAAATCGTATGAACTACCTGAACATGCTGGTACGCAATAAAATCAGCCAATGTCAAATCATTTTATTTACCTTGTTTTTTGTTGTTGTCGTATAGATGCAACTCATTTGGCTTCGTATGTAACTCCAAATAATATGTTTGTTATCGAAGTACCGATCAAAAATCCTGAAGCAGAACAACGACTTCAACAAGCTAGTACCGACACTCAAAGTCTGGCACAATTCGGTTCGTATCGTGACCCATTCTTTGATTATACTGGATTCTTGGGTGGTTCCGACTTTGAACCTCGTATTGTTGACAAAGGTAATAATCAAAAACAATTGGAATTAACTGTCGGAATGAAAGATTGCAAACCACAAGAAATCAAGGTCTCGGTAAAAAACAATGAACTTATCGTGCAAGGTGAACATCGACATAAAGATAAAAATCGTTCTGAACGCTCGTTCTTCTTTAAATCAACAACATTACCACCTGGTACACAAATCGACCAACTTCAATCTCATTTAACAGACGATGGTCAATTGAAGATTGAAGCTCCATTTGTTGAACAAAAGGAAACTCCAAAACCAATTGAGGCAGAGAAAAAAGAAGGTGATAAATAATTAACTTGAATTATAATAATAGTTATGCTGTGCATTTCCTTGAACTTATTCAGCATTTTTATGTTATTCTTTGGATTGTAATCTTTGTGCGTGCTGTAATTATTTATCAGTAATGAATTTTTCTTTCATTGAAATAAACAAGATGCTTAGGTAGCCTATGTTTAGAAGTGAGGTTTTTCATTGTTGATATGAACATGGAAAAATCAATCTTTGAAATGAATAGGCCGGATGATATTATGTGTACAATATTGATTATAAAATCTGCCTTTGTAGAGTTTAAATATTGAAATTCTAGTATGACATAATGAGTTAACAGTTTATTAACTTCGAGAAATTTTGGAAAGAAATGTATGTACTCAAATATTAATATTACCGATAAACTTCTTGTGTTTCGCCTGAAGATATCTAGGACAAGAAGTATACTGAAAAGTTTGAATCATAATACGCAAAAATAAAATTTTTAAATATCTGCAAGCGTCAGTCTCATCTATCAAGTTCTCCATGATAAATGAAGAATTTTTGTTCTGAAATTTTGATTTTTGGGCATTTATAAGAGTTTTGATCAAAATATATGAATTGAAATATCAATAAAACTTAACTACAATAAATCGTGGTCGTCTACATTCGTATCATTCAATCTGTTAAGAATAATTAAATTAAATAGTATTGCGAAATAGAAACTAGACTATCATCAAAGCTTAAAATTTAAGTCTCTATCAGCTGTTCGAGAACTTTCAATTTAAAAGAAAGTGGATCTATATAGTATGTACAAAATATTTATAACACAACAAAGTTTATTATTCAACTGAAGCCTAAATGTTGTTCATTTATCTTTTATTTCTTCAGATTCAAGGGTAACCAAATCATTCGCATAACTGTAAACATAATTCATGCACGTTGAATCGAACCGAAGAAAACAAGAAATAGATAACAACCTACAAAGAGAAAGATCAGACAGTGCAAAAAAAAAGTTATATCAGGAGTCAAAGAACAAATTAATAGAATCTACTAGAAAATTCTCCATTTGCATTGTGTGTTTGACGCAATAGATATAAATAGCAGTGCGTCTGTATTGAATGTATTCATTTCATCTATTCGACTTTTCAGATAACAAGCGTATTTGATAATGTCATTCTTTCCAATTCGTCGTTATCGCTTATTCGATGATCCATTTGATCGTTTCTTTGGTGATCAACTTGATTTCTTCGATCCATGGCGAGACTTCGATACATTTCCAGCAGCTCTCTCCATTCAACCTAATGCATTCCGATGGGTCGATGAGCCGCTTCGATTAGCACATCATCATCATCGAAACAATCACCCAGGATCGACGAGACCACATGCAGAGAAATTTCGTGTTCAACTTAATGTGGCTGGATTCAATCCAGAGTCAATTAAAACTAAAGTCGAAGGTCGAAAAGTCATTGTCGAAGCCAAACAAGAAGATCGACAACCTGATGGCGATTTTCATACTCGAGAACTTCGAAAATCGTATGAACTACCTGAACATGCTGGTACGCAATAAAATCAGCCAATGTCAAATCTTTATATTTACCTTGTTTTTTGTTGTTGTCGTATAGATGCAACTCATTTGGCTTCGTATGTAACTCCAAATAATATGTTTGTTATCGAAGTACCGATCAAAAATCCTGAAGCAGAACAACGACTTCAACAAGCTAGTACCGACACTCAAAGTCTAGCACAATTCGGTTCGTATCGTGACCCATTCTTTGATTATACTGGATTCTTGGGTGGTTCCGACTTTGAACCTCGTATTGTTGACAAAGGTAATAATCAAAAACAATTGGAATTAACTGTCGGAATGAAAGATTGCAAACCACAAGAAATCAAGGTCTCGGTAAAAAACAATGAACTTATCGTGCAAGGTGAACATCGACATAAAGATAAAAATCGTTCTGAACGCTCGTTCTTCTTTAAATCAACAACATTACCACCTGGTACACAAATCGACCAACTTCAATCTCATATAACCGACGATGGTCAATTGAAGATTGAAGCTCCATTTGTTGAACAAAAGGAAGCTCCAAAATCTATTGACGGTCAAAAACATTGATGGCAGTTAGTTTTAAAAGTGTTACTGCTTCTTCTTTTTTTCTGTAGCGTAATAGATCAGCGTTGTAATAAAGTTCTTAAAAGAAATCCACAGATAATCCAGCGATTGAAAACAAAATTGATTTCTTCATAATCTCAAATATTTGGTTATTCGATAAAGTAGAAGCTAGAGTGATTTGTATGAAAGGGTACGTCATTTTTTTCTATAGAAGATGTTGAGCAGAGCGTGCCGTATAAATTTCAATGAAATTTTGATTTTACTAAATACAATAAGTAAAATTCTTAATTAAAGTCAAAGGTTTATATTAATAATAACTCCACCTGACATGTCGTAAAAATGATTCGATTCTCTTAAAATAATTCATAATGAGAAATCATCGAAGAATTCATCTCTCAATTTGTATGAAAAATATCCAGAATCAGATATTTGGTTTTTATTTTTTGTTTTATGAAAATATTTCAACATGCCGTTTAATTAAAAGCTGGCATAGATCATTTTAGTTCTTTTTTCAATTTTTGTTTTTATGATAACAATAATAACAACAAGAAGATTAAAAATAGTCGGTTTACAAAACAAAAAAACTTGTTTTTTTTCCTATAATAGTTATCATTGATGTTAAATATTCTTCTGTTGCTATCGACTTGTTTAATCGATTTAACGGTGTTGAACTTCAAATACTCGTATTTGATTATCAGTAAAACCAGCAAACAATGTTTGTCCATCAGCTGACCATGCCAATGATGTACATTGTTTTTCTGATTTAACTTCATCAGCGACTGTTTTGGTTTCCAAATCCCAGATTTTAATTGAATTACCAGTTGCTTTAGAAAAAGAAAAAATATATTTCAAAATTTTAAATTCTAACAATTATTTTTTACCAGCGCAAAGCCAATAACGATTGGGTGAGAAGCATAATGAATTGATAACATCACCACTTTCAAGTGTATATAAATGTTTACCATCATTCAGATCCCATAACATAGCTTTACCATCTCGACCACCACTAGCACATAATGAACCATCAGGAGATACGGTAACTGTATTCAAGTATGAGTTATGACCATGATGATTTGTACGTAATTTGCAGTTTGATAAATTCCAAACCTGTATTTAATAAAAATTGTTAGAAGATAAAATAAAGACGAAAACGCAAAATAATTACTTTAACAAGTTTGTCCCAACCAGCTGATACAATAAGAGGGTCTTTTTGATTTGGACTGAAGCGTACACATGATACCCAATCGGTATGATTATCATCGACAATTGTATATTTGCCTAAATTCAAAAGAAAAACATAATGAAAACTTCCTTAATATTGAATATCAATTGACTTACATTGTCCAACGGTGTTCCATAATTTGATAGTTTTATCTCGACTACCACTAACAATTTGTCGGTTATCGGCCGAGAAAGCAACACTCAATACATCTTTTTTATGACTAACAAATTGTCTTGTGCTTGTACCAACTGATAAATCCCAAAGACGTAATGAACTATCCCATGAACCACTGACAGCAAAGAGACCATCACTCGATATAACAACATCGGAAACGAAATGTGAATGGCCACGTAATGCTTTGCTTGGTACACCACAGGATGTGCTTTCACCAGTTGGATCATGTTGATTATTCAATTGCCAAATAATGATTGATTTATCTCGCGATGCTGATAGAACGATATCGGGAAATTGGGGTGTTGTTGCTATTTGTGTTACCCAATCATTATGACCAACAAGAACGCCTTTCAAAGCAAGATGTTCATTCGACATTGTTTGCTGTGTTTTTTGTTTTGTTTTTCAACTGATTAACCAGAGATGGAGAGAGATGTGAAAGTCTAAAACATAAAATCAAGTAGAACACAAGAAAACTTTAAACAGTAAACTAGTCAACAGAACAAATAAACAATATATTTCCACTAACTATTGCTTTACTTTACATACGATAGATCCGATAGTTATATTAACCAATGAATACATGAATTCAAATGTGATCAATATACATCATAATTGAAACCTTTTTTTGAAAATGAAGATATTTTTTTCTATGATTTTATTTGAAGAAATTTTTTTCATGTTATTTTTTTAGAATTATCAAAATAAAAATAGAAGTTAGCCAAAATTGATTACCTCTTCTAGATGTCGTTCGTGTGCGGTGAAGGCGTATGAAAAACAGCTATACTATATTGCTTTGTTACGCATTAGTTGTTGTCGGGAGTAAACCGTGTAATTATCTCATGAAGGAACTCACATGTTAGAAGTTAAATTTTGCATGACTTTAGCAATCAAATAGATTCGATACGTATATAATTAATAGGTATAAAATGTGGCAAAAAGATGCTGTATAATTCTCTGAGATTTTCTTACCTCCTTTTGTATTATCAATCGTAGGTGATGGTAGCATTCATAGACTAAAATATAATAGATATTTCTATTTTCAAACTGCTATTGATGTTTCGTTTTTTTTAATTGTATTAGTTCTTCGAAAGTACGTGTACTTTCTACTATTAAGATAACTTTTTTTTTCGAATATCCTACGCCATTTGCAATAGGGGCAAATTGTAAGATCATAATTTATTCAATGCTAATAACTGCAGGCTTTCCATAGAGCTGTAAATAATACAAGTCAACATTTTGAATATTTTAATGAACGTCGTTTAAAATTAGAATCGTTTCTGTTCATAGTACATATGCCATGCAGTCATCTATTTACAAAAGTATGACTATCTGATTGGCTTATATGCATAGTTTTTAAAAGTAGTATAATTCGACTAGAGAAGTGAACGAAAACTTATTTTATTTTCATCAACTAGAATTTCCTATTTTTAACAATCCATGATCTGAACAGAAAAACCATCTATACTATTTAATGGAGGCTATTGATGCCGATTGTTTTATTCATACGCCTTTATCATATTAAATAAAATTAAAATAAAAAAGAAACTGTAATTTATATAAGTGATTAACTGGGAAATTTCATTGACATTTTTTCATCAATATGAATTTTTGATAATGTGCCACAGAATTCTTCAAATGTTATTTTTAAATTTCCATCAACATCCTATAGAATAAAACATATATATATATATGTAATAATAAGTTTCAAAAATTTAAAACAACATACCAGTTCTCCAATAGTATGATCGGCAATAGTTGATATTTGTTCATCATTAACATTTCCACCTACCTATTGGTAAAAATTAGAATCTCTTTTTCTTGCATATTATATACTAACCATCAATTTAAGAATTTCAATTAGTTCACTGCGATCGATATTTGAATCATGATTACGATCATACAACTAAACAAGAATCTTTAAATGTGTACATATTTATGTATATGCGGTGATATTATTTATAAATACAAACATTAAATAGGAATAATAGTTTTTTCTCTCTTTTATGCAAATTAGTTGGTGCTTTATCACGTCGAAATAGAGCAAATATATTAGCAAATTGACGAAAATTGATTTTATTGGTTTCACCTTTGAATGATGAATTTTTTTTTGTTTCAAATAAATGTTATTGAATAGACACTTTACCATGATCTTGTAAAAGAACATCAATAAGACGTTCACCTAATGGATTCACTGCAACTTCACGTATATTTAGAAGCTCTTCACGAGTGAGATATCCGAGTGGCGGATCCTTTTTTTCTAGCTCTTGAAAACGAGCATACAAACGTTGAAGTTCTTTCGGTGTAAACCCTAAAACAAGTTAAATTTGCAACATGAAATGATACTAGCAAAATCTATCAAGATTCTTGAAACACATTATTAAATGAAAACACCTTAGTGGTATATAAAAACCCTCATGTCGGTTTATTAACATTGTATTATGAGTATGTGAAAAAGGTAAAGGAATATTTCAGCACGCGGCATTCTCGTGCAGAAAAATCCGAGAATTAACGAGAAACCTATCCAAATTGTTTCATACCTTCTTAATACGAGACTATATGCATGTCGTGGATCATACTAATCTATGAATGGCATGCAGACAATTTAGAGATCTAGTTTATTATTTTGGAGAAATGTAAGCGTGTTATGATGCTTTTCTTTTTTTCAACTCCTACGTTTCGCTAAAATTATCAAACTAAAGGTCTTCACGTTAGGCACAGCTTTGATTTAACATATAATCGATTATTTGTACGAGGATTTAGTATTCGATTTTCTAAATATTCTTCTACAAAAACGGAAATATTTTTATTAATCGTCATTAAACTCAATATATTTATTTTAACGATGATTTCATTTTATAATATTTTCAGAATTAACACGATTTCTAAATCAAGTTCTTTTTCTATTAAAACAAAACTAATAAGACTATACCTGTTTCTTGACAAATAATTTGTACATCGTCCTCCGACAATAATGCACTTTTATTCGATCCCATAGTAGTGCTTATGGCATGATTGTATCCACCTATATTCTAATTTCTTTTTCTCTCTATTCCCTAGTTCTGCGAAATACGAAATCGAACCGATTATGATCGTATTAATGTGATCGATTCATTCACCGGCAAAAAAAAATGAATAATAATAATAAAATGAACATCATAGAACATGATCAGTAGATTCGTATCAAACATAAAAGCAATAAAATATAATCGTCGAGCCATGATTTGCATTTTTTCTACATAAATTTACATTGATTCAAGACACATATTTTTATTTCTTCTATTACAAACAGACACAGACATGTAACATATAGTTAACGACAATTTGCAAAGATTAATTAAATAAAAGGAGAGAAAACAAAGCCTATGTGATTAATAAATATATGAATTTAAAACAAATAAAAACTCTCATACATCACGATTGAGTTTTTGATTTAGAAAAACGAAAAAAAATAATTTAGTAAGAACTGATTTGCATGAAATATTATGCTATTGATTATTTGTTTTTTTCTACATACATAAAAGCTAACGCGACAACAAAAACCCTGTAAATATTGTTCACTTAGAATAATAAATAATTCAGAGCTCTTTAATTTGATATTGTGCTTTCAAGATGAAAAACAACTTTTGATTTAATTTTTGTTCTATCTGACAGTCAAACATTTTCATGTTGGACGGTGAATAAATGGGATGTATGAAGTGAAAAACAAAAGGAGAAGATGTTTAGTTCTTTAAGTATTGATTTTGTGCGTTGACTAGATTTTTCTTGTGCATATCAAAAATAAAACCTTTTATTTCATCCGATATTAAGATCGTTTGAATTAGCACGATGACGACGAAATGATAAACATCGTTTTAAATATTCACCGATGCGCGTAAATGGTATTGAGCCACATTTACCAACAGGACCAATTATAGCACACAACGGCAAAAAGAAAAACATCGAAAATACCCATGAGGTGAGCACTAGAAGAAAAATTTTAATTAATATTTTTGTTGTAGTTAAGAGTCGAAAGTTCTGAGTGTGATCTTTGAGAAATTAAGATGTGACACATGATTGAACTACTTGTGATAAGTACTGAGATTACTCTAGTTTACATCGCTGTTATTAAATTTAATCCTACAGAATTACAATGATGAAGTAGCTCAAATACTATAACGAAATGCTGCATATATATATATATATGTATGCTCGACTATCAACAATTGCTATTTGTTCATGTCTACCTAGACAACCGTTATCGTGTATAAGTGAGATCTAAATCGCTGGTTCTCTATGTCAACATTTTTTTAAGATGATGTTCTACATACTAATTGTCATTAAAAATTGCCCCATTTGTCGAAATGATGTAAGCGATGATAGTGTCATTGAAAATCCAGCAGCGAAAGTTGTAAATGCAGCCATAAATACAGCTGAACCCACACGAGATATAGATTCAGTTACACGTGTTTCACGCTCAATTTGATGTTGCTTATATAACAATAGATATGTACTAAATCCTAGAAATTAAAGACACGGTTTTAGTCTAGTTGCTTCTCTTTTTTTCTAAGTCGACAAGAATAACTTACTGGAACGAGATTCTATTTCAACATTGTCAGAAGATTCTGCTGATATCGATATAGATGATATATAATGTTGTTTGATTCTTTTTCTTTCACGATCAATATCTGTAGAATCTGTATGAATATAACCAACACCGAAATGAACAACGAAATCTACTGAAAGGCCAACAGACATAATTAGAATAATAGCTTCAACTATTCCTAATTCCCATTTTAATGAAGCAAATATTGCAACAGTAACGGCTAAAATAAAAACAAAATAGAATATTATTAATTGAATAGGAACTATTTTGATAAATTTTATATAAAAACAAAACAGTTAATTACCTATAGCAAAACTAATTGTAAGTAAAGCATAGACTGCAATAAATAAATTGCCCGACGTAAGAAAAAGTACGAGCAAGGCAATGCCAAGTGATGCAATAAGAGAAGAATAAGAGCCAACAAGTAATTCACGTTGAACTCCATAAAATGCAAAACCAGGCGAAGAAAACCATGCATGTTGTAAATGCTTTGGCGCTTGATATTTAATGTAGGGATCAAAGAAATTTTTCACTTTGAAATAATAGGTATTGTATGAATCATAATCAGTTTGATTGAGTGTACCTGAAAAACAAAATCAAATAGAGCTTATTAATTATACGATGTTACTGTGCATAGTGAGTATCTTCAATTTTGTACCCGACATCACAAGAGAAAAGCATACTCCAATTGGACTATTATTTAAATGAGATAATCTAGATGAGTATGCTGGCTGCCGAATAAGTAAATAAGAAAACGGTTATCGAAGAGGATAGTCGAGACCACGAGAAAAAGAGTTAGTAGGACCGCAACTAAAAATATTTGATTCGGCACGCATCATTACAAGGGAATCAAGATGGTTTTTTTATTATTATAAATCAAAAATATATTTGAATAGATCAACCTTCATAGTTATGTGCCGTTTTGTAATCAAATTTTGAAAAGCATCAAAATTTTTTTCTCATTACAAAATTCATTTCAATGATCTGGGAATTTTCATAAGTCCAGCTTGTTTATATCGATGCTTTCAACTTAATAGAATGACATTCGCAAGTAAGTGCCTACTGTTATTCTAATGAAACGTTTGACAGTTGATAATTAAATAACAAAAGTTCATAACAGAACTGTCAAAAAACAGTGATGATGACAGGCTACATATGTATTCGCTCTATTTTTAGAAATTTTGATTTGGCTGTCAAAAACAGAAAATCTATATCAATAAACTTTTATTCATACCCCGAATAGTAATGATAACAGCAAATGGTCGAACACTTCCATCAACAGGCGATGGTTTATCGGGCAAAACTGCCCAATTAACCGAGCGTTGCTTGTTAACTTGTCTTTCACAAAAATCTGCTGGTACATTATTAGCACCTGCTGCACCAGTTAAACATTGCATAGCCGTTTTTAATGCAGAACGATGATAATCTTCAGTAAGTTTATCACGTATAGTTTCATTAATAGAACTACGCATATCATTTATATTGTAACTACGTTTGAGCTAAAAAAAATTTTTTTTTTATGAAATATGAAAGAAAAAAACAGAATCTAATTCATTCAACAAACCTGATCTTTATAATATTTTTCTAAAGTTTTATTGAATAATTTTCTATAATTTGAATAAATAAGAATTGGATTTGTTACATCATTTAATTGTTTCCGACAAATTTTACTTAAGGTTTTATTAATTTTACCAAATCTAGCATCAATAAAATAATCATCATCTGATTGATCATTGTCAATTTTATAATCGATTGTTTTTACAGTATCACGAACTAAATTATTGATTAAACTTGTATTTATTTTAGCTAAATATGTAATCATATCAACATGATTTGTTGCCGATACATTCTGCTTAGCATTATCATCTGCTATTTTAGCAAGTAAAATATCTTCTGTTGAAAGCTAGAAAAAAACAAAAACAAAAACAAAAACTAATGATGGAATTCTCAAAAACTTGTGATTTACTTGATAGAATGTTTCGAAATCTTTTTCTAAATCATAATTCGAACCAAATAAATCAGCTCGTGTTCCTAAATGTGATACAAAACTTTTGAAAAATTCTAATGTTATTTGACGTTCTAAATAAAGTGGCATTAAATGAAGATGACCACGATCATTCATATCAAATATATATCCATCATCAATATCACGTATGCCAAATATAAATGATACAGCTGGATATGCAAATAAACGTTTTTCTTCTCTTGAATAACCATTAAAATTATTTTTCATTGAAAACTCATAGATTTCCATTGGATTGTCTTTTAAAAAGAATGCAACTTTTTGTGTTGATGGAACTTGCAATTTAGGATAATGAAAAACACCAACAAGGCCTTAAGAGAAAAATTTACTAATAAAACAAAAAAAGCTCAAAGGTAAAGAAAAGCTCATTCACCTAAGACACCCATAGGTAAAAATAGTAAGACTAGTAGATAACGTAAATTAATTATAACATGTGGCATAAAATGGCCGAAAATGTAATTTCGAATGTCTCGACAAATACTTGCTAGACGACGACATAATTTTGCTGATGAACCGCTTGATGATGTGTCAACAACCGTGGTCAAACGTATTGGAAGTATACGTGATACAATATTTTGAATATATTTTTCATAAATAACCTGCAATGGAAATATATTCTTTTAAAATTAAGACAAAAAACTATTGTAGAAAGAAAAAGTTCAAAGATCCAATTTGTTTTCTAAGTAGTTATATTAAATGAGAAAATTTCGAGATTGTCTCAGACAAAGATTTCCTGTGCTTTCAAGACGTTGATAGAGTAAAGTTTTCTCAACATATTCACAAGACTTTCATTTCTCATTAATTTATTTTTCAATTGAATCGTTTTTAATATGACCTAGATTACAAGACGCCGAGCGTGGCGAAATCCTTGTAATTTCCATTCAAACGATAAAAATACTTGTTCAACCTTGTGTGAATCAAATATAGTTCGCTAAAGAGACGTCAACAAAAACACAACATTCATTTATAGATCTTTCTCTTACAAAGACCATCGTACGAGCCATTCTATTCCAGTTTTAAAGATTTATCAGTCCCAAGGGAAAATCCTTTCAAATGCCCAAGTCTATTTTTAGATTTTTCTGGGGGAAAAACACATCGATACAAATACTGTAATCTTTCTCCGACACGAAAGGTATATATATGAAAGAATTCTAATGTCAAAACTCATCAGTGAATATAAACTTACAGCAAATGCTGCAATAGCCGTAACGGTTATAACAAAATACAGTAAAATACATGTTCCAGTAAAAACGCCGAAAACTTGTATAAATGAAATATTTGTTAACATATTTGTAAAGAAAGCAGCTGATGTTGTAAACGATGTAACAAACATAGACGATGCAGCATGTTTTAATGTTTGAGCCATGATTTCTGTTAACGCTTCTTCACTTAATAATAATTTTCTCAATTCTTCTGGATCATTAAATAACGATAATCTATGACGTGCTTGAAATGCATTTGATGACACTTTTAATCTTTTGCTTTTTGTTTGTTTTTCATCATTTATCTCATTTAAGGGAATGTTTACATCTACATAAATAGCAGAAAATAAATGATTTGTAAACATTAATAATAATAATGAACAGAAGAAAAAGCATCTCATAAAAATCCCTGTGGAAATAGCTCATGAAACGCGATACAGTTGCATCTGTAGTTAATTAGTCGGTGTCAGACAAAAAGCTTAAGAGTTTAGAATTCACAATGTACTAATATGATATAGCGGATGATGCATAGAAAACGACAAAATAAGATATCTTAAATACCATCTGCTTTCGTGATTACCCTATAGAAAATGTTTAACATCATCATCAAGTCTACGAGTAGTAGGTAGACACAAATTTACTCGTATACTTCACAAACAGTCTGTTACATCTGAAGTTCTCGAATTGAGTTGAGTCGAATTTTAACATTCTCAACGACACTCACTCATTGATATGGAATAGCCGCCCTGAAGCAAGAAGATTTTTTGTTTCCGGCCTTTTGCATTCAACGATTGAGTCACGTTATATATTTCTCACGTAATAACAGCTATTCGATTTCAAAATTCATGCATTCGAGTAGTATTCAGTCACATTCGAAAGTAATCTGATGCGGCCTAGTTGCGGCACTCGTTTTGGATCATTTTTTGGCAAATGAGTTTCTTACCACTCTGTTGTCTATCTTGATATTTTCTTAGCCATTCAACTTTTTCTTGGTCCCATGTATCGAAAAACACAAATATATCATCGCAACCAATGCCAATTAATATAAATGCTGACATTAGATTCATGAATGGAAATATCGGTATCCGATAAAGAACACGATAAATGAAAAAACTCACACCAATCGATAAAGCTGCGCCAACAACAATAATTAAAGCTATTGAAACACTTCGTAAATAAAGCACTGTTATACCAATAATTAATGCTGTGGCGATTAAAACAAGTAGCATATCTTTAAAGAAAAACAAAAATTCATCATCATTCCATACTAACAAAAGACAACAATATGTTACCTTCGGATATTCTTGCCATGGCTGCTCGCTCTCGAATATTAGCAAAATTTAAGGCAATCAATTTTACAAAGTCATCTTGATATGATAATAATTGTCTTTTACCGGCAAAATATTTTTCAAATAAATCAACTAATTCTTGTCCTTTATAAATTGGTGTCATTAAAACAACTTCTTCAGTTTCATTTGGGCATTGATATTTACATTCACAATATTTAAAACAATCATTAGTTGTATATCCTTGATTTGAGCATGATTTTGAAAGAAAATTATTTTTAAAATCATTTTTACAACCACGTTCTTCACAATATTTTCTTGAATATGGCTGTCGTCTTAAACACATTACTTGATCGCGTGTACGATTATATTTTATACTTTTATAATTTGATATGAATATCATTGATAATGATACTTTGGAATTATTTTTTGATTGTTGAAAATCATTAATAAATTTTTTATCGGTAAAATGATCAAATACAAAGCGTGTTATATTTTTATAAAAACAAGTGTGACGTAAGGCAGTATAAACAGCTTTAACTTGTTCTTGATGAGTAAACTGACCCGGTTGATGTTGTAATATAACACGATTGAGAAATGTATCACTCAACGGTATATCCATATAGCCGTTGACGTAGTATGGTAGGCATGTATGAAGTATTGAACGAAAACGAACAACATCATTGAAGGTTATGAATTGACAATCTGTTTTTGATGAGTATAATGCAACAAATGTAGCTAATGAAAGACTAGGCACATGATCAAGTGAGAGAAGATGTTTGAATTTTTTCTCCCATTGACATATTGATTGTAAATGCTCCAGTGAAAGTAAATCTTCTGTCGGTTTTGCACGGCCAATATAAAATTCAATCATGCCATCTCGACCTTTAATTCAATGGATATATATATATATATATGTATTAAATAGTCATGCGCATTGTTAGAAAAATTCTTTTAATATCACTAAAAGATTATTATATTAGTTTAAAAAAATAAAACTATGACGTCTGTAAAACTCATTGTGTTTATAAAATAAAAATAGATATTCTAATTTTAAAATCGGACGATTATCAAATTAGTTCTATGGAGAATAGAATGTGAAATTCACATGTTTTTTTTAAATCTCATTACATTAATACGAAATGCGTCAAGCGGTAAATTTACTCTAGATATTAGCTGGTTTTCAAGGATAATCAATTACCCGAGAAATAATCGAGCTTACATATTTCTTTATTTAGATCAGAAATTTTTTCTGCTTTATACTGGCGCACTAGTATTTTACTCTTTTTGATATTATTACTTTATCCGGTAAATAACTGTATAACATATGTCTACTATATCGGCAGCATACTGCAAGACACTTTTGTTTATCTCAATAAATTATCAGAACATAAATATTATTTTTACTCTCTCGATGTTATAATTTGATAATTTTACGCTTTTCTATGTTCGTTACGTGGCGGCTGTTACTAATTGATACATCGGTATGCTTTAACCTTGAAATCTTGAATATATATGAATTTTTATCGCTAGAAAAATCAAATCTAACACAATTTACAGCATTCACATAGGCATTTCAATGAAGACTTTGATATGCTCTAGAACAGTGTAGTTATTATCGTTGATGTGCATCAATTATTGTATTTTTTTTTAATTACTAAAGTATTCAGAGTAGCCAAAATGATATAGGTTGACAGTAATTACTTTGGAAAAGTATTCAATAAGGTTGAAGAACGACACGATTGCTATAAAATTGGAAGATTCAAGAAAGTTACAGCATTTCCTTTAAAAGAACTCGTACTCATTAATTTCCTCCGGAATATGTTTATATAATGACAAAATGTACAATGGACCGATCAATAGAAATAGTTTGAAATACGATATTCGTTAACGTTATACCCCTGTTTGTAACAGAAGAATTCACATTTACATAATTACAATGCGAATGTGACAAAAAAATCCTTGGACGTTAACCTAATCAATGAAATGCTGCAGGATTTTACACACAAAAAGAATGAATTCTGAACAAATCTCAAAATTTTATTTTTAGTTCGAATCATTCATGAAACTGATAGTGATTCATGTTCGATTTAATCCCATCAGCGACGTAATAAATTCGTATCGTTTTTTTCTTCTGAAATTGACGTTTATCATAGAGATAAACTACATAAATTTGTTCATCATCAAATTTCATGTATCAAATTTAGTGCGATAGAATATTATTTTTTGTCAATACATTCTTTCATTCTATACCTAATTTGTTTCTATTTTGAATTTAAAATCATTCTTGTGATAGTAAATATTAGCTTACAAAATATTGTAACATTTTGTTTTCAATCCCTTTTGAATTTAAACTGATAATGTAATTAAAGAAAGCTTTTTATTGGATCTAGTTCCAATTAAAAGATAATGTTTCTTTTATGAAAAAAAGCATCGCTCGCAATTGTTTTGTAAAATGATATCTTTTTTAAATAACTTATGCAATATATTTGCTCGCTTCTTATGAATACATTCCGTTTATAATTTTAATCAAGATAGAATAAAGAATGCTAATACCTGTTCGTCCTCGATATTTTTCTTCTAGTAGGTATGCGTATGGTCGGAAAAGATCAAACGGTAATCTAGCTGATTGATAATTGCTTCGATTGAATTGTGGTAAATTTTTAACGAAATCAAATACAGTTGTATTAATCCTAGTGAACCAATGAATCATTTAACTAAAAATTCAATTTGCAAAAAGAAAAACAGATAAACGTACATTTTATCATCAACATATTTAATAATTGAATTGTTAAGATCAAAATGCCTATCACGATGCCATTGGTAGAGTAATGGAGATTGAGCATTGTCTTCATCGTAATGTGGCATTTCATTGTCATCAATATCATTGTCATAAAAATCATTATGTAAATTATTATAATCGATTAATTCATCATATTGTTTTGTTGGATTTTTCTTTCGCCATAAATCATATTTCGAAAGTGCATCAAAACGATAGGAATTTTCATCCAAATCTTCGACAGTTAAATTAGAAAATTGATTAAATGCACCAAATAACTCATAGGTTTCTAATGGTAATTCATAGGCAAGTCGAAATCTTTCTGATGCGTGCCGTAAAACCATCAATTGAGAAAAAATTGTACCTTTTCCACGTGCACCCCATCCCTATAAGTAACAAAAAAAAAAGAGAAACTTCTCTTATCTTCTAATCTGCGTTAAACTTTATATTACTAGTCTTGGATCAGAAAAATCTGGTAGCTCTGTGAAAACGAACCCAGCAATTGTCAATAGAATTGAAATGAAAACAACTGAACCAAGGACAAGCCAATGATGACGAACCAGTAAACGTGAATAACTGCAATAGATAAGGGAAAGAAACAATATAACTTCTGCCGAAATTTAATATAGTAATTGAAATTTAAGACAGCAACATTACTAAGTAATTGTAAACTAGAAGCACTTTATTTTATTTAACCAATCATCTTTTTAAATTTCAATTAGCTAGAGTTCGCCTACGTACGTGATATTTGATAAAGCTAACATTGTCAAATCTATATTTATTGTACTATGATAAAATCAATACTAAATCAAGAATCGTGCATCGAACTACGAATGAAAAGAAAGCATATAGATATGGTTGTGCATCACCGATTGCCTTTCATCCTGTTGAATGTATATTACCTCCAATAAATGTATCTGCCGATAGTTTTCGCTTTTCGATTCTCGAAGAATCGAAAAGCGAAAAAAATCTTTATTCTTTTTATTATGATTCTCATCCTCGACAAGCAAGCACATATGAGTACATAACTATATCATTTTACGATGTATATCAACGGTTGTCGTATAGGATAATTTATTTAGGCAAATGAATGAAAAAAAAAAGACAGACTCGTATCACATTCGAATGATTAATGGGTCCAATGAGTTTGCACGGTTCGTTTCGTTCTCTTTTGACAAGATATTTCTTTGTCTCCGTAATTCATAGGCATACATCTTCGATAGGCCTCTACCAATTCTGAATTGTCAACTTTGTTAAAATTGAGAATGGCGGCTAAGTAATATATATGTTAAAATCTGTATCTTTCAATTAAGTAACATAGATGTATATTCGAGTTTTTGTCCTACCAAATCAAATATTAGGGAAATATCACTTGTAATGGTGATGATTGTAATCTTGATAGATTTTGACATTCATTTAGATTATTAGCCGCCTCAATTCATGATACTAATTAACATGTTTTTAATAAAGGCAATTGAATAGAGAAAAGAGAACATAAATGACAGTATCTGTTTCACCTACTCCCGTTTTAGTACTTAAATTGTTTAATTTTCTTAATTTTTAGATTGGCATAAAAAAAAACATCATAGAGTAGAAAATTTGGGAATATAATGAACGGCTTCAAGATGATGATAAAAAAAGCAAAGGATGATTCGAAATGCGTAAACAAATAGAAAAATATAAGAAGGTAAAAAAGTGCTCTTCACTCGTTATATTACTATCCTTAAAATAGAATAAATTGTCGCCTTGAATAATTAGGGTCATTATACGATTTTTTATGCATTAAAGCAAAATTACAAAGGCTTTTATTAATTTTTCTTTATCATGCAGATAAGCCAGTCGTATTATGATCCTCTCTTTTTTTTTGTTTGCCAAGATGAAAAAAAACTACAATATAAAAGCCAACGAAGCAAAAAATATATGCCATGAACATACTTCACAAGCGATAGTTTTGTTGTAAACTTTAAAAGAACAGCGCTTATTGATAAAAATTTGATTTCTAAATCAACAGAGTAGATTAGTTCTACTAATATTCAAATCAAAAGATAATATAGAAATAACTAAGTTCGTCTTCTATTTAACATTATGCATATGTTGAAAGTAAAAACATTAAACTCATATTCGTATTACAATATTTGCTTGACGACTAGGGCACTGTATGTGTACCCACTAAAAGACCCTAAGTCAATATTCGTAATAACGAATTATATTTAATTTCAATGAATAATGCTTTTTTCTTTTTTTTTAAATTATTACAAATCAAGAAATTATCTTTGATTTTATCAATCCAGTTTTTCAATGCCAAGCAATAAAAGTCTTAAGTTCCACCAGTAAGTTTTATCACATTTTATTATTCTATTCTCTTCGAAGTAATAAACTCGTTGAAAACTTCTACAAATACAACAATCCAAGAACGACAATCGGATATAGAAAATATTCTAAACATCATAGGATGTACACACATATATTGAGACTAACGATTATGGCATATTTATTTCTCGGCATAAATACAACAGACTTACCCCAGCATTATTATAGTAGTGGGTTGTACAGATTTTTCAATACTTGATCTGCGAGTAAAGGGCGAGTTTTGTTTTTTGTTTCAATTCAAATATGTGGTTGTCTATGACATTGTTGTTGTGTACTATGGATGCATGCATATATATTCTCTTTTCTTCTATCTTTATTTTTTCTGTCGATTGCTGAACAACAAAAAACATCAACGATAGCAGTAAATCCAACGCATTATCAATAAAAAGAAATGACGCTATTTTTGCTACTAGCACTACTCTTTTTTTTTTCTTTTCTCTTGTTCTTTTCTTTTTCGTTTCTTTTCTTCTTCTTTCTCCTTCTTCTCTATTCTTAACGTTACGATAAAACTGAGTGTGTAGTTCGTATTTCCGAGTATAAGAAAAGATCTTTTTTTTACCAAGAATTCTTTTTTTCTCCTAACGTCAGCCAAAAACACTCAACTATAGCCCTGTTTATTGTATTCTGTCCGCATTTATTTTTCTTCTCACTTTCTTGTCTAATTATCAAAAGAAAATTTTTTTCGTCTAAGCAACAAATAGAAAAATATGACTGGAACCATGAAGTGCTTAATAATAACTCATAAAATTGGATGACTCAGATAAGAACTTTAGAATAATATCAAGTGTAATCGATTGCTCATACCGAATATTGACAAACAATTTGATAATAGAATAGCTTGCATGATTTTTATAAATATATATAGTTTGATTGATGAATCGAATTATCAATTATTTACTGTTAATTAAAAACAAAATTGATAAATAGGAATGTTTACTAGTTTTCAGATAAAGAATAATTAATTGGGCGTATTAATAACACGAATGACATGCAATGAAAATTTCCTAGGAAAATTATCGAATGATATTGATCAAGACTTATCGAACCGTAATGAATTTTTGCAAGTATGATCGTATGAAAACAAAAGATTCCATAGAATTTCAAAATTGTGAACTCTAAATATTGTTCCAAATTGTATTTACTTTATTATTTAGACGAACGTGACGTCAATACAAAAAAAATCTACGCCGTTTATGAAACGACATTTTCCATTTGGATTTCGTGATGAAGCATTAGCGTTAGTTAAAATTACTTTTCCATTCGCATTGGGAAATGTTCTTTCAACATGGCTGATTTCATTTGTTTCACTGGCATTTATAGGTCATGCACACGGGCAAATAGAATTCAATGCCTGTGCTTTAGCTTACTCGACGTATATTCTTATTGCAAATTCATTAATGCTTGGACTGAATTTTGGTTGTGATACTTTATTACCTCAATGTTTCGGTGGAAACAAACGCAAAATGGGTTTAACTATACAACGAGCTGCTATTATAACCGGATATTCTTGTTTTATCTTTTGGCCATTACTACTGAATGCGGTAATTACTAGAAAATGAAACAGAAACAAAGCACTTCAATTGATACACTAAATTATTTCACATAAAATTTAAATGTTTTTTTTTAATATTTTTCGTTAGAAATATGTATTAAGATATATTGAACATGATCAACGAGTTGTTCGACTGGCTGACAAAGTATTACGTTTATTTCTATTTACTGTTCCATTGGATGGCTTATCTATGTTACTGCAAAAATATATTGCATCAAATGAAAAAACCTGGCCGTTATTAATCATTAATTTAATTGGTAATGCTGTCAATGTACTTTCAAATTATCTTTGCTTATATGAATTTAATATGAACACACGTTCGCTACCAATATCAATTACAATTTCGTATGTTGCAATTGTATTATGTGCATCGTTTTATATTCGATTTTCATCAATTTATAAGGACACATGGCATCCAATAAGTCGATCATGCCTAAATGAATGGAATATTTATTTGAAATTATCAGTACCGGGTATATTCATGATTATGTACGTATACATTCACCATTGACTGAAATCAATTTAGAAATTTTAATATTTTCTAAGGACAGAATTTTGGTCTATTGAATTAAGTATGTTATTTGCTGCTCATCTCAATGTTGATTCACTATCTGCACAAACATGTGCTTATCAAACAGCATGGCTAGTTTATTCAATAACAGCATCGTTTGCTACAGCAGCTAATATACGCATTGGACAATTTTTAGGTAGTGGAAAACCTAACGAAGCAGCTAATGCAAAGAATGTTACCTATGTAATTGGTGCTGTGGTTATTTTTATTAATATATGTTTAATTGTAATTTTTCATCGTTGGTTTCCACTTGCATATAATACAAAAGCTGACGCATTGACACTTGCTCGACGCACTCTTTTGTTAATTGGCTTTATGCAATTATGGGATGGTTACAATGTTATCAATACTGGCATTGTTAAAGCTTGGTAAAAGAATTTAAGCGCACAAAAGAAGAAAATTTGTTGTTTCTTTTTTTTTAATTTTAGTGGAAAACAAAAACGTAGTGCCATGATATCGTTTCTCGGATTTTATGTATTTGGCATTCCTTTTGCAGCTTTCTTAATGTTTTCTGTTCGTATTGATATATATGGATTTTGGATTGGTGTTATAATTGCTGAAACAGTTACTAATATTTTTTTATTTCTATTGATATATCGCTTCAATTGGGAAAGTCATGCAAAAGCAGCACTTGTACGAATTCAATTCAATACAAATAATATTTCTATTGTTACGACTGTGGATGGAGAATGTCAAGACACGAAAATAAATTCTAGAAACGACGCAGAAGAAATTATTCCGATGGAATCAATAGGACTAAAAGTTTTAGTGCTATTATTATTTATTCTGTTCTTTATTGCTGGTATTATAACTTCAAAATAGATACCTTTATAATTAGCTTCGCACAGAACGTTGTTGAAAAGATTGAGTGAATTATGGTTTTCTTCTTTCGTATTTATATAATTCATGCAATTGCTGTTTGTTTGTTTTTTTGATTGTTAAACCAAGTGATATTCATCTAACTGAACATTGTAAGAGTAGACATTGTTTTATCGTCTGGATTCATACAAGAATAGTGAACATAAAAATAAAATTCAATGCAAAGCAAGATCTTGGTTTTTGCATATTAGATTATCTATATCTTCATTTCGATTCGATTCGAAGTTTATGCTAATTCTTTTATCATTCATGATTAGAATGTTTACGAGTTATTTTATCAAATACTGATATGAATCATCATAATCGTACTGATATTTAGTTCATAAGAAAATCAGAATAATCAAAAGAATTATTGTGGCATATGTTGAATAATAAATAACGAAGATATAATGCGATGCATGATCTATCCATGGTTAATAAATATATTTGTCATTCAATACATTTTCATATTTTTGTCTTAAGCAAATATTCTGAGGTATGTTCGCACGTGTGCTACACTTTCGTATTTTTTGAAAACCTATTAAACAAAAAACAAAGAACAATAAAAATGCTAAAATATAGAAGAAATGTCAAGAAAATATGGCATATAGGAAGCCGTGCAATCAAAAATGAATAAACCGATTTAGTGGTCGATAGAAATTGAGTTCACCGAGAAACTGAATGATTTAGGAGAACAAAAAACATATTTTAGAACGCATGCAAATAATGTTCCGTTTTACTCTATAGAAAAGTTTATAAGAAAAAAATTTCTTCATCTTTGTAGCAGAATATTAATTATAGATTGTGTTTTGGTGTTCATGCGCTTTTATTTATATGTTAACGCATAAATGTTTTATTTTTTATTTATTCAAAACTGTCAAAAAAATATAAAGAAGGGATGAAAAAAAAAGTGTGCTATTCGTTTTTTTATACATAAGTTGCATGATGATATTGTTCATGGACGAATTATAGTGCTTTTTATTGGATTCTTTCAAGCGACACCATGATTATAGTACATCTTTTAAGTGCACAAGGGATGCAAAATGGTAATTTTTACTTTGCTTTACTATTCAGAATTTTTGTCCGACAGCAGTACGGTACATTTCAGTTAATAGTAGTGACAGTATTTATATGGTCATGATTTTAAGTGACTCACACACACCTACAATTTAAATATGTTAGATGTTAACAATAAATTTGAGAAAATTTTTTGGTGCGAAGAAAATTAAGTCTCTCGTGGTGTCACTACGACTACTTGTATCACTAGGCAAAATATGCCTATAAGTGAAGAAAAATAGATTGTCAACAAAATAACATATTCTATATCTAAAATATCTACGATTAATCCTATTAGGATTCCAATTAAAATAAATGATAATGATAAATTATACTCTTAGAATAGAAGAGAACAAAATTCAAAATGCAACTCTAGTTAGAGAGTACTAGAGTCAAATATACACTATTGAAGAGTTATATCGTCATCAAGCACTGCTAGAGAATGATATCATATCATAATTGATTACTAACATAATCTAGAATGTAAATTGTGGTTGATTCAGTGTAACTAAAAATTTGATTAGTAAATAATTTACAGTAATATTTAAGTAATTGAAAAAGTCAAGATACTGCAAAAAGAAAATGAAATCTTAATAATACGAGAAGATGGAAAAAAATAGCTCCAAGATCATTAATTAGTTTTTGCAGCTCTAATATATACTATTTCGTTTGCTCTATCATTAACGGAATTTAAATAAGCATTAGATGTACTATGACACTAATATTATGTAATTAGAGTCATTTAGAAGAGTGTCTCAAAGTAGATAAAATTTTTTGATTAGTATGACCTACTAGATAGATGTTTTTTTTTCTACTGAGAAATTAGTTTTTCTATGGGTTAATTAATGAAATCTTAATATAGAGTAAAATAGTAGATATTCTCTATATATTTGACGACTATAGTGTCAGTTGAGGTTATTTTTAACGCTTTCATTGATTTAAGCTGAATAGATTTACTTATTTCGCTAACATATGGTAATGATCAACAATCATATTATAACATTCTAAACGGACCGTTTTCCATCACTTTATTGAGCAATTAATACAAAAGAAACAAATAAAATGTTATATATATATATATAAATTCTATTACTTTTGAATGATATTGTTGAATAAAAACTAATAATCACTTTTGAGGTTTTATTCGTAATGAAAATATGCTTGGGAAATTACTTCAAGATATTTATTGTATGTCTAAATTTATATATACGGAAACAAAACGCATTCATTGATTTTGCGTTTTTTTCGAAACTGATTACTTCGCTATATTTCATTCTACTGTATTTCTTGTACTCGCATGTTTTATTTTGGAGAGATGGACGCAGAACAATTCTAATTGTTTTTTCTTATCCCTTTTAGTTCGGAGAGAATTAATTTTCTTTAGTAATTAGTAAAAGATTTAATTGTGTTTCTAATTGCGCTTGTTTCGTTTGGTTTATTTTTAGGTAATGTTCAAGAGAGTCATTATGATGAGTTAAACGTCAGCAAAATAAAACGAGTCAAACAATGATGATGACGACGATGAGCAAATCCTGTTGATGAGACATTTCTCAACAATTAAACAACCGGTGATATGAAAAAAAGAAATAAGAGATGTCTGTGATTTAGTTTTAACAAGAAGAAAATCGATACTCGACAAAAAGTTTGTGTGGTATTGATTGTTATCAACTAGGATACAAAAAAAGACTTTGAAAAATCCATATTTGATTCACGATGAAAGCAAATGAATAAACAAAACGATGCGAAAGAGCTGTGTTAAGATCGTTGAAACTTGACAAAGGTTCTGTAAGATAAAAGACTTATTGCTGGCATCGATCAAATTTTTTGCAGAGATCTCTTTGTTGAAAATTACTGATTGAATAAAATACTGGACAGCCGCTGAAGAAACGTCAGTTCTAGTTGTACTCAGGAAATTTCTGATTTTATATTGAGTTTGATTTTGGTTTTCTTCTATAGGAATATTCTAGAAGGATTAAATAATTAAACCCAATTAATATTAATTTGATAAATTATAGCGCAATGTCAGTATTCAGGTGCACATGTGTATATTCAAATGGCCAATCAAAAATCTACAAAACTATACAACTTACAGAGTTTTCAATGAGAAATTAATCAAAAATAAAACCATTTTTTCTTAGGATATAAGCTGCTATATATTGTGATACTTTGTTTATAAAATTCGATTTAAAAATAAATCGGTACATATATAATGAGACAAACTACAACGTATAATTAGATGTTATTTCATTCTTTTTCTTTCTGAATGTGAAAAAAAGCTGTTAGCGCAATCCCTGTGGAATCAAAATGTGAAACACGATAAAACTCCTTTTCCGGAATCCGCCAATCACGGCCAGTCATCTCCTGTGGAGCTTCTCTGTTACGGCATGTATCATGATGTATGGAGTCTCTAGAAACCATCACAGACCGGCACAGAGAAATTTAATAATTAATTAATTCACCAAGTAGCTGATTAATTAATTTCTCTGTAACGGCCTGTGGGGGGTCCAAATTTCTACCCTATATTCTTCAACACTCCTTTCAGATCGTGTTTCACAAAGTAAACACTCTATCTTGTTTTTAACATGTTTGACTCAAAGCAAAACTATCTAATCGTCGTTTTTGAAAAAGACATAACCAAACGAGGTAAACTTTTGCGATGCACTAGAATATTTGCAACCATCCTGTAAATGGACATATGTTGCGGTACACAGAAAAAACAAGAGAAATTACATCACTCGTAAATGATAGTGAGATATTTTTATTAGATTTATATAGCTAGAGATACTCGACCAGATGCTGCGATAATAAAATGATAGTTTTTGTATTTCGATTTATTACTACTTGAAAGAATTCCTTGACATCAATAACTTCATCTATTCAACACAAGTACAGCAGTACAGAGAGCAAAATGGCATTGTATACTTTTTGTATACATGTTGAAACATGAAAGTTGAATTAAATTCATGGTATCAGTTAAATAGTTGATTCGTATATTCAATTGATCCTCGATTATGAATATTATGATCATGAAATGAAGTGCTCCGGAATTATCAAAAAAGTGTTTTATTGAATAAAATGCACAAAATGACTATTATTCATCTATTTAATTTGAATGATTTCAGTACATATATATATATTTATTTAGTACCTGATAAATATTATGAAGAGTCAGTCAAGGATTCTTCTATGCTATATTTGCGAATAAGTGTTTATCAATGTTATTTTCACACCATTCATATATAATAGCATGTCATCGTCATGATATTGTTATTTTTTTCTCGAAAGTAATAACAAAATCATCTGATTTATTTCGTGTCCCGGAGCACAGTATGTTAGTTCTTTTGAAAGGCTCTTCAGATTTTTGTTTGTTTTAATAGTGTACATTGACAGTTTCATTTATAAACAGAATTAAAAATCATAGAATGTAGAAGATCAAAAAACAAAAATTCTCAATTGGTTAATTTCTCATCTTTGTCATAAAATATGCGCACAAATCTTCTTTGCTTGTTCATTCGTCTAATATAGCGCGTCATACAATTTCATGCTTGACTGAAATTCATTGAAACAGCAAGCCGTTTATTCAGATCAAAATACAGAGAATAGAAAAATATAATAGGTACGGGGGAAAAAAATCAACTGATGTTTGTTTTTTCTTTACCCTTGTTGATTTGTGATTCTTCGTTTTATTTTATCTCTCTATGTTAATAGTTGTACTGTTGCTTTATTTAGAGTTATGACTTCTGAAAAAGTTTGGAAGTCACCACGACTCATTCCATCAACCCGTTTCACTTTAGCTTTACTTGTTTCGTTTGCACTTTTTATTCAATATGCACAACGTGTTAGTTTAGCTATGGGTATTGTTTGCATGGTTAATAGAACAAATATAAATTCAATAGCAAACAGAACATTATCTTCATCTCAAAACGATAAAATCTCAATAAAAACTTCAACAAAATATGGATCTGACATTTTCCAAGAAAAGCAATTTTTTTTCACTGAATTTCAACAACAAATTTTACTCGGTGCTCATTGGTTTGGATATCTTCTAACTCTAGCACCCGGTAATTGGATCAAACCTAATTCTTTATATGTCTCTGTTCTTTTGTATAAATAGGTGGTTGGATATCAATTACGTTCGGTGCTAGGCGAACATTTGCTTTTGGTACTCTTGTGAGTTCAATAGCTACCCTAGCAATGGTCGCCATTTATTATGTCGATGAAATGCATTTTATTCTTGCTGTTATTTTTCGAGTCATTGTAGGTCTAGGTCATGGTCCACTATTTCCAGCTACGTATACGTTTTGGTCGATGTGGGCCGTCCCTTTAGAGAGAAGTACTTTGACATCGATTGGATTTTGTAGTACCAATTTAGGCACATGTAAGTCAACGGTCTTTATTCTTAGTTTTAATGATAATTATTGTTAACGCTTTTTTTTCTTCTTCGAAGCTATAACGATGTTATTTAGCGGTCTCTTATGTCGTTATGTAAGTTCAGGATGGATTTATATCTTTTTTTTAACAAGTATGTTGGGTTTTATTTGGTTACCATTATGGTTATGGTTAGTAGCTGATTCACCTCAATCTCATCGAACTATTAGTGAACAGGAACGAAATTATATTTGTGAACGTATCGGTATTAACTCAAATGATAGAAAAACTCGGTCACCTTCATTTTCTTCTTTGCCATGGAAAAAAGTTTTCCGTTCGAAACCCCTTATTGCATTAGTCATTGCTCAAGTTTGTAATCTTTTTGGACTTTTCTTTTTCTATACAAATGCTGGTAAATTATTAACTGAAATACATCGTGTTCCTCCTCAATACGCAGGATATGTCTTAGCTGTAGGATTTATTTTTATGCCAGTAGTAAGTCTTTCAACCGGTAAAATCAATGAAATATTTTTGTAAGAAAAAATTTTGATTTTCCTTTTTGTTGCCAAAAGGTATTTTTGCTGACTATCTTGTTCGATCGAATATTATGTCACTGACGAATGTTCGCAAAATATTTACTTGTCTTGCATCATTCATGAGCGCCGCGTGTATGATTATGTTGTGTTTCTGTGATCATACGAGACAAGTACTTGGTATTGCAGTTGTATTCATCTTTCTTGTTAGCTCGGGTAAGCTTTAATAGATATGAAATCTATGGATTCGAGAAAAAACAGTTTTTTAGCAACGGCTTATGGTTCTGGATATGTTGTTAACTTTGCTGATATAGTTCCAGCTTATTCCTCAATTATCTTTTCCATATCAAGTGCACTCGGAACGATTGGTGCTCTTCTTGGTAATCTTGTGGCTGGTATTATTATAAAGAAGCCGGTGCTTGAAGATTGGCGAAAACTTTTGCTACTATTTGCAATACTCTATTTTATTGGTGGTGCTGTTTATTTTATCTATGGATCAGCCGTGCCTCGAAAATGGGCTACATTTAATTCGGAACCAACGAAAGAACTTGAAGAAGATGAAGTTTTAACGCCACTACCATCACAAGTAGATTTACCCAATGCTATAAGAGAGACTGAAGTTACTTAATTTATAAATTTTTTCTTGATTATTTCATTAGTTAAATAACTTTAATTTATGTTAGTGTCATTTTATTTTTACTTTTTATTTTTAAAAGAATATGTCCGATACATTTATTAGTTATTGGACTTTTTATTTTTAGGAAAATGTTTTTTTCTTGCATGTTAAGTTAAGTTAGGTCATAACAAAATTTTTATATTTATCCATAAAAATAGAATTTTTCTGAAAACATTTATACATGTATAAATAATAATGATTCGGCAGAACTTGATATTTAGTACAATTAGATCAACAATCACTCCGCTTTTTTCTTGTGTCTATTCAGTTGTTTTTGTGTAATTCTATCGAATCAATTACGATTCTGGATGAGACGTGTACATATTGGCAGATTAGTTGAATAAATACCATGTGCATAATGATGATAGATGTTTGTATTTATAAATTATCATCGATACTTTTGAAGTTCAGTACTCAATTCAATTAATATATAGACTTCAAGAAGTATCCCGAATAGATCATATTGCCGATAGATTTTTGTTTTTGAACCTTATTATACTATACGTAGTACCGAGGAAAAATTGTTTTATTGGAATCACAACTTCTATTAAATAAATTATTTTGCTTAAGTTAAAAAGACAAGAACCTATCGAGTTCCAAAGCGTTTCATATTAACTAATGTAAATTGATATTGTACTTCGATTTCGATGATTAGAAAACAGTTGTAAGTAGCCTAGTAGAAATTATTTTGATATCATTTGAGTAAAATATATAGCTTAACGTAGATATTGATTTATAGAATTCCTTCAAATTATCCTCTACTAAAGTCTGCATTGATACTTATAGTTCTCAAAATCGACACTGTTCGAATACAACAAAGTTTGATGATATACAAAAAAGACAGAACCTCTAAGCTTCTTGCAAATCATTCCTTTTTTTATAATTGATTTGTTTTTGAACCAGATTATCCCTACTGTTTAGCTGAATATGGACTCTAGATAACATGTTGAGATTATAGTCGATGTAAATAAATTCTATAAGAAATATGCACATGAATATATTCTAGTTATAGCCTCGAATCTATTATTGATTTAATAATCTTTGCTTTCTGGTAAAGCAGCTACAACTTGAAAATTCACTGCTCTGATGCTTTTTGATGCCATATTAATGGAAAATCTTTTGTATGCTCGTTTATAATGGCTTTCGTCAGTAATTCAATTATGGTCTACTGTGTTTTGGAACATGAAGAATATTAGCATTATTTAAATTCAAGAAGAACAATAAAAAAAAAATGAAACCATTTATATACAACTGGTAGAATCCACCAAACTAGCTAAAAGATAATCTTCGTCGTTTTGATATTGCTCTTACAACTATGAAAACATTTTCGATTCATAATTATTGCCTTTCTTTTTTGAGAAATTTACGAAAAAATTCGTTATTACCGAGTCAATTTGTTAATGAATACATAAGATGAAGAGAAAACGGAATGTTTTGAAGAATCTAGTCCAACATATTCTAGATGTCGCACATTTACCGAGACAACATTATATATATATTCTATATGAGGCATTCATAACAAATCAATGGTAATAAAGTACATACATTGTTCATCGTATCCAACATTTACCTCTTCGTTGTGCTGTTACTAATAATGTCACATAATTCATATACATTTTTCTCTGCTCTATAGATTTAATTTTATTCCAATACAATATCAATTTCGAAAATGGCTTCAGGAGATGTTCAATCAGATGAAAGTCTTTATCCAATAGCTGTTTTAATCGATGAACTTCGTAACGAAGATGTTCAAGTAAATAATCATTCTATTTTCGTTTTCATAGTTAGGCTTTCTTTGTCTATAGTTACGCCTGAATAGCATCAAAAAATTATCTACTATTGGATTAGCACTTGGCGTTGAAAGAACACGATCTGAACTTATTCCATTTCTAACTGGTTTGTTATTACTTCTATTTTAATAATAAAATAACTGAACATAATTTCCTATTTTCAGATACAATTTATGATGAAGATGAAGTTCTGCTAGCTCTAGCTGAACAATTAGGAACATTTACGCAGTTGGTTGGTGGTGAAAGTCATGTTCATGTTTTATTGGTATAGAAATTTGAAAAATTGAGAAAACATTTGTTTGACATCTATTTGCATCGTTTAGCCACCATTGGAAAGTTTAGCACAAGTTGAAGAAACCATTGTACGTGATAAAGCTGTGGAATCACTTCGCATATTAGCACCACAACATTCAACAACTGATTTAGAAACATATTTTGTACCGACTGTTAAACGTTTAGCACAAGGTGATTGGTTTACATCGCGTACATCAGCGTCAGGTCTTATATCTGTTTGTTATGCACGTGTTTCAAATCATGTCAAAGGCGAATTACGACAGTGAACATTCAATTTGTTTTTGTCGTTCTAATTTTTAATTCATTTTTCTATTAAAGATTATTTAAAACTCTTTGTCAAGATGATACACCTATGGTACGTCGTGCTGCTGCATCGAAACTAGGTGAATTTGCTAAAGTTGTTGAGCCAGAATATCTACGTCAAGAACTTGTATCACTATTTACTAATCTGGCAAATGATGAACAGGATAGTGTACGTTTATTGGCTGTAGAAGCTGGTATTGCGATGGCTGGTTTATTTCGACATGAAGATCTTGAACAACAAATGATGCAAACATTACGATCTGCAACTGAAGATAAATCATGGCGTGTACGATATGTTGTTGCAGACAAACTTGTTGAGGTAGACTTGTTTTTTCTTTATAATTGTTAATGATCATTAGACTCCTCCTTACTTTTTTTTATTTAGCTACAAAAAGCTGTTGGTCCAGAAATAACAAAAAACGACTTAGTTCCAGCTTATTGTTCACTATTGAAAGATCCCGAAGCTGAAGTACGAGCAGCAGCAGCATCGAAATTGAAAGATTTTTGTCATAGCTTACCAGCTGATACACGCGAACAAATAATTATGTTACAAATTTTACCTTGTGTAAAAGATATGGTTGGTGATATGAATCAACATGTTAAATCAGCGTTAGCTTCAGTTATAATGGGTCTTTCACCGCTACTTGGCAAGGATAAGTATGCTTATTTGATTTTTGTAAATAAAAATAATATGTATTCTTGTTTTGTTTTCTGTTTAGTACACTAGAGCATCTTTTACCATTGTTTCTTAGTCAACTTAAAGATGATTATCCAGAAGTTCGACTTAATATTATTTCAAATCTTGATTGTATAAACGAGGTATGTTTATTTTCGTGTTAACATAATCCCCTGTGAGATTCAACTATGAAGCAATATATATATATATATATATATATAGGTGTTATTTCCACTGAGATCTTCATAGTCTGCGAGGAAATTTTTTTCTCTGTAGAATTTTCAATTCGTTATAGCTTGCGTTTCATAAAATGATTTATCTATACATAGGTTATTGGAGTTCGTCAATTATCTCAAAGTCTTCTACCAGCTATTGTTGAATTAGCAAGTGATGCTAAATGGCGTGTACGTCTTGGTATCATTGAATATATGCCATTATTAGCTGGTCAACTTGTAATTTATTTTATTTAGACTATAAGAGCATTACGAATCAACTTCTTTGTTTTGTATATCTAGGGTGCAGAGTTTTTTGATGAAAAATTAAGTAGCCTTTGCATGAGTTGGCTTACAGATCACGTCTTTGCAATACGTGAAGCAGCCACAAATAATTTAAAGAAATTAGTTGAAAAATTTGGTCGTGATTGGGCACAAAGTACGGTTATACCAAAAGTTATCCAACTAGCACGTGATCAAAATTATTTATATAGAATGACATGCCTGTTTGCTATTAATGTAAGAACATGAAATTTTCTACTTTTTTTTCTATTTTAAATTTCATTAGGCACTTGGCGAACCATGCGGTCAAGAAATAATTCAACGAATGATGTTACCAACTGTAATAACACTTGCCAGTGATCCTGTGGCTAATGTCCGATTTAATGTTGCTAAAACATTAAATCATATATATCCAGTACTTGATCAAAGGTAATTATCGATTGTGAAAAAGATATTAATTACAATCTTATTTTTACCTATTTGACATTCTTAAACTGACTTTAGAAATAACTTATCTAGACTTTAATCATGGTATCATACAGAATAGATTGAAAATATTTTTGATTATGGATCAACTTTTATGGCAAATGATTAATATCATTTCTGGAATATTATTATTAGATTTTCTTGTTTGACAATATAAAAGTCATTAGTCCGAATTTTATTGTCGGATGTCTCTTGCAGATAAAATATCATAACAGAAACTGCAGATGCCAAATGTTGTTTTTCAATATATAGAGAGTAGCGCAATATTTCCAAGACATTCTGAAGTTTCAAAACCTACCAGATGTTCGAATTTTGTAATTCGCTCCATTTTCAAAATATTTCACTCGAGGCAAGAAACCCAGTAAGCTTGCAATAGCTTGGAAAGGAGTAATACTTATTGATCAATCTTTATACTTTTCTAATAACTTCATTCAATTCTAATTTGTGCCATAGAATATCTCGAATCTATTAGAAATCGTAACACTTCTCTATACTCAATTACATCAAATGTATAGTTTTCATAAACATTTGCGTAGAATTTTACTTTTTTTACTTTTTATTTCAGTGCACTAGCTTTACAGGTTAAGCCATGTTTGGAAAAATTAAGTCAAGACGCTGACCATGACGTTCAATATTTTGCAAATGAAGCTCTCGAAAGTATGTTGATTTGATTGTTTTCATTATTTTTGTTTTCCAAATGCGTATCTTTCTCTGTATTTTTCTAAAGCATATTGTCTATATTCGTTATAGTTATCGTGAACAAAAAAAAAGAAAGAAAGAACTAAAAGATTTCCTACACGATAATTCATATAGAAAAAAAATCAAAAAAAAAAGTAAATTACAAAAAAATCTTTTCTGCTTATTCGTTTTGTTCGTACCCGTATTAATAACGAAATATAACCTTTGCTTATTCTTATTCATTTTGTCTAGAAGTTATTGAAGCTTTATGAAAAAAACTCATTATATCTTGGTCTGTTAGTTTTCTTTTGTTATTTTGTGTGTGCCAAGTTTTATCTGGTTGTCTTTTATTTGAGTGTCTACCTTTCATTTTTTTATTTCTTGCATTATTATAGAAACACTAGAAGCACCCCTTTCTTCTAATAATCACAAAAATGAACATAAAGACGATATTACACTGGTGCTGGTTTGTCTTTGTTTTTGCTCATTTAGGGGTGTTGAGAAGACTAACTTGGCATTAACCTTCACTATCCTATTGTTAAATATTTATCAAAATTTGATCTGTTTTTTTCATTCTTTTTTAGTTTTGACCAACGCTTAATTGATCGAGCAACGGGACATGATCTTGTTCTTATTTTTCTTTTTTTTTGTAACTCACGGTTTTTCTTTTGTGTTTGTTTGTTTTTTTTCTCCCCAAAAATGTTGTCATGTTCACATATTCTCTTGGCGTTCTATATCCTATTTACATCGGTTTTCTGTAAGAAAACTTCCATTTGACTTTAATTTTTTCTCCTTTTCATAAACACAAACAAACTTAATAAAATACTGTACTTCTTTTTTGTCTGATTGAACAACGCGTTAATTATAAAATGAACACGAAGACAACAAATTTGATAATTGTCATTCTTATATTGGAAAGTTAATTTTTTTTCTGAACAATGTTGATTGATTAACAAAAAAGAATGTTCTGTTATTCTTTTCTTATTTCTTCAGATGTCATCAAATTCTGTTGCATTAGATGAATTGTCTGAATTCCTCGACCCACAGGGTCGTCTTGATATCAAATCACTCGCACTTCAGACATTACTATCCATAACTGCATCCACGGAAGGCCGTCATTTATTGATATCATCATCAAATACTGACCCTAGTAAAGCATTATTACCACGCGTTAGCCGTCTAATATTTGAAGATGGTCAAGAATCTGTTCGTTTTGATTCGCTACTTTTTCTGATAAATTTAACAAGTGACAATGACATGTCAATACTAAATAGCCAAATACCAATTACCAGTGATTTTTGGATACAACTCTTGAAAGTACGAATAAAAACAATTGACAAATCTAAAGTGGAGACAACAGCTAGAATCAATCAGAGAAAAGATTTTAGCAGCTAAAGTGGCTCTTGTCAAGAGGTGTGCTTGTTAAATTTCCAATAGCAAAATTTCAATGAAATACTTCTAGAAAAGTTCGATTTCTAATCCCATCAGTATGAATTCTATGCAAAAACATTTTGCCAAGAAGTTCACATGAAGTTTTTACAAAAAAACAAAAACAGCCATTCAAACCTATTAATAGATTTGAACTATCTTATTTTACACGGAAATGGTTTCGCTCCAATCTAGAAAACTAGTTCATCGAGTATTTATCTCTGATTAGAATTTGTCTATGGCACTTCAACAAGCATCTCTCTTAATATCAGCTACTCAAATGTGTTCTAGTTATTCACATTAACGACAAGGATTAATAACAGTGGATCGCTCGATATTTTGTTACCACACTTTCAAAAACAAACAATGATTGGTTTTTTTATTTAGCATTGTATTAGTGATCGTCAATATGAACATGCAGATGCTGGCTGTAAACTTCTATCCAATATAACATCTCGTACGATAACAATTGATCAAATAAATGAATTCATAAATCATCTCGATACAAATTATCCATCATGGTTCGATGATCTTATTCAAGCATTTTCTACGATCGATTATAATTTAAAGAAAAATAATCTTGATTATTTATCAGCACTACTCGTTAACTTAACACAGTCGAAAGTTATTCGACAACGTCTAAGAGATAATGAACATTTAAAACGTTTATTTTGTTTTACGGATCAAAATCATTCGATAATTCGACGAGGAAGTATAGCTTGTATACTGAAAAATTGTTGTTTCGATCATGGTTTGTTTTATTGAAATTTATACGATTGATTATAAAATATTTTCTATGATTAGAAAGTCATGAACAATTAATACATCAAAATTTTAGTGATGATGAATTTATTTGTTCATTAATTTTACCACTGGCTGGTCCAACAGCTGATGAATTAACCGAAAAAGAAAACGAAGAATTACCAATAGATTTGCAATATTTACCGAGCAATAAGCAACGTGAAACAGATCGAGATATTCAGCAAATTCTTCTTGAAGCAATTCTTCTTGTATGTTGAAAAAATATAGTTGCTTTATTTTTCAAAAAATCCCACGTTTCTTTTAAATATAGCTGTGTGCAACAAAAGCTGTTCGTGAATATCTTCGTTCAAAGAATATCTATTATGTTCTACGAGAATATCATCAACAAACAAATTTAGATTTTTCTTGTGGTCGTACATGTGAACGAATTATTCAAATATTAATTGGTGATGAAGATCATACTCTTGAAACCGATAACTTCCTGGAATTGAGTGTTCCTGATCATCTAAGAGAAAAATTTCAAGATATCGATCGCAAAGAAGAAGAAGAAAATAAAATCAATGAATGAAAAAAAAACATGTCTCAAATTTGTTAATTTTCTTAGAAAGAAAATATAAATAAAAATTCATTGAATTCGAAAATTTTTGTTTCATAAATGAACTAGTACCGAAATTTTCAAAGTTTCACATTTTAGATTAATATTCAGTAGTTTTTCTGTACTCAAAAAAAAAAAGAGTACACTATAGAATCGGTCAGTGTGTCCGTCCGTTTATTCGATAACTCTTCACAATTACATTCGATTGAGCTGGAATTTTGTACACAGAATCGTCTCATCAATATCTAGGTCGAGTTCGAAGATGAGAATGATCCGTCAATAAATGGCTGAGTTATCGAAAAAATTGTCATTTTTGATCAGACCATCCCTGAGGGGGAGTACAGAGATTTTTCAAAAAAAAGTTTTTTCTCAGTATTATTCACAACATATATAAATCGACTCAGTTTTTGACGCTGATTCCGAATCTGATATTAGTTTTGAACTAAATCGTAGCTTTCTAACGAAACATCGCCTGGAAAACGTCTCAAATGCACAAAAACTGCGTCCAGAAATCAAATTGCCTAGTTTCTCATGATAATTTTGGTGTTCAGACATTCTAGAATGACTCATATGTCCCATGCACTTTTTGCAGTACACAACTCTCGGATGAAATCCGAAGTTTCCACATTTATTTTATGATACGAATAGTGAGACTTTTAGTGCTAAAATCTTATCAAATACCTGAAATAGAATAGTTTTACTTGATTATTAATTTATGATCAATGCCAAATTTACAAATAATAGTAAATGTGATCGCCCGTGTTGGTAAATATTTGAGCAACGACAGATTTACGTACGACACTCATTTGATCAGGAATTTTTTCCACACATATTCTACTCAATTATGCGATGAAGATATCATTGAATTTAAATACAAGTCTTTCCGTCGAACTAGAAATTTTGTTATATTAAAACAATGTCACTGAAAGAGAATAGAATTATGTGATATTTAGTTTGATAAAGAAAATAACTATGGCTTTTATTATATATATATATATAATCAGTATCTTCATCTTTATAAAAAATGACAACTTATATGGCTTAAAAAGCCATCTATCAACAAAAACAAAAATTTTTACATACAAATTACAAGTAAATAAAAAAATAATTAGAAATGCATGCATATGTATCGTAACCCATCGGAGGTTACTTTTGAAAAAAATTAATGTTTAAAGCTTTAGCAGCAAAAAGGAAAATGTTAATTTTTAATCAGATAAATCGTATATAAATACAGGTGAGATTATATTTAATATTGATCTATTTCTGAAAATAAACTATATATATATTGCCATAATGAAACTATTGCTGTTGTGCATTACGCAGTGCTTCTAATGCTAATTCATCCAATGGTTGTAAGTGCTCGTTGTCAAGGATTTCCATCCATCCACTAATTTTATAATGATCTTTCAAATAATATCCTCCATCTTTCAAGACCATTGGAATTTGACGTGCATAATTTCCCGACCAATGATGAAATCGATAATTTTGTTCAGCAATACGAATGTAATTGTGTCCAACGTCGGTTATTATGGCAATATGTCCGAAAGGTAAATCACGAGAGCGAGGATAAACAAGAAAAGAATCTTTTTTCGGCAATGTTGAAGCGCCGTTCGAATGAGCTTTCAACGGAAACTTCTTTCCATCAGTCACACGCTCAATCGTAGATAGTTCGTGCCAAGCATCGGATGCCGATCCAATATTTCGAAATATACAAGTTTTTCGTATTAATAACCATCGCCGAGCAAATTCAACACATTGCCATTTAAAACCGGTAAATATTCCATAAAAATAATGACGTTCAGCAGAAAAAAAGTTATCATCACCATTCGAATAAGCTGGAACATTGGATGAAGCTACTCCTAACACTTGATTATAAGGAACCATGCTAATTTAAAATTATTCAAATCTAAAATATATTTTAGTAGAGAAATTTCTACGAATAATGGGCAAGCCATTTTTCTTCAATAGGATAATGTATTGTCAGGATGATCCAACCAAGGATGAGAAAATCATGCAATATCGTTCGAATGCTGATTTTCATCATTGTATTATATTTTATTTTTATAACAAATCTATGAAATTTTCCGGATCATTTTTTTTCGCACTACTCTATAATGTTGCTTTTAAAAATGCTGAATACAACTCAAACTAATACCTAATACATAAATTCTAAAAACACGCATGATTTTTTCTTAATCATACCTAAGGATAAAATACAAGTGATACCATTTGGACAAGAGGTTATGGTACTTACACACGAGTTATTTAGTTTTTGTTCGCCTTACAATTTTACTCGTACGAAAAATTGTATTATGAAAGCGCCGATGACTTGACATCAGTAATTTATAGAAAAACTGCAGAAACAACGATGAATTAGTAACAGAAAGGAAAAAGAAAATAACAAAATAATGTCATAGCGCGTGATGTCGTCATCGATGACAAGGCAAATTTTGCTTTTCTGCATTCTCTCGCCTTGAAGCATTTTTTATGTTCGTTGCAATAGCACAGCAGGAGTCGATTACATAACATGTTAAATAACTTTGGTAGGCTCACAAAAATATGACGCATAGCAAAAATATTAGAAGCCAAACGGCACAATAAAACTAAATCAGAAATTTCATGATATCCACCACTTTTTCATACTACAGATCATATGATTTTATGATAATATTTCAACAATTAATGAAAAAAAATGGTTACTATAGATGTTCCTATATTTACATAGAAAATAAGCAGCTATTTTAAATGATAATATGATGAAAAGTATTCTAAAAATTTCTATGATAAACAGGAAAAATTTTATTTCTAAAAGATAAAAAAAGCATGACGTAACTTTTCAACAGAATGCTGACACATCAGTTATTTTAATAAATTTCCACGCGATCATTTTCATTGCGATTTGAGTAAGAAATTTTTCAAACGAGAGAAAATCTACCATTTGTGCTAGAACAAGAAATCCTCAATGAGTCAATGCAATTATAATACAAAACGAGCTTTAAAGCAGAAGCCATAAGAAAATCGAACCACTCGTAAGTTTTATTTTGCTGAGAAAACCAATGTTGAAATGTAATGATTGTAATCATGCGCTTTACTCTCGGAAAAATTAGAACAATAGAAATCTGATAGCTTATCATTATTCTTTTTCATCCCTAGTTTAATACAATTTTCAACTTAAAATTTATATAAAATTCACATACACCCATAGAAGAACAAGAAATCATATTCATTAGTAATGTACCGCCTTCATGCCATGACATATACTCATCATGTTGTATGCAGGAGTGCCCCGACTGGGGGGGGNGAGTGTCGTACGTAAATCTGTCGTTGCTCAAATATTTACCAACACGGGCGATCACATTTGCTATTATTTGTAAATTTGGCATTGATCATAAATTAATAATCAAGTAAAACTATTCTATTTCAGGTATTTGATAAGATTTTAGCACTAAAAGTCTCACTATTCGTATCATAAAATAAATGTGGAAACTTCGGATTTCATCCGAGAGTTGTGTACTGCAAAAAGTGCATGGGACATATGAGTCATTCTAGAATGTCTGAACACCAAAATTATCATGAGAAACTAGGCAATTTGATTTCTGGACGCAGTTTTTGTGCATTTGAGACGTTTTTCAGGCGATGTTTCGTTAGAAAGCTACGATTTAGTTCAAAACTTATATCAGATTCGAAATCAGCGTTAAAAACTGAGTCGATTTATATATGTTGTGAATAGTTCTGAGAAAAATTTGGTTTTCGAAAAAAAATTCCTGTACTCCTCCCCAGGGATGGCCTGGTCAAAAATGACAATTTTCCCGATAATTCAACCATTTCTTGAGGGATTCTTCTCATCTTCGAACTCGACCGAGATATTCATTTTATTTGTTACTCATTGTGAAGGCCTCGCACGCCCACTAGCAATTTATCATCACGATTCAGCCCATTTACCTGAACTTACATTGAAATTCCAATCGATGGTACACGCCTTGCTAGCTGACATGATTGAGATTAATGTTTGTCTAAATAAAGATAATCAACTGATTGTCAATCATGGTAAAATCTTCTATTTTTAGCCTAGTTAAATTCTCTCTAAGTCCCTTGCTCTTTTACATGAAGATATGTATTTGAATGCCATAAGTAATGTCGACGATATATTTCCTAATCGAAATCGTTCCGATGTTTAACATTGTGTCATCGATTTTAATCTTGATGAATTACCTCATTTGACTATTCACGAACGTGCTCTACCATTTACTAATATTCAAATTTATCCATTTCATTTATCAACACTAAATGAAACCATCGAACTATATTACTTGGCCTGAGTTACTCCCCGAATCGACAATATCAATTATTAATTGAAATTGAAATTAAGAATTCTAAATATCATGCACAACCCAATAGATCGGATTCATCGATTCTTCTATCAACATTGAACGATCCAATTGTAATTCAGACGTTTCATATACAAGAATTAATAAATATTCGTAAGAATCTCTCTAGTAAACTTCGTTTGGCTGCTTTATTAACATGAAATTAGTTAAATGAATCTTCGAGTGATTATGATTTGCATCGACGTGATCCAAGGGAATTTTGAACAATTGATTAACTTTTTCTATCAAACAGTTAAAGCCAATAGTTTTATTGTCAGTCAACCAGGTGTAGTAGTGAAGATTTTAGAAAGAAAAACAATTGTTTTCAATACTTCATTTAATTTATTGTGCTTCATAGTTCTACTGTTTATATTTACGCAAATTTTTACTAGTACATGAATGCTTCATTTACTTACAAAATACAAAGAGAAATAAAGTCAAGTTCGCTTTGGAAAAACAGATCTCGAAAAGTTCATCGGAGGCGGAGCGAAGAATAGGAAAAGAATTCAACCATAAATTTTAAGATTAAGAATGAAGAATATATCAATCGGATATGTAAGTTTATAAAAAAAAATGAGCCGATCTATGTGCCGCAATCATCTTCAATGCTATATAATTACTAGTATAAACGGCGGCTAAAGTAAGTACTTGTATATCGATCATAAGATAAGGATACAGCATATCTATTGATTTCTGAATACAGCCAGGCCAAAAACTTTTCGCGGGTAGCTGAAAAAATTTAAGATTTTTATATTGAAAACAACATAATTAGTCATTATTAGGGAGTGATCTATAAAGATATGCTTAACAGTAGTAAATAACATATTTTTTCCTATGTTGTTCATGCATTTCATGAATTTTATTGGTTTCTCCAATGAATTACTTTCTTATTGGAGATTATATGAAACGATGTTGAAGAAGCGTACTCCTAAATAGAGATGAAATTAAACAATTTCAACATTATCAAGAAAGTAATTACATAGTGTTTATTTATATTTTAATCATGCGGAGCCTTCTAGAAATGTGATTTTTGAACTAGTCGAATGCACTGGCATCATTTCAGTCTCATTCCAAGAATAAATTCACTATTTTTACATGTTTGATGATTCAACGAGAAGAACTTCCTTTCGAATTGTTTTTTTATCGAAAGATTTTCCTGCTGGTCATATATATTTTATTCAAGTTTGAAAAATCTGTTCCCAAACTGTATTCATTAGTATAGATATTCAAGTACTTCAATCTGAATGCAATAGCAACGAAATTATATATTTTCATTCCAACGGAATTTCAGCGACGTTCTTAAAAAACATTTTTATCACGTTTAGCAGCAAATTTTAAAGAACATATTTAAACATTCATTATATTTCTATTGTCAACATCATGATGAAATTTTTGATTTCTTAGACGTGCTTTCATTCAAAATGGCATTTTCTTATTAATGAATTATTTTTCAAGCGTGCAAATTTTAATTACATAGTAAATTATTCACAACAGTCTAATGGTGCTAAAAAGAAAACTGACTGATTTTCATTTTGAAAATATTCTCAATACGGATGGTTGTTCAATTTTTATCGCTCTTTTCCATCTACTATCGTAAGCTGAACTTTTAGGATAAAAACCATCTTTATCTGATAACCATACGATTTAGTGACAATTATTTCCAATCAAATAACCCTAATAGAAACGACCGACAATATATATTTGGAAAACATAGATATTAAGTGGGTAATTACATTAGACACCACAATGTGTTTCCCCACGACAGTGCTGACTACTGAAAATATTCCAGTAACATCAACAACAACGTCAACAACAACAACAACAACAACAACAGCAGCAGAACGCTGGACTCCAACATCAATATTTGAATGTCAAAACAATAGCTATATTGGTACTTATTGTAATATTACAAATGATCCATGCAAAATATCACAACCATGTGAAAACCAAGGAATTTGCTATTTGAACGAAACTCATCAGTTCAGATATATGTGCCGCTGCCCTATTGGTTATTTCGGTGATCGTTGTGAACATGACAATAGAATATGTAAAAATAATACATGCTGGTAAGATAAATATCTTAGTGAGATTAGAATAAATCATTATCTTATTTAGGCATGATGGAAAATGTGTTGAACATACGGAAACTGTTGCTATTGATAATAAAACGACATTTAAATGTACATGCGAACCTGGTTATGATGGATCTTATTGTGAATTAGTAGATAATATGTGTATTAATATAACATGTGAAAATAATGGTGTATGCTTTTCATCTCATCTAGAATGGAAGTGTCGATGTCTTGATTCTTCGCTTTATTCTGGAAAATATTGCGAAATGAAAAGTGCATCACTGAAAATAAAACAAGCATTGAGTAAATCATTTGCATCCATAGCTATTGCAGCAATTATTACTGTCTTTCTATTTGTTTTTATAATGGATATATTAAAATATGTATTTCACATTGATCCCGTGGACCGTGAAAGACGATTGATGCAATCGAAACGAACGAAAAGACAATTAAAAAAGCCGAAGAAACAGCAACGTCGAAAAGTTCATGCAAAATTATATTATATTTCTTGAGAAACATAGATTCAAATATTCTATATATCCTAACTGGCCTTTGAACGATATTTGTTTTGCGCATCGATTTTTGAAGTATGTATATAAGATTCGTTCCTTGATGGCGGCATTATATTTATGAATAAAAAGATTTCTCATGAGAAATTCACTAAAAATTAAATGATTTTCGATTGCTCACTTCATTCAAGACTAACATCACATATTCACAAGCTGCAAATATGTATCGATTAATAAACGCAATGCGTAAATTTCACTTCGCGTGCATCTATTAATTAGGGAAAACGTATCTAGTGACTAGGAAATTGAAGCACATTGCACGCGATTAGAAATTCACGTTAAACAAAAGCAACGAGTGTCAATCGTGAATGAACCATCATTAGTCCCAGATGAAAAATGCGAGGAAGGCACAATATAATAATTGACTATGTAAATATAAGAGTTGATAGTGACCGTCTACACCTTCACAAGTGACATCAACCGTGCGATTCTTCATTTTAAAACTTCTTGAATTGTACTGATATGAAATAAGAATCACGGACTACGAATGTTTTGCTACTGAAGAGGGAAGCCCACCAAGTGTTCAATCGCTTTTGCGTTGAAATTGATTACATTATGTAGCTTCCAAAGAGTTATGAATACGCTGAAAATATTTTGGGCGGTTAGCTTATTGTTACGAAAAAAGGCCATTTTAATGGCATTCTTTTATGATTGCCGTACTCCCGTTCAGGAACATTAGAAAAATTGATTTTCGAATTTTGATTTGAAATTCTATATAACAATAGAGCTCAACGAGAATAGTGTTTTATGAATGTTTTTGGCCATTGAATTTGTTTTTCTCATCAAATCTGCCACTTTACTTGAAAGATGTAAGATAAAAATTTCACAATACCTGTGTCTAGTGATAGGAAACGTAGAAAGGCCTGAAACGTTCACAAAAAGTTGTTCTCTTTAGGGCGTCTTTCTATGTAAAGTTTCAAGTTGAAATTCGAAGATCAATTTTTTGATAATGTCCCTGAGGGGAACACCTCAGGCTCTTACTAAAACCCATATCTTAGAAATGGTCTGCTTTCGTAACAATAAGCTATCCGCCCAATATATTTTCAGCGTATTCATAACTCCTTGGAAGCTACATAATCTAAGTAGTTTCAACGTAAAAGCGATTGAACACTTGGCGACCTTCCCTCGTGAGAACTTGTCAGTCGATTAGATATAAACATAAACCCTCACCGGATCTGATCAGTCAAATTATTTCTACATTTGTGCTCGATCAAATACGGAGTGTGACCTATTTTTTATTTGCAGTCGCTTATCGTCACCTATCGAATTGATTTTCACGATTTTAAAAATCTTTTCTCAGATTTATTTACAAGATTAAAAATTATATCAGGTTCATTACAATGAAAACAGTCAATCATGCTTCGGATGATATAAATAGATACATTTTTGAATCTTGGTTTTGTGATTTTCGGACTTTTATATGATTGAATAATCGATGTAATGGTTTGAATAAAGTATTATTTATTGGTATTTTTGCGTTAAAATCAGTTAGATACGGTACGTGCTTAGTCAATAAATTAGCAAATAAATCGAATGGAAACTCCATTTTTGTTTCATTTGCATCAATGATAAGTGTAAAACTTTGCAAATTTGCTAGCTTCGATAATAACCAATCGATGTGATTACACCCTTCGTTCCCGATTGAATGAAAATGAATATAAAGATGTCGAAGAGATGTATGTGAACAAGTAAGATTTGACGGTAATTCAAATGATATATTTTGAAGGCGCATTATTTGCAGATTAGTTAAATTTGGACATGCGTCAAATATTTGTTTATACATATTTGATTTCCATGCACTCGGCGAAATGGTCAATTGACGTAGAGAGAATGAAGAAAACCGATGATCATCATTAAGTGTCAGTCTATCGATTTGACACGTTTGTAAACGAGAAAGTGAAGTAGAAAAAATAAGACGACATAATTGTTCAGAATTATCTGAAAAGTATAAGTTTGATAGGCATAAATGTTCTAGATTGGGCAGAAGACCTGGTCCGATTGCATTGCATTGATTTCCAGTTGGCATACATAACTTTAACGATCGAATGTTTGGATAAAAAGAAAAATCTACTGGTTCATCATGTTTAATAATTAATTTTGAAATGTGCGAAGCAAAAAACGGAATTGTACGTTGTTGACTATCCCAGTCTTCTTCAAGCGTGAAATGAAGATTTTTCACGACCGTAATGATTGAATTAAAACGAGAATTTAAATTTAAAAAAGCGTTGTATAAATCATATCCAGAAATATATTCGAATAATGTGATTAATAATTCGTTCGGAAGTGTTTCAATAGTTGTAACGATATCATACATTGCCACCGCGTGCAGATTTTATTTCAAAGGATCATTTACGGAAAAAACAATTATTGGTTTCAGTTGAATCAAAGGGATAAGATAAAAACAAGCGATAGTGATTATTTTAACGGTTGTTGTCTATTATTGAAAGCTCACATTTCATCATTGATGAGCGTTGAAAACTGATCAAATAGGGAGAGGTAGAAAATGGCTCCTTGTTCCATCTAGCAGTAGAGAATATGTTGTGTTGCAAGAAAGAGAGAATGCTTGGGTCAAAAATATATGCGGCCATTCATTCTGTTTTAGTAAGAAGGGTCAAGAAGAAGAAAATAAAACATGTTGGTGACCGCTGAGGAGAATGACGAGGCAGGAGAGAAGAAGAAGAACGCTGACGAATAACATTGAGTCAGCTTACGCATGCACATAGTCAAACAATTTATATCAAGTTATAACAGAACGATGGTTGAGTTACGAAGCGAGTTCGATCGACGCTATCTATGACGAGGATACATGCAGTCAATGTTATATAGAAAGCAATGAATATGTAAGAGCTTTCGATACGATGCGCATAAGTCAACATTCATCGGCTATTTTTTACTGAAGAAAGAATAAAATATACACGGTCATATTTAAAAACATCATCGGAAGTTTCAATTGTAAAAAAATCGTGTCATCATCAGCAGAGTGCTCTGCTTTTTTTTTCAATATTTTTCTACTTTGATCTATTTTATTTTTAGAAAAAATCCAAAAACAACTCGATATTCTACAATTCTTATTGTATAAATTTGACAAAAAATAAAATAGAGAGTTATAGCATTCTCTATTCGAAAATAACAAGAGCCTATCATGTTAACGTTTATTCCGGGAAATTTTTAAAGAATCTTTTTGAGAATTGTTGAAAAATGCAATATCATATAAACTTGTAAGAGCATAGCTGTAGATTTGCATGGTTCTGTTTACACTAGCATTCTCAATTTGTGTTTGATAGGGACCGACTAAACTTCATATCAATAGGTTAGTAGAAGAAAATAATCGCCTCGTTAGCTACGTAAATGATTATTTTTATTTGAAAATAAAATAAAATTTACAAATATGGATTCAATTATGATTGTGGTGTCGCTTCGTTGACAAAAATGATTCGCTGCCGCCGCCGAGGAAAGTTTATGCCACATAAAATATATTTGAATTGTCGACGAAATCGTCCAGATGCTCAAACGTAAATGTAGAAATGAATCTGAACAAAGACGAAGAAAAAAAGAATGTGTAAGCACGATATTTTCTGACTCTTTCCATTGTTTAGAGCTCTGTTTAGGATCAATTAGATCAAAATCATAGAAAAAAAATGTCCATATTTTTCACATAGCTGTAAGTTTTTGTATGTGCATATCAAAATAAAGAGATCTTACAGAATTTTATTGTTTATATGTCTTACTTTTCCAGGAAAGAACAGGGATAACCAGTTTGATCTCCCCAAACTCACTCAAAAAAACAGCTCTAAATGCGATGGCATTTTATCATAAAAGTCAAGATAATTTCAATTAAAACAAGAAATTCTTGAGAGTGAGTGGATCTTAACACGCGCTCATTCAAACTAACAAAATATAGAGGAAAAAGGCATACTTCTGCATATCAATAGTTCTAACGAATATGAACCTCTCTTATGAGTGTACGTTGAATGAAGTCAATACGTTGTACTTACAACACTATATGAATAATATAGACAAAGTACTATAACGAAAGCAATTGGTAGTTCCGTAGCGACTCTGAGTTTGTTCAACGTGCTTGGTGTTACAGAAAAAAAATCGCCATGACTGTATAAGGTATAGTAGCAAAAAAATTAAAAATAAATTGTACAAGAATCATCGCTGCTAATTGTTTATCTAACCCTTGTCGAGCAGCTGGCGATGTTTGAAAAGCTAACTGTTGAGTATTTCTCTACGCTAAAAATCGAAAAATAATTGTTATCATAACCGGTGAAGAACTACTTGAAATCAGCACGTAAAAAAAATATAAAATAGAGTTGAAAATTAGGATTCGTTACTGTACAAGTAATTGCGTTAGTCGTAGGTTCTATTATTTGATTATGATAAATCCAATATGGTATATCATGAAAAACCCAAAGAAGAAAAAATATTATGTACAAACGACGAGCTAGTTTTATGTTCGAATATCCGCGTAAATTCAAGTTAGAAGAAGTAGCGCAATATTGATCGAGCGTAGCAAGACATAAACATGTAATTACATGCTGTTAATGAACACAATTGAGTATAAAACCATCGAAATTTACCAATATGAAAGAGAGACATAGAAGCCAAGTAGAATGTACATGATTGCTCTCGAAATATTCGAAGGCTAAGAAAAATAATTATATTCAGCAGTCCGTCAACGACACCAATGACACGTATAGTTATACCCAAATGAATCATGATTGGTTGTGAGTTAATAAAATCAAATGACGTTTTCAATCTTTTGTTTCAGTTTTCAAGAATGTTGGATGGAGAGAAAATCCTGTGCGCGATGCTCAAGTATTGAACTTGACCACGTCTAATATATATAGACTGATGTATGATTATTTAAAACATCCTCGTTTTAAATGAACTTTAACATATAATGAAACAATTTTGAATCTGTTTTTGTGCCGGAAACGGAAGGAACACTAGCAAAAACTAGGCGTTTTCGAGCAGAAAAACAAGCTCATCATCAAATGCGATCTTCACCTGGTCAGTCTTGACAAAAACATTGAGAATAATTTATTCTATCAGTTCATGTGATTTTTTTCTACAGCGTGTATGATTGAATTGGATATGCTTTTTATTCGAATTTCTATATTAAATAAAAATATTTCGGGTGAACTCTTTTTTCGCATCTTGATTGAAACATGAAAACCTCTTCTAAAAAAAAATTTTAGAATTACAAACATTTGAAATACACGATTTATTTCAATTTACTTTCATAATGATGATCAAATGGGAAATCAAATAAACAATACTCGTCTTATTTTCTTGATGAATAAGTTGAGATGATATTGTTTTGTTAAGTGTTGCGAGAAGCAGTTTTAACAAAAAAGATTACTCTGCTAAATGAGACGTCGGAGAAAACATGGAGTCATCTATCGTGAGCACGATTTCAAGTATGACTTTTTCTTATAAACATCTTAATACTCTGTACAAAAAGACGCGAATAACCTAATAAACGAGCAGTTTAAAATACTTTATTATACAAGTTATTTATGCTGAAAAAATAAAATTCAGTTTTATTAGAGCACTGAAATGCGATTACAAACTCTCTGAAATATAGACTTTCCATCGTTTTCCTATTCCTAACAAAGTCTTGACGCAATTAATTATTCAAAACAAAATGTAGCAATTAAATTTCGAAAATGCATAAAAAGATATGCTGCAATGACCATAACTTTCGCGAAAACTTCACCATGCATAGTATATAATTCTTATAGAGGAAATATCTATCTTGGGGTGTGGATGTGACGGGAAAGAAGATCCACTTCATGCCGACACCGTAATATCTGAAACTAAGAAATCTTATCATAAGACGATGAAAGATGTACTTCGCATATAATCAAGTTTGTTTATTGAAAAAAAATCCACTAGAACAGCACATGCTACTACTTAGTATTGATGCATGCAAGTGATAAACGGTGATGAATATTCAGCAAAAAAAAAGCCATCAAGAAAATCTACTCTCCATACGGCCAGGACACGTAATTGCTTAATCTTTGGGAACAAAACTCATTCTTTCGTTTCAGTTTAAAAAGAGATCAGACAATCATATAGTTGAGATAGAATAAAATTCTTCTTGTATAGGAAATGTTAAATTCATAATTGAATTTGCTGTAAACGAAGATAAAAAGAAACAATGCAATTTACCTCGATTGTATCAACAGTCAAGAAATCATTCAAACGAACGACTAGATCAATCTTATTTTCTGGATAAGAGAATTTATGCATTCTCTCATACACGATAATTTTATAGCTATGCATTTCGGTCTATTATTTTTCTGTTCTCTGTTGTGACGTATTGTTGTCAGCATTAACCACATTGCCTGTGTGAATGAGATAGTAAAGAAATCTTATGACGCCAAGTAATCGTGAAATTATATGATAAAGAAAAAAGGAATACAAAATCTTGTGTAATTACGATAGTGCATATAATACAACGAGAAAAGCGACACATGATTTTACTGGTACTAGTAAAATAAGTAGAAATGAATCAACATATAATTCGTAAGTAAAAATAAAAAGAAGCTCAATGATTATTTTAATCATAAATTCTTGTTTTATTCAGAAACAATTTTGTCATCGACTGTTATAAAAACTGATTCGTTTCAATCATTACAACTATCGCCAAATGATTGGATTATACCTTCTATTCATAGCATTAGTTGTGTCTATTTTTATAATATTCAAAAATGGTCACTGTACGAGAAAGAATCAAATGATATGTTCATAGATATTCAAAGGTTGATCGCAAGTTTAAGAAAACTTCTGGGATATTATTCGTTATTAAATGGTGTATTTAAACTATTCGATCAAGACAGTAAAGTAGCTATAGAAAACAATGATTCAAAAGGTGGAATTTTATTTGTCACTGCAACCGTTAATATTTCACTAAATGAATTACCGTTATCATTAGAAGAGTATACAAATGTTAATGTTATACCAAAGGAGCTTCAATTAATCAATGTAAATGATCCGAATACTTTATTTCACGTTCGTCATACTCGGTTTTTATGCGGTAGCGTTGCACTTGGCATCAGTTTAAATCATCAAGTTGCCGATGCTCATTCATATTTTCAACTTGTTAAAGATTGGGTACGAATATACAAAAATTTAGAATATCAACCTCATGTTTGCCATCAACGATCACTTCTTGAGCCAAACTGCAATGAAATCGAAATACTGAAAAAGACAAATCCTAATTTTAATGATCGAAAAAGCCTTTCTGTAAAACAAGAAAATTCTTCATCATTTCCACAAACGAAACAAATTAAAATGAAAATATTTCGTTTTTCAGCCGACGAACTCAACCGTATGAAATTCGATTCTACGCATCATCTATCGCCCGATGTAGATTACGTATCAACATTTGACGTTCTTACAGCTCATATATATCGGCACGTAATGATTGCTCGTAATTATCCGGCATCATCAACATCAAAACTCTACATTTCAACTAATATACGTTCACGTCTTACACAACCATCGATACCTATAACTTACTTTGGAAATGCAATTATGTTTTCTTATTTAGAAATGAATATGAAAGAATTAATTCATGAAAATCATATCGGTTTATTAGCTAGTGAAGTTCATCGGGCCATTGAAAAAAATAACAACGATGATATAAGAACTACTCTTGCTTGGATTTTGTGTCAGAAGAATAAAAAATTAATTTCACCAACATGCAATTTGGATAAAGCAGATTTTACAATATCTGCTTGGAATAAAATGGGAATGTATTCAGATTCGGATTTTGAGCCGGGTGTTTATCCATGTCGCATTACACTTCCAGCTGACATAGAATTTAATGGTGCAGCTATTTTGTTTTCAACAGAACAAAATGATGCAAGTATTGATGTAATTCTTGGATTAGAAATGAGTGAAATGGAACGAGTGGAAAAGAACTTTGATTTTAGAAAGTATCATGTAGAAACATAGAATTGATTGATAAATTAAAATAGTTTGAACATCAATTGTCTATCCGAAAAAGATTCTTTTTTTTAATTCTTCAATACAAAAGAGAAAAGTATAAGATTTAACCAGCTGCAAAATCACATAACTAACCTCCGAATCCTATCGAAACTAAGCACATCAGTATGTATTCAGATGTAAGCAACGATAATTATTGAGAAAATCAGAATCATTTGCTCTTTTTTAAATTCGTCTGAACAATCTATAAGAGAATAAACAATCAACTTTATCTTCCAAGAATTGAACATAGAAGTTCCACCATCAAAGATCCGTTAAATCAAATGCGCTGCATCTTATTAGCGAATTTGATATTTACAAATCATTAATTTAAGTCGGGCTCATAATTAATCGAGACTAAAATCAATATCTTTCATGCCGATTAGAAGTTGGAACGATGCACGCTAGTTCAACTTTAAAGCTATACTAATAACTTAGTTAAAATTGATTTTTTTCTCACGAAACAAATCATTTGCTTCACATAAATTTCGTTCTTCATAAAAATAAATGACTTTTTTTTACCACAACATGAAATGGTGTAATAAGTCTACTTGAAGTTTAAATTTAAACTACTACCTCTTATATGTAGGCTATTATTTTTAATCTATGAATGCACAGTTCCAAAAGAAGCTCTTAAGAATTTCTCGGATGCAATGCGTTCAATAGCGAGAACGAATCGGTTAAGTGATAAAGTAACCTGACATATTGTAAATTTTTCTGCGAGTAAACCAATTTTTTTCCACTTATTGACTCAAATCAACATGTTCACCCTTTTGGAGTTCCTAGTCAATTATATCTGTTCACTCCCGTTCCAGTCTTCCATGCATAAAATCTATATTCATACGTTTATTTTCACGAGAAAGTCTATAAAATCAAGCATGATATATAAGATTAATCCTTTGCCCCCCTGACACTAATCCACCAGGGCTGGTGCTAAGTTGATCGCAGTAACAGATCATACCAAAGCTCAATATGACATTGACATGGTTGAATTTGAGCGAAATCGTTTTCGTGTGGAGATGCAGTATGGGTCGAAAATCACCCGTTCGTTTTGAATGACATACAAATTAAACCTTTGATTAATTTGTTTCTTTTTACGACTTTTCTCAATTGTGTGGTTATTTATCTAAATAAAGTTAGAATTTTTTTTAATATTACGCGTTCTCTGAAAAGTAATTATTTTCTAGAATAATATATGATAAGTTTAATTTTATTACAATCGAAAACTATCAAGCAAATCAATATCAACCTATCATCTATCTGTTTATTTTTTTTGCAGTGACAATTTTTAAAACAATTATTTAGTACATGAAGACATAAATATACTTGGCATTTAGAAAAATACATGTTCGTCTTCGTTGTACAATCATCATTTTTGCATCGAAGACGTAAACAAATTGGTCTTCGAAAACAAGTAAATCAGATTCAAGGCTTGTTTTTCTTTACCATTGAATATTTTGATGATTACCAGCTACCAGATTCGTATCAATATTATCTGAATCAATATCACTCGTTTCTTCTTTTGAAGCACTTTCCATTTGGCCATGAATATTAAAATCTTCATCATTTTCTGAATAAAAAAGCAATCTATCAATTTCATTAATTTGACAGGAGCCACACTCAGTATTCAGACGATATAAAATATTTGAATCTGATGAAAATTTTGTATTACTATTTTGAGACATTTTCTGTAATTAAACTATGTGTAAAAGATGAATTCCTGATGTCGTTTACTCCGAATGGGTCATTTTTGACCCAAGTTATTCTATCTAATGGCATTCTCTCGGATTGAATCAATCACTTTTTTTAACGCATATGTAATTATAAAGACATGATGTCGTTACTAAAATAAATCAACCTCTCAAGCAAGAAAATCATTCATTCGTAAGAATAAGCAAGACAAACAAGTAAAGAAATCAAATTTTTTCACTTTTTTAGCAAATTATCATTTTGCGACGCTAACATACTAGCTATGGAACAATAAAAAAGGTTTAGGTTTTTACAGATTTATCGCTTATTGAGTACTCTACACATTATTCAAGAACAACCTCGGTCCCATGTTTTATTACTTCAAACGGATAACTTCTATGAATGGGTCAAAAATGGCCCACACGGAGGAAAAGGATTAACTCGTATAAATCTAAAAAAAACAAACAATGGTGAAACAGCAGAATAGAAGTTCCTTGTAATCTCAGAGTCTACCATTTCCCCACTCATAACAAAAGGCAAAGTACAACACAAAGCTCTTCTTTCATTGTTTGCATTAGAATAGAATAAAACACCTTTAGTTAATTTTCTCATTAATTAAAGCATCTAATTGAGAAAAAGTCGTGAATAAAATTGCTTCTCTTGTTTTGACGCTTTGAAAGCATAACTTACACTGTTAATCACTACGTTAGCACATTGTACATTATGAATTTTTCATAAGAAAGTTAATAATTAGCTACGATAAAGATAATAAAAAGAAGAATATTAGTTGCTTCATTTACAAGAAGAAAATATGTCACTGCTCCCAGCCATTGCAAGCCATATTAATATATATATATATATATATATATATATGCTGGTATTATTGTTTATATATTTGCATTTTGTGGTAGTCTACTTAATATTGGTATGTTACCTCGTATTTTATCTGTAGGATTTAATATCGACCCTGCATTATCCAATCGTGTATGGTGTAAAATTCGAACTTATCTACTTCGTATGATAACTTTGATCTCTCTCCATGCTCTTTGTTTACTGTCGATCGATGGGTTTTTTTATCACTTGCCGAACAGTACAACGGAGGCAATTGAGTAATATTCATCTCATCCGACGGCTAGCAGTTGGTCTTACTTTTCTCATAATGGCTGAAGGTCTACTGTTTTTAATTCTTAGTGAAATTATTTCAATGAATAATAGGATTGTTTGTACACCAATCTAGTGCGACATTTTTTCCAAATATACATCATTTTTTAGTATACCAATTCTTTTCGGTATACTTTCTTCATCAATATTGATAATTATGAGTGTGTTAATTTATAACAACTTGCAAAGTAGAATTCATTTATGGGAGAGTTCAACGTCCATCCACATGGATAACATTGTTTCGAATATTATTTGCTTTAATATCTTGTGTTCCTTATACATCCTATTTTGTTTATTCAGCAATTGTTTCTTTGACTGTATCGATAGAGTCTACGGAAATAATGGCAATAGAAAATTTAATTATATCTGTCGTTAGTATTTCTCTTTATATTACTTATTCTTCATCAGTTTTTGTCCATTTTTCTGTATCATCCATGTATCGGAAACATTTTATTGCTCGATTTAAATGTTACCGATTTCCGCAACGACGCATTGTTCGACCCAGACAAATGACTTTCCACCAGTTTAGTCTAACCAAGACACAGCGTGTTATTACTAATAAAATAAACGATGAAACTTTGAATCTGACAAACATCTGATCTGTTCACAAAGTATTCTATGATAAAGTCTAAATATATATAGGTCGTGCCGAGGTTACACTGTGTGCCGAAGTTATAACTTCGACGATTATCTTTGTCGAAGTTACTGTGAATGATTTGATAAACATAAAACATTAAAAAATCAACGTAATTTTTTCGATATCAATATTAATAACTATTTTTTAATTCAATAGAGATAGTTCTATATATCTTTTTGCTTTTACTTGAGTAAAACAAAAAATTATTTTCAGGCAAACTTATCAAGGGATATATAGCATTTTTGTGAATTTAGAGCGATTAGTGTACTCCTGGTGTTTTTTTCAGTTGAATATTCAATTTGAAAACTAGTGGAGTAGATCAACGCAGTTTTTCACCCTCTTCAAAATGATATGATGATGAACTGTACAAGCAACTTCCATACCAGATTATATAGAGCTAAACCAGCTTTAATATTAAAGCTGGTTTAGCTCTATATAATCTGGTATGGAAGTTGCTTGTACAGTTCATCATCATATCATTTTGAAGAGGGTGAAAAACTGCGTTGATCTACTCCACTAGTTTTCAAATTGAATATTCAACTGAAAAAAACACCAGGAGTACACTAATCGCTCTAAATTCACAAAAATGCTATATATCCCTTGATAAGTTTGCCTGAAAATAATTTTTTGTTTTACTCAAGTAAAAGCAAAAAGATATATAGAACTATCTCTATTGAATTAAAAAATAGTTATTAATATTGATATCGAAAAAATTACGTTGATTTTTTAATGTTTTATGTTTATCAAATCATTCACAGTAACTTCGGCACACAGTGTAACTTCAGCACGACATATACATTGATAAAATATGTTTTTTTTTTCTTTCAAGAATGCTTTTTCGAATGTTGATCATTTTTTCGAATAAGAAACAAGTGCGGCAAGCGACAATGTCAAAAATAAGGTTCTAATGGATTAATAATGGTCTTTGATGCTTTCTTAGTCGATATGTTGTATCAATGAAAGTTATTCGCTTATGAGTTTTTAAATCTTTTGCTATGGAAACAATATAACCTCTATCAATTTAAAAAAAACAAGAAATATTTCATATTTTGTAAACAAATGAAAAAGCCCTATTTTTCTTTTCTATCTGAATTTTAAATTAAAATAAATTACAACAACAAATTTGACATGTTTCATGCGGATTGTCTGCAGCTCTACAATCAGAATTTGAGTTATCGTCTACACAAAATCAATTAAGTCAACTCACACTAATACAATTCAGCAGGCTACCTAAACTCCCTGACATATTGTTACATTTACTTCACGCTAAATTTAACTAGAAAAAAATGTATGCTACATTATCTAATTCATTTAGTAAGCTTAGTATCATGTTGAACATACCAAATTTGAGTAGTGTAGTTGATTATCGGGAGTTTAACAAAAACAAATTAAGTAAAAGGTACATTTTTCTATTAGTAGATTATATGCATCGCTATAGGCACATTCTTAGTTCATTGATGTATTTTTTAAACATTCCTATTAATTAGCAAAGTATCGCCGCTTACTTGCTGAATCCTCAATTCGTTTCTGGCTTTTCAACCAATAAGTTTTTCGAAAGCTAATTACGAAATGGCTGGTATAGGATAATGCGTTGGTAGTCGATCAAGGGAAAATTGTTTTGTCAGACTGCTTGTTCTAAGATTGTAAGCCAAACTTCCTGTTATGTTTTAATACGAGAAATTATTTTTGACTAAAATATTTTACAATCATAATCAACGTTAATAAATATAATGAAAGTAACAAGGCAAAAATTATAGATTTTTATGAAATTCTTGTTTCATCAGCAAAGTTTACATTTGATTTATGAGAATATCTGTGAAAGTAACGATAAACGATAGAAAAAGTATGAATAAAAGCACTTAAAAAGAAATAAAACAACATGAACTGGAAGCCAAAGGCTGAACGCTTCAAATAGGAGAACAACGATATTAATGACGTCAATCAACTATTAACATTTATATTCACCATCGTAAATATTACTTATGATAAATATAGAAAATTCACGAAAAACTTTGAAGAAAAGAAACCTTGATCTTTTTTTCCATACATTCTATTTTTAGTGTTGCACGTTAGAATCAAATGAGTAAATTTTTAAAATTTTCTCTGATTATTTAACTATAGAAAAGGAAATAGCAACCTATATGTCACTATGGTACTGGTATGCCGAGCAAATAAACCTATAAGCGAAGAATTGAAGTATATGATTGTAAATGCGTAATGTGATTAATGTTGTAACATTCACATGATAGAATAGCTGAAGAACCGAACAATTAAGTATTTTTCCCCCTATTGAGTCACTCGTCGTACTACTTGACGAATACGAAGTCATTAAAAGGATAAATAAATAGAAAAAAAAAGTTGTATTATTCATCGATATGCGGCCTGAAGAACACGATACTAGTTATGACACATGGACTATTGCTTAGAAGGTAATGTTAAAAAAATAAGAATAACAGTATGTTTTTCAATATTGCAATGAGAAAAAGAATAGCTTAACGAGATTCCGATCGTCATCGCTTTGATTTTCTTGTTCCACAGATATCAAGGTTTCATGGCTGCAGATGATCAAGATTTAAAAAGCATCGATTTTGATCATGATTGGAAATGTTATTGCCAACAATTAAATGATGATATTAATGTTAAAACTATCGTTACAACTGCAAATAACATTCATACAAATCAGTGTTGGTCTTCAGTCGAATTACCGCATAGAATTGATATTGGAGACGACGATAAACAGTCATATAAGTGGTGGTATTATAAAAAATTTGATTGGACATCAACTAAGCAAAGATCGAAACAGCAATTGCATCTTAAGTTTGAACCATCCAGCGATGATGATGATGATCAAAAATTTACTATCGATGCTGTTATATGGTTGAATGGTACGCAAATCTTTTCAGGTTCATTGACATTACTAAACGATCCCATAGAGTTACCTTCGAACTTGTTACACAATGAAAATATGTATGATAATAGTTTGGTGATTTTTTGTCCAAATACAAGCCTTTATCTTCATTCTTGTCTACTTGTCTATGGTAAAATTATCTATGCTATCGGACAAGTAATGATGGATGAGAACAATTTTGATAAATATCAAAATTCAGATAAAAAGTCTAAGGATATTCTGGATTATAAAGTTAGTGTTGATGATGCCGATGGACGTATTGATGTCGTGTTCAATCCGAAACGAAAATTTAAGACTTTAGCAGTATCGTCATCATTAAAATATTCATCTCAAACTGTCATTTATCAAAATCAAACAAATGAACTTAACGAGAATGTCGACGATGATCTTCTTGTGCCTCGTCTAGCTATAGTCATATTAATTGTTGGTACTAGAGGTGATGTACAACCATTTATTGCGTAAGTAAAAATAAACGTAGTCTTTTTGTTATCTGTAAAAGTTCTATTTTTATGTCTTTAGACTTGGTCAAGCACTTCGTGTAATTGGCCATCGTGTGCGCTTAGCAACACATGAAACGTTCCGATCGTTTGTTCGTGGTAATGGCCTGGAATTTTATCCGTTAGCTGGTGATCCAGCTGATCTAATGTCATTTATGGTGAAAAATGCTGGCATAATTCCGTCATTAAGTAGTATTATTGAAGGTGATGTAGGAAAAAACCGTCGTTCTGTTGCCGATATTCTTGATTCCACATGGAAAGCATGTACAGCCGATGATGATGAAACCAATGCACCATTTACAGCTGAAGCAATCATTGCAAATCCACCTTCGTTTGGTCATATTCATTGTGCAGAAAAATTAGAAATTCCCTTACATATTATGTTTACAATGCCTTGGTCACCAACAGCTGCTTTTCCACATCCACTAGCGAATATTGAAAGTTCAATCGGACCCAAGAATAAGATTAATTTGTATTCATATGATGTAATTGAAATGTTGGTCAGTTTATCTAATTAGGTCAATAATAACTTTTGCTTTTTTCTTTCTGTTTGATTCTTTAGACTTGGACGGGTTTGCGCAATATTATAAATAATTTTCGTACGCAAACGTTAGGACTTGGAGAACTACATACTCGTCAAGCAACCAACGCATTAATTGATGAACATGTGCCACACACTTATTGTTGGTCGTCATCACTTGTTCCAAAACCTAAAGACTGGGGACCACATATTGATGTTGCTGGCTTTTTCTTTCTCGATCTTGGCACTACTTATACTAATCCACCAAAGGATTTACTTGAATTTCTGGGAATCAAAAATGATGGCGATCATGCCGATCGTCAAGTATCACAACCGATCTATGTTGGATTTGGTTCTATTACAGGTCATGATTCTCGTCGTATTCTTCAAATTGTGATTGATGCTATTCGTATAACTGGCTATCGAGCTCTATTGTCTGGCCTTGCTACGGATGCAGACCAACTGCCTCCTAGTATACTCAAAATTGGTAATGTACCGCATGACTGGCTTTTTCAATATGGTAAGCAGAGTTTCCTAGCATTCTGATTAAAACTATCATCGATATGATCTAAATTTTTCTAGTGTCAGCTGTATGCCATCATGGTGGCGCAGGTACAACAGCAGCAGGTCTACGCGTTGGTAAACCAACGATTATTGTGCCATTTTTTGGCGATCAATTTTTTTGGGGTAGTGAGGTAGAAAAAAGCGGCGCTGGACCAGCGCCACTTCCTGGAAAATCGATAACCGCCAAACAGTTAGCTGAAGCATTCCATTTTGCTCATAGACCAACAACACGTGCTGCTGCAGAACGCATTTGCAATGCTATTTCACAAGACGATGGTTGTGCAGCTGCAGTTCATTCATTTCATGCTAATCTACCATTGACATATATGCACAGTGATTTAGAACCAACATATGCTGCTTGCTATCGTTTGGATAAATATAATATACAAATATCACGTCCGATTGCTCAAGTACTTGTAGCAGCAGGTGCTATACAAGAATCTGAACTGCGTCGTCACGCCACACGAAAATGGGAGTTCATGCATGATAATCGCATGCCTTTACTTACTTATGGGATTATTGAACACTCGCAAAAAGCTTTCTCAAGTATGTTCACCGATACTGTTGCAGAGCTAAGACGTGTCGCCCATCAAGGCAGTGGAACGATTCGAACGATTGATGTTGCCGGAAGCGTTGTGAAAGGTTTCGGTTTAGGTATAGGCCATCTAACAATTGGATGTCTATCATTATACGGTGAAATAACTGATGCTCTCGATTGTGTGGCGTCACTTTACGATCCATATAGGTAAGATTCTTTTCCTATTCTGTGCTAGCGAAACACTATTAAATTAAAATTAGTAATCCAAAAATACGCCAACGACCTCAAGTTACAGATTTCAAATCGGGTGCTAAAGCCGCTGGTATTTCATTATTGGACGGTTGGAGAGATGGTGTCACAGGTATTGTAAGGGAGCCACGTATCGGCTACGAACGTCATGGAGTACTAGGCGGTGCAGCTGGGTCATTACTAGCTACGGTTCATATTGCAATAAAACCTGCAGTTGGCACACTCTCATCCATAACTTGGTTAAGTCGCGGTACTTACGCTAGTGTAAAAAAAGCAATTGAAACCTATAGGAATGAAGGAAGGCATATTTCAACAGAATTATTTGACACAGCATCTTCGATCAGCGACGATGGACAGTATCATGAAAAAGAAAACGATGAGATTTCAGCAGCTGTTAACATGGCAGCAGCTAGATCAGGGTTTCACCCAAAAGTATGTCAACATATTCTTCGTGAATTTGAAAAAATTAAAATGGGAAAACAACAAAAACGATCCTCCTTAGATAAAGAAAAAATGAACTAAGAGATTTCTTTTGTTTCTGCATGTCAGGCCAAAACATTTCAAGCAGTTATGTTTACAAATAGACGTGCTGATTCGTAATGATAATTCCACGAGGTTGTATGTTTTTATTTACTATGCATTCTACGCTAGATTTCGGCTTATCTTAATCTGACTTTTGTTTTAACAGAAAACGATTTAGTCTTGTTAATAAATTTTGCTTTCAATAAACACTTTGTTAACTATCAAAAAACAAAACTCCTATTTGATTCATATTATGTGGAAATCTGATGTTACTTTGAAATATTTTTTTATTAAATTTTGTCAATCATTTCTCTCACCGTAAGATTCTTCTATTTTTACATTCAACTCTTTGAATTTACTTAGATGAAAAATCACAATAGATCATTAAAATCATCATGTCTATTTTGTTTCTGCTGCTAGTTCTATTACCCAACTTTCGTACGCACGAAAATCGAGCCAATTTGATTTTTGATTTATGTTATCATCATTATAATTGCTTATCAATAATTGGCCATTTTTCTGCAACCGTTCATTTAACGAACTATCACCAATCGTTACTGGTTGTTGAGAAAAATTACAGGCAACAATAATCTCATGGTTATCCTCGAGGAAGCGTTTGTACATGAAAATATGCTCATTATCTTCATGTAGGATGTCATAATTTCCGCGAACAATGATTGGCATAACTTTTCGTAATTGAATTAATTTTTGATAGTAATAAAATATCGAATTTGAATCATTTAAGGCAGCCTCAACATTAATCTCCTTATAGTTTGGATTGACTTCGATCCAGGGTTTGACATTGATGGCATCATTAGTAAAACCACCATGAGTGAGAGAGCCTGACCATTGCATTGGTGTACGAGCATTATCGCGTGATTTGACAAAGGTTACTGCCATTATTTCTTCCAAGGATAGACCACTTTGTATAGCATCACGATGGAAATTCGTTGTTTCAATATCTCGGTATTCAGCCAATGACGTAAAACGAACATTGGTCATGCCTAAACCAAGAGAATAAAAACAATGAAGAGATTGTTATCGGGTAGAATTCTATTTTTATTTTAAATTTCTCTCTTTTCCTTCTTATTTAATTTGCATGATAGAACTTTCAATGTTTCTGTACCAGGAAATACTACTTGTTTGGTCTTGCTTAATTAGTGCAAAATTGTTATGCTATTCTTAAGAATGTTTTTCTTTCTTTCCCTAACTTACCGATCTCTTCGCCCTGATAAATATAAGGTGTTCCACAAAGAAAATGTAAACATGTACCAAGCATTTTGGCGGAAACAACTCGATATTGACTAGAATCATTACCCCAACGAGAGACGATACGTGGTTGATCATGATTATTCCAATAGAGACTATTCCAACCTTTGCCGAAAAGTCCCTTTTGCCACATAGTGAAATGATGTTTTAATTCGCGTAAATCGAGTAATTTCGGTGCCCATTTATTTTCGCAATTACCTCGATGAACAAGTGATGCAAAAGTTTCCTGTCTACCTCCGTCGATATCCATATGTTCGAATGTAAAAATCATGTCGAGTTCTTTTCGACTCGGATTTGTTATCAATTCTGCTTCGTGAATATGAGCTCCTATCAACAAAGAGGATTGATACTATTCAGAATAGTTTTTCGATGTTCATTATTCTTACCAGGACATTCACCGACTGTCACAATATTATAATGACGAAGGACTTTTTCGTGCATCTCTTGTAAATATTCATGTAAACGTGGACCATTGACAAAGTACGGTCTCCCATCGGAATATGCTCCACCTTCGTAGGTATTACCTTCAGGATAGTGTGGTACTTTAGAAATAAAATTAATCACATCCATACGAAACCCATCGACTCCTAAAGAACAACGCCAATAAATAAAAATAAAGCTTTCCCAATGATAATAACCTTTATTCAGCCACCAGCGCATTATTTTATAGACTTCTTCACGAACTATTGGGTTTTCCCAGTTCAAATCAGGTTGTTTCGGTGTGAATGTATGAAGAAAGTATTCGCCAGTAATGATATCATAAGTCTAGATAAAGCAATACAAGCGCATTTAAAACGAACAATTTGTTTTTATACCCAAGCCGAACCACCGAAAGCAGCTCCCCATTGATTTGGTGGTTTACCATCGGTACCTGGTGCCCAATGATAAAAATCTCGATAAGGATTATTTTTGCTTTTTTTCGATTCGACAAACCATGGATGTTCATCACTAGTATGATTGACAACAAGATCCATAATTAATTTCAGTCGATATCGTTTCATTTCTTCTAGCATTCGATCAAAATCTTCCATGGTGCCGAATTCAGTCATTATTTGAAAATAATCACGAATATCATAACCATTATCATAATTGGGTGAATCATAAATTGGGCTAAAAAAAGGAAAAATGGATCACTTGACAAAATGCAAAGAGTAAACATCGTGTGAACCTAAGCCATAGAATATCGACACCAAGCTTCTTCAAATAGTCCAATTTCATAGTAATTCCATTTAGATCGCCTATGCCATCACCATTCGAATCGAGAAATGAACGTGGATAAATTTGATAGACTACCGAATCTTGCCACCATAATTTACTCTGTGCAATATTGTCTGTGGCCATGAGTTTGCGTTGAGATAAGAGAGTAACTAGAGGATGTTTTGAGGCATTTCATGCACTCTTTATTTTTTCTTATCAACTGACTCTATTACTGATAAGAATACTTTGTTACACAAAGAGTGTGTGCTATGCAATCTGAAATGGAAAACTGTATGAGTCAAAGCATTATATATGAGAATGACATGTGGGCGTATTTAGGATTGGTTTATTCATGCGCTTACTGTTGTGGATAAACTCATTTATATGGTGCTCTAAACATGAACAATACAGGCTACAGATGAAAAATGAAAGTCAACCTTTTTTTGTTTTAAAATGTTATATCAATTTATCCTGCGCATAGTTGTAAAAGTACAAAAATTTGGTGTTGAAGAATTTTCAATTAGCGTCTCACTATTGATATTAGTAAATGGAAGAACTGCAATTACATGCGTGTGTCAGATTCGTTCAATCCTTTGCTGAATAGAAAGTGTTCATGTTTGAGTTATAGGTACAGTTATATTTTGAATTGTTAATGTTCCTTGTTTGATTATTGCTCAAATAATTATAAGTCTTTTAGATTGGTTTTTACTCTAGCCAATAAAAAATTGGTGGAAGTAGAAAAGTTTGTTGAACTGTAAAAATGCTACTTCAACTTTTGATGATTTTTATTTCTTCGCAACAATGAATTGAAAGTGGTTTCTGATTGGCAACCTAGTTTTGTTATTCGGAAAATTCTACATTGACCGAAAGTAAAATCAAACAAAACTATCTACTGTCAGCTGGTTTCTTTATGAACCGAAGGATAGAAGTAGTGTAGAATAATGCTCTCTCTCCATGTTACCGTCAGCTTCAAATAAATGAAATGCTTTTTCTATAGATTGCTAGTGTATATGAATGAGTAGAATACTATATGACAACGTAGGTTTATTTTTTGTCGACTTTGTTTTCTTAGACAACAAAAACCACATATCAACCTAATGACATCATTTTGTGGTCAAGTATATTTTCACATACTGTTCACAATAGTAAATTACAGACAAATAAGGACAAAATTCATGTAGTGACCGTATTACTAAACCAAATGTCATTGATAACTATAATGCTTTATCTATATTAGAATATTCAAATTTGTTTATGTCAAGTAATTTCATTAAAAGGAATATCTAATCTAATTGAGTCTCCGATACTCTTGAATTCAGTGAGTTCACGAGTGTGCCTTCCGGGTCTATCTTTAAAATAGAATTTTCCAATTCAGTAACCTTAATTAAAACTACAGATCCATGAAATTATTTAACACCTACCTAGAATGTATAGTTCTTTGGAATGATGAATATGTTCTTCTACGAGTTGACAGATGCTGTAGCTAGTATTTTTAGTATTGTATCTCTTTCAGCTCATTTTTCAAAAGTATAAAATTTTATATTTATCTGGTAAACTTGTACAAATTAACGATTTAGTGTATAGCATCGGTTGTTGGTAGGTCGATGAACATAGATATATATTTTTTCTATAGGAAAGATGTTCATCACTTCTTTCTGAACCATCCTGCTTCATCATATCCCACAGATTTACATTCGGCGGCCCTAAGCAAATAAGTTAGGTAAAGTATTTTCCATTCTCTTAACATTCTTAGTTCTTACTATTGAAAGATACCCAGGACAATCTTTCCGACCGCCTGAACAAGCATCTTAGAAGGTCTGAAACGCCTATAAAACGGTACAATAAGGCATTCATTATCACCTTATTTCGTCGTAATCCGTCAGCTCGTTTTACGCACCGTTCTCTTGGACGTGGGTAGCTAAGAAATTATTCTTTTCAACCACTTATAAACTGAAGTTTTTTCGGTTCAATGAATGCCCTGGAATATTATAAGGATCATTCTATGATGTTCTCTTTTGTATCTTATCTGTGCATATCGAATATTTTCTGTTCGAGTTAAGAAAGCATAAATTTAAAACATAGTTTTTGAAATGATAATTAAATAATTAGGAATTCTTACTAAAAGAATTATTTATCGAGCGACTGTGTTTATGATGACCTTTGTGCAAACAAAATCAACTTTAATCGGTAAATTGTTTGTAACTCATTAGGTAACTAAAAATACTAACTAATCTATATAAATTATGATTCAGCAGTACTTGAAATTGAATCACTGTCCAATGAGTAGTTCAGACTATACACTAGCACGCAAATTTGACTGATAGAAGGTAAAATCTGACATAATCCTGTGGTAGCTAACTCTCCGTTCAGTATGTTCGTCAGCTTCTCCAATAAAAAAGTTTATCTTGTTTGAAAGAGAGTCAGTTTTAAAAATTAACAAGGCAACAGAAATGTCAGAGTGAATTCGTTAGAAAATACGCTAAAAACAGTTCTATTATGACGTATATTTTAATCATCTTCAAAGAAAAACCTTGGACCATATTTAAATACTGATTCCACGCATGTGACATAGACATTTTTTCCTAATGGAAGCGTGATGATCGTAAGACTATACACCGATTATTATATAAAACTTCAGCTATCTTCCAGTTATTCTTCTCATTATTCTTATTGTATTATGAAGAACATAGGAAATAGGTACTTGCCTAGCATCTATCAAGCGATTCTAATGACAGCTTTCATGAGACTCTTCAAACTTTTCCCCTCTAAACTTCAATGCTCTCAACTTAGCTATAGTTGGTTATCATTCTGTGTTTTGCGAGAAACTTGTATTCAGCCAGAAAAAAAAGACTTTTATCGCACTTTAAAGAGCCAAAATGACCTCGTTGCACGCTAGAAAAACTGATAAGCACCTTGTTTTTGGTATTCAATAATAATAATACTTTTGTAATCATCATCATCTTCAAATGAGCTTCTCTTTCACAAGAATTAGTGTCTGTTGGACAAGTTAAATACAACACTTTTTAGTATGTAGAAACGCTTCTTTTTAATAAATTTCGTTGAACTAGATAAGCTTGCCGTTTTCGTTCGAAGAGTGATCGTCAATATCGAGCCGACATAAACTGTTAAATAATATCTTTTTGAAGACGCTATGTAGTGCCTAATACATAGTTTACTACCAAGCATTGCGCTCCCTTTCTTGCTATTCCCTTTACGAAACAATTATTATTATGGCAGATTGAAAATTTACACAGTAGTTAGTTCGATAAGAATAAATACCCTGCGAGGTTAGCCATCCCGTTCATTGCAAAAATTGTCTGATTGAAAAATAACATAGAATTTTATGTTTAATCGAGAAATGTGTTTTTTTTATTGAAAACAATGCGTTTGACTTACAGGAAGAAATATATTTTCTCTTTCTCTAGTCAAATATTTGAAACAGGAATATAGTAAAATACATTCGAATTAGGATTCGATTTACCTTGTAACTATCTATATGATATAGTCATGCATGTCAGATGTTCTTATTATTGTAGTAGATGAAATCATCTTTCGGACTGCATTGATGAGTCAGTTTTTATGAGTTTGTAATGGTAAAAAAATGAGAGAAAGTTGTCTTGTTTGGTTTATTACTTGAAGACAATATGGAATGTTCGGAAAAGGGTGAGGATACAAGAGGTTTACTAGACTGATGACTTTCATCATATGCCCACAACTCTGCTGTGAAAATATACAGAGAAAGATCAGTGAACAATCCCACGCATATCTTGTTCTATATCTCATTTCCTCCGTTTTTAATTAATAGTGTGTCTGTAACAAAATGTTTTACTATAAAGTCACCGAGTTCTAGAAGAAAATCCACTATTTCCATGTCGATTTCTTGTATATGTCACTGCATTGATTAGTTAAAACGCACTCTCTTCGAGCGTTCGAATACAACAGAAACTCATTACTATGAACTTTAGAAATCTTTTCAACGCTAAAATTTCTCGCAATTAATCTTGGAATAATATGGAAGTGTGTTGATCTATTTCTAGTTAGACTCAAATTTATTTGAACCAATCAAAAATTTATTTTCTTACGAAGTGTTTTAATCTAATATATATATATATATTCTTTGTACTCATTTCACAAGTATCTAATTTCTTTTTTCTTTTTAAGACGCAATGTCACTTGATCAGAATTCGACTACGACAGAATTTCTATCATGGTTTATTCCTCTCGATATTATGCATATAATATGTTATGCGTTTACTATTGTAGCCGCTCTACTCTTTTTATTCATTATCATCTATGATAAACTATACACTACTGTTCCCATGATGCTTATTACAAATTCATGTATTTCTGAACTTTTGTTTGCCACTAGTTTATTTGCTATGGCTACATTTACGATACACAATGACATTCGACACGTTCACTTTTATGGTTCATCCTGTATTTTTATGGCCTATCTAGGTTATGTTTCAGTCGGTTTACAAAATTATTCTTATCTATTGCAAGCTATCTATCGATATATTTTAGTTGTTCATCCAGGTCGCTTGTTTTATCAATCAATTGAATTTCAACTTTTTCTCATTGGTTCAACATGGATTTGTTGTACTATATATCCTATCGTGTTATGGTCTACTGGTCAAATCAAGTACACATTTGATAATGGAATATGTCAAATGCCTCTTAAACCTTCTTTCGCAACGATATTCAATGCATTTTATATTTATTTTATTCCTATGCCAAGCATAATATTAATTTATCTGAAAATGGTTCAACATATACGAGACATGAACAAACAAGTGACTACGGTCAATAGATTATTCCATGCGAAACGAGAATTACGAATGATTCGACGTATTGTTTCACTTATATTCATTTTGGTAGCACTTGGTTTGCCTTATGCAATCTTTATTTTCATGTCATTTTTCAATATGGCACCAAAATATCATTTTCGTATTGCTTTTACATTTATTGGCGCATCGTTGGTGCTCGTAATGATCGCTCTATTAGAAATTACACAACCATTGAAAAATTCCTTGATGAATAAACTAAGTCGTCAATGGGTAAATGTGATAAAAACAAGAACATGAACAATTTCCAAAAAGTCTTTTCTATGTCGTATTTTGTTGTTCGGTTGTAAATAAGAAGTAAAATTTATGAAGCGATTTTCAAGTTTATGTTTTCATCAACAGACTTGAATATTACTAATACAATAATTATGTTAAAATTTTGCTTTCATGAGACGATATTGAGCCCCACATTTCAGATGTTCGTCATAACATAATCATTTGAAAGTTTTCGTTACTAAAATAAGAAATATCATCTGACAATAATATGAATACATCTAGGGATCCCAATTTCTACATAATTACATCGCATAACTCATTGAGAAACATTGAGTTAATCATTTTCCAGATGATCATAGACCGAACTCGTCAAATGCTATAGAAAAGTAGTCACAAGGCAATAACGAACAACATTATGGAAATTCCAAGATATAGTTATTGCTGACTATAGATGTATTAGTTGTGTAACATTCAGAGTGCTGTGAAATTGCTAAGCACTACACTTAGTATTGTTCTGCCTGATGGAATTTGCCCATCTTTATTCAACCATGAAGTAACAATGGAATCACTGGTGTTGAAATTTTAAAGTGTCGGTAGATGACGCCAATGGTACTTATCTTGAAATTTCAATTATTTAACTTAGGCATAGTAGAGACGGTTAATAGAATCATTTGAGAACTTGTCTAAGTATTCCTCAATTTAAATAAAACAGATAAATATCTTCAGCGATACTTTTGAGGTAGTATCCGGCTTAGAATTCGATCAGACAATCACTACACAGCGTTTATTTAATCATGCTTGAATATAAATGAAATATTATTATATATGATTAAAAGAATATTTCGCATTTGATAAAATAACCATCAGTCAACTAAAAGTTTATGCACATCAGGATAGGTGAAGAAAATGAAATGCTATTCTCTGTTCTGTAGAAGCATGATAATAATTTATGTTCGTAAGCAACCGAGTGTGAAAATCATTCTTTATTAATAACTATACGAGAGCATATTGAGTAAGAATCTAGTAAAAGAATTAAATTGAAGATATTTATTTTCTGAGACAATTCATGAACTATGGCTGAGAAAGTTCGTTTCTCTCATTAGATGGGTGTACCAAGGATTTCTTGTGGAACTGAAACATCAAAGCTATTATAGAGTTTAACTGTTTTTCTACTTTTCTTCTGAATAATCGGAAATCATAGTTATTTAAGTTTATTTCTCCTCTGCTTTCAATAAATATCTGTATGCATGCATTTGGCACTAAAGGTAAGTGTGATGGTAAATGTTTAGGTTATCTCCAATGATCAAACAAGATATTTTTAGTGGAATCAGAAAAATCAATGATCGCAAGTGAGCTGCGACCCCCATACTTATACTGTCAATTTAGACAGTGCATTATTAGAAACCATCAGATTTTTTTTAAATCTTCCGAATTTAGAGAACGATTGCAATGAACAGAAATTCGTTCTTTTTTTCACGATTTTATTTTTCATGTCCATCGATTCGTTAAGAGATACTAAGCAAAAACTACTATGAATAAAATATGTGCAAAACGAAATAATCATGAAAATGCATAGCATAACATTGACTGGTCTTTACAAAATACTTTCTTAAACACTTCATAGAACTCGCTTTTTAAAGTAATTTCCACTTAGTCAAACTTCCAAATATTGCCGCTACACATCAGCGCTTGAAGAAATTAGGATGAGTATCTCCTCAGTTCGTGACATTGCTCCTGAAGAAATACAGAACGAGTGTCAACACAATATATGATCTGTTAATCTTCATTCGGATTATGAATAGATAAGTGTGGGAGTGTGAGACAAGAAAAGAAAAACTTGATCCGCTACATGTCTAGTTATGAATTCTGTAGCTATTATATAGCTTACACTTTTAGGGAAATTTTTAGTATGATATAAAGAGAGCACTGTCTTTCCATAAATTTCACACCAGTCTTGCCCAATACGCGTGCTTTTTTTGACTTGTAGCGAAAACTAATTATTGAAAATGACTCAAAAATATGAAGTCTCTTTTCTAAGTCACCTTGGAGAAATTAATTGCTGTCGCTTGAAAACGAAATACATCATCTACTTTTATACAATTGAAAAATAAATAAATATCCGAGACGTAAAGAAGTCCAGCTTGTCACCATAATTGACATTTAAATTTAAAAGTCTCTTTCGAAGCGTTTCGCATTCATTAACAGTAGCGCTTTATCTACTAAAATCTTGACTAAATTATTTATTGACTGGTTCTGATTTTTTTTCAGTTCAAAAACCGCTATTGTTGCGAGGATATTCTCATAATGATATTCATAGTTTGATTATGTTTATCGCTATTTTTCTCTGGCAAGCTTCGTTGATGAAAGAAAAAGTTCAACATTCGAAATTAGAAGATAAAAATATCTTCACGATGACTTCATATATGAATACAAACTATAATGAACCGGAGAGCTTGTTCACGAATATGTTCTAAGAACATCAATTATTTATAAGGTATACTTCGAATAATTCTTTTACATGATTATCAATGACATATAGATGTCAAATAAAGTAGGCATAGTTCTAAAATATACTTCTCTATTTACTAAGAGGAATTTATTTTTCTTGATGATGGTTGCCATGCAGCGGAAGAACATTCGCAATAAAGACAAGACACAACGTCGAATATATTTTATCGATGTCAACAGATGTCGAATTTGTTGTAAATTGGAAGATGCCAGAAAAATGTCCGATGTGAACCCAACGCTTCAGCTCCTAAGAGAGAGACTTACTGTAAAAGCATATTTTCAAAAATGATCACTCTTTTAGTTTTGCCTGAAAAATAGATAGAACTTCTCATCTGATTTCGATGTGAGAACAAAATTGACTTGTCACTATTGTTAGATAAGTAAGATTTTAGTGAGCAAGTTTTGAAGCTTTTTCGTTCAAAACAAAAACGAAATACTGGTTGTGATAGATACTTTTTACTCTTTTATGCGATGAACTTGTGCTAATTTTTTTCCGATGAAAATGCTGAAATTCCTCCATACTTCTTAAAAAAAACTTTGCTTGTAAAGTTTCCTCACCGTTGATATCTTCTGAATCAATCAGATCTGGTAGATTTTAATAATAATATGCACTATTGTAAAATCTCCCTAGCGTTTACACTGATTATTAGCGAGATGTATGTGCGACAAATGAAATTTCATCATGATCTATTGTGTGGAAGAGTTTTTTTGTCACGAATATTCATCCTAACAGGTACGTATGTATTTTATTATGGAAAAGCTATCTGACTCTTAACATTATATCTATGCTGCTCTTTAATTGCAATGTAATCAAATAAACTGTAAAATACAAGCGTAACTTGAATGTTCTTTTGTCTGATGAGAAAAGAAGCTTATTTGATACATAGATATGCCATTTGTAATCATATAAAACGAATTTTTTGAAATATCCATTATAAATAATTGATGTGTTTAGAAAACATTTATCTATAAACTTCCCGATTCGTTATAGTTTGTATTCATATATGAAGTCATCGTGAAGATATTTTATCTTCTAATTTCGAATGTTGAACTTTTTCTTTCATCAACGAAGCTTGCCAGAGAAAAATAACGATAAACATAATCAAAATATGAGTATCATCATGAGAATTTTTTTTATAAATAGCGGTTTTTGAACTGAAAAAAAGTTAGAATCAGTCAATAAGCACTAGAAGCAGCAATTCTATAGAGAATTCGACGAGCTTACTCAATTGATGTGCGTACGTACACAAAGGTATGTTGTTTAACGTTAGTCTTTCGACAGGCGCTTGACTCGAATTCCTATTGCTGAATTGTACTGACACGAAGACATTTGAAGTCATAGAATACCGATGGAAAGATTAAGTCAGCATGCGGGAAGCTATGAGCTGAAGGTAAGTTGTTGACTAACAATTGAAGTATCTGAAATGAAGATCTATGAACAGAAATGAATCAACAAGCATTCGAATGGGGATTTCATACGATTTAATTAGTTTAATTCTCTTGTATGACGGTCTCTATTCATTTTAAAGAACAATCTAATGATTTTTTCCCCATGCTTTATTCACGCTGAATCATCTTCTTTTTCCGCGTCAAGAAAACAACAATCGCACTATATAAATATGTTATCTAACTAGATCGAAATAGCTACATGTGTTAACCCAGGTACATAAAAAACAAAGCGGAATGTTAATTTAAAGTAAACCTATACAGATACAAGATTTTCTTGTACGCGCCCTAGTTTACTATGCTTATCAATTTTTTCTTCGAAAAATCGTACCCGAGTGAGAAATAAGCAAGCCTAGTTTAATTTAAATTGTGCTTCAAAAACAATTTTTTTTTGATTGCCATGCTTAGTTAATTCATTCCCAAATGACTTTTGCTTTAATTATAGCTTAATGAGCACAAGTCTCGAGTAATATATTATTAGATGGAAAATTTGATCTATGCTCACCCTTAGTTTCACTCATTTTTATCTGCGCATTAGACTAACAAACAACTATGTGTCTTACGAGGGAACGCTGTGAACTGTCCAATTGCTCTTTCTATAGAGAGGATTGATTTAGACGTTATCGACTATGCTGATTCCGAATATGACTATCATTTTTGCCCATACGCCTTCCTAGGGTGGTTTTCTGGAAAACCTTATTCGTTGAATTTTGTTTTTTGGATTAGTCCATATTGTAAAGCACACAGAATTACCTATAGAACAAGTGTTTTTTGATCATTTGAAGCAGATCTTGAAACTCATGAAGCACTTAAAATTCATGTAAGAATTGGATATGATACTCAAGATCACAAAGCATTACTTTTTAGTCTCTTAAAAAATAACTTTCAAATGGAAATCTTAACTTGAAGATTTAAGTAAACAGAACTTTTGAACGTTGCTGATAACGGTAGATAGAATTCAAATCATTTTTTACCGAATATCATTTTCATGACTAACTAGATGTGGACACGATGTAAGTATTTGAATGTTATTTTCTTTGTAGATATTACACATTGAACTATGAATAACAGTTAGCTTTACTTTATAGTTTAATAAGATTAATTTCACCAAAGGTACCGATGAACAAATTTTCCTAACTTAAGTATATCTATTCTTAAGGGTTCAAATTTGTTATGGTTTTTGTTCTTATTCGAATTTTGAATCTATTTTACTTGTACAAAGCTAATATTTTTGAAATAAAAACAAAAAACAAATCGTATCTGCTGGTACTCTAATTATCGCTATCCACCTATCGCCAAAGTCGGGAGTCGACATGACATTGGTTATTGCACGAAAGATGCTTTCATTTTATTTTTGAAGCTATCTTACTGAAAATTAGACCCATTTACAGCTATAGTTCTATCTAAAACGTTGAAACTTTTTCTAATGCGTAATTCATTGGTACTGTGCCATCCAATTGAAAATACTTTATGAGTTTCAAGAGATCTGCCTCAAATAAGCAAAATTCAATGAATAAGGTTTTCAGCCTGGAAAACCACCCTAGAAAGGCATATGGGCAAAAATGATAGTCACATTCGGAATCAGCATAGTCGATAGTCTCTAAATCAATCATTTCTATAGATAAAAGCGATTGGACAATTCACAACGTTCTCTCGTTAGTAATTGTAGTGCGATGCCAATCAATGTATTGATGTAAGCGTTTTGCAAATTCTGTTTTTGACGTAGGCATCATAAATCATCATTTTGCGCCGAAATGCTCACAAGAATGCTCAGTCGCATAACTGCTGTTTCATCGTAAGGCACGCGTACCTGGACCGAATCAATATCAACTTTTGCCGCTCATATCTTTTAGAGTGCCTCATTCGCTTACGAATAGTACATCATCAATCCATACGATAACTTAGTTCGTTCATAGAGTACAAAATGTCCTGTGAAACTTCGAATTTCGATTACGGACAAAATCTATGTGTTAAAAAGAAATTTTCATTGTTAACTTTAATAAAATCGTGTGCATATGTGAATAAATATTTGTAGCTGGCAACCATGATTTGTTTTCTCGTCGCTACTATCGAACATTTGTTTTTTTTACAAATAAATTATTGAAGAAGAAAATATTCGAAATGAAAATACCATAGAATCCATTGCTAAGATAATTCTTCTAACATGTTTTGACACATGCTTTTCATTTATTGTTGAGAGTTACATGTTTCACGATGTATGATCATCTGCTCTTCGAGCTGTAATGGATGTGTATTTAGGTTTTCATAATAGACTCACAAGTTATATTTAAAATCATTTTCATTTGCATTATAGTAAAAGACAAAAAAAAGCGTATCTTCTTTGTTATGCTATCGGTAGGCAAACAGAGCATCCTAAAGGAACTAAGAAAAATGCGATCTCTAGTTGTGCTGGCTGGTGTTTGAATACTGTGTAATTTTATCGGTATACTTATAGTAACAGCTTGATTTATTTGAACTCCTAGCTATTATTTCCAAATAGTAATTTTGATAGTTATATATATATTCTATGGCCTAACGTCGTTATATCTATGTTTTACTTTCAGTTTAAGAAGTAATGGCATCGGTGAATGAGTCAACTACGATCGAATTTCAATTATGGTTTATTCCTATTGATATTTTTAATATCGCATATTGCGCTTTTGCTATTGTACTAGCTCTGTTATTTTTATTTATTATTATTGTTGATAAACTCTACAACACAGTTGCCATGATACTGTTGTAAATTCGTGTCTCGTTGGACTAGGAATTTCAATTAGTTTGTTTGCTATGTCAACATTTAGACTTAATAATGATGTAAGACATATTTACTTCTACGACTCATTCTGTATCATAATATGCTGTGTAATGTACAATTCGATTTGCGTGCAAACCTATTGCTATTTATTGCAATCAATCCATCAATATATTTTGGTTGTTTATCCATCTCGATTACTCTATCAATCAGTTAAATTTCATAATTTTCTCATTAGTTTAACATGAATATGCTCCATTAATATTTACTGGTCAATTGAAATATCTCTTCAATGATCAGATATGTCACATGCCTCTGGAAAATTCGTTTAAAACGATATCTAATGGACTTTATACTTTTATAGTTCCCACAGCAGACCTTATGATACTCGATGTGAAAACCATTCGATGTGTACAAGAAATGAGTAAAAATGTAACGACAGCGAATAGATTATTTCATGCTCAACGAGAATTAAAAATGATTCGATGCATTATTATACTTGTGCTTGTTTTATTGGCAGCTGGTATGCCGTACATAATTTTTATTGTCATGTCATTTTCTAATAGTGCACCAAGATATTATTTTCGTATTGTTTATGCGTTTTTCAATCCCGGTATGGTGATTATAATGACAACTCTTTTAGAAATGGCAGAACCATTGAAAAGATCGTTGATGAAAAGAATAAACGGTCGACGGAGATGCATACTATAGTAACTGTTGCATGAATAATTATTTAATTGATCACAGACTTTTAACTACGTAAATATATGAAAAAAACTTCTTTGTCGGTGTCGCACTTTCGCTGTTGGTTTGAATTGAAAAGATGAAGTTTTTTTTCTTGAAAATATATTCATTTAGAATAGAAAATAGTTCAAACGATTTGAGACATGTTCATGATGTTAACTTATTGAATAGTACTTATCTTGCTCTTTATACTAAGTTTACATTACAATCAAACAAACGCTAATATAATTCGTAGAAAGTTCTAGCTTCTTTCTTTTTTTTATATCTATTCTGTTTTTTGCTTCATCAATATGATTGATTTTATGAGAGCTGGAGCGCTAATTGTCAACACTCAGAAAGGAAGAACAGGATGCATAAACGGACTCGTTATGACTAGAAGTTTTTTTTCCTTTATAAGTGTGAGAGTCCTCTATCGACTGGCGTAAATAATGGATGTTCTGAAAAACGACGGTAGGATGAGTTATTAATATTCCTCCCGTGGCAAACTTAGATTTTATTTTGTATTTCTCTTTCCATAACCTTGGGCGTTAAGAACTCGTTTTTCTTGTTCTTTCAATGCTCAGCAAAGGTCGCTGGTAATTGTTTTTGGTAACAAAAAAATGTGAAGTTCTCGTTTCAATGGCTTTATCACAAACACATTTATGTTCAGCCGTCAATGAAAATTCGGTTCTTTTCACGGCCTGTGCACAAGGAGATTTACAAACGATCGAAGCTCGTTTGGATTCGGTTGCATCATCGGATATTTATTCGATTCGGGATGAAAATCAGGCTACGCTTATTCATTATGCGTCGAGATTCGGATATTTGCATATTTTAAAATACTTTCTCGAAGTAAAACATATTGACATAAGCCAACTATATACAGAACACGGCGCAACATGTGTCCATGATGCAGCTGTTTGTAATCAATGGAAACTACTCAAATACATATTTGATTATTATAAAAGTAATCTTACGCAAAAATTTCGTTGGAGCGTACGAGATAAAGAAGGAAATACAACATTGCATCTTGGTAAAGCGAGATTCGTTTTATTTTTTTTTTCATTTTTCAAACTAAACTAGTTCCATATTCTTCAGCTGCTTATTACAACTCAATAGACGTTGTTCATTATCTATTGGAAGAAGAATATGCCGATCCTCACTGTCGATCTTATAGTGGCTATCAACCGATTCATTATGCTGCTGAACGTGGTCACGCACAGTCTGTACAAATATTATTAAAAAAATCACCAACTTTAGTCAACCAACAAACCAATCAATTGTTAACTCCGCTTCATCTTGCTGCTCAAACTGGTTCATTGGGAACCATTCAAATATTAATATTATACGGAGCAAATTTCCAATTGAAAGATCAATATGGTTTAACTTGTTTGCATTTTGGTACGAGCCGAATTCATTTTTTTCTTTCATTTGCATGATTTTGTTTTTCAAAAACAATTTAGCATGTCAAAATAATCATCTTAATGTTGTTCAATGGTTAATAGAGACAAAAGATGCAAAACTAGATAATACCGACTATATGCAAAATACACTACTTCATTATGCTGCTATGGGTGGCAGTGCATATACTATTAATTATTTATTGGACAAACGCGCAAAAGTCGTGCCAAATAATGATGGAAATACACCATTGCATTTTGTACGTAAGAGATTATGCACAACGTTTATAAACAAGAACGTTCAGATCAAGGAGAGAGATAAGTAATATTATCCAAAGATAATCGTTGATTATCAAAAGCAAAATGTTTCCTGTTAACAAAGAAGTTTCCTGTTCCAAAACAACGTGTATTCTGTTTAGTTTTGATTGAGTTTCTATGTCGGTTTAAGCATGCCACTGAAATAAAGAAAATCGTGACATAGCTGGTAGAACAAGAACATCAGACGAGAAACGAAGATTAAACCGTTCTAGAATATGGCTTACTCCAGAAGATGAGTTAATCTATGAATGTCAGATCTCCATTTCACAAATGCGAGCGGCCTTCTAACACATCTATTTATAAATTGATTGAACTGTTTCACTGAAATTTCTATGTATACTATGTATTTTCTTGGGCTCCGAACTGCTGAACAGAATATTTTCAAATCCAAGCAACTCTACCGGAAGATCTCATAGGATGAAACTTCTTATTTTATGTAAAATTTTAATATGAGAATTATATTTTTAAACCTAGGCAGCAAAATATGGCCAACAAAATGCTTGTATCATATTAATCGAACGCGGTGGTTGTTCTCTAACTGCTGTTAATGGTGAACATTTAACTGCTGCTGATCTAGCTGCGAATTCCGGTTATATAGCTCTTGCTAATGAACTTCGACTCGGTGCGAATCCTGCAACTATTCAAGTCGAGAAAGCAACAGTTGTTCGATTAGTAATTAAAAAAAAGAATGTTACACGTTCAGATGCAGGCAATCAAGTGAATGAACAAGATCTGTTAAGTAAATATGTATTCAACAGAAACTAAATAATCACTTCGTTTACTATAATTTTAAATAGATACAGAACGGCATTCGTCAGATAAATATGCTCCATGGCTTAAAATGACCAATCAAACGGCACAAGAATTTCAACAGGAATTGCAGTAAGAAATTAAAACTTAGGAAACATTTTCGTTGTATTTCATTTTTCTGATTTTAAAGATATTAGCGGAAGATAATAATCGGTAGGAGTTGTGTTTCTCTCTCGATAATAACCTGCATGATTACTAAAAAGCACACTTTCCTTTTAAAAAGTTCACATTCATTCTTTTAATTCAAATCTTTTTGCAGGAATATCCAATTGAATTTACGAAAAACTCAAAAGTCTCGTATGATATAAAAAGATTCATCTATTCATTTTATTTGATTATTTTCTTCTTTTTTTTAAAGATTTGGTACAAGAACCATCGCCGATTAAAGAAGATATATCAACAAGTACTGAGCTGTACGACGATTTAAACAATCAAGATACAAATAATGAATCCATACCGGTAGGTTTCCGATTAGAATTTATCTGAAAGAAATTTTCGTTTTTCTCACCTACTTTAGGATTCATTTGCTTTTGTCATGTCAAATGTTCAATCAGACATTTCACAAAGGCGTCGTTCTTCAATTCAATTTGGGCCAGATATTATGAATGAGGCTTAATTAGTTTTCAATCGAAATATATTTTAGAATCAAACACTTTTATGACGTCGAATCAATGAAAGATAAGCTCGACCATCTAATCCTAATGGGCCAGCACTTGTCGATTCGTAAATAGCATCTTCAATCGATTCAATCGTCCAACCATTTTGTGATGAAAATAATTCATATAAATCTGATTTTTTTATACGACGTGGACCACCTTCACGTGTTTCTTTTTCACTAAAACACAATTGAATATATAAACCATTTGGTTTGATTAAAAATTCAAGATTTTTTATATAAATTAAACGATCCTTATTTGAAAATACATGAAACACAGCTGCATCAAGTATAACATCGTATGAATTTTGTTTTAAATTTGTTGCTGAAAGGTCAGCAATCATATCAACAACTTCGAATCGAATATTAACATTAGCTTTTTGAGCTTTTTCACGAGCTACTTCAATCGCTTTAGGTACCTAAATAAAAGTGAATTCGATTGAAATAAGAACAAGATTTCTGAATCTACTAGATCGGTAGCTGTGATGGAAACATTGTTTGTATGTTTTCCAATATAAATTGCATTATCACCAATTCCGCAACCTATATCAAGAACTTCACCATGAAAAATTCCTTGTTCAACAAGTTTAGATATTGCTGGCTGTGGCCTTTCAGTCTCCCAATGTCCTTCACCTGTTCCGGATATACGAAAGAATAGTTCTTGTGGAGGTGCTTCGTCTTTATTCGTTTCACTCGTCATGTTATTTAACAATGATGGAAGACTAAAGAAAGAATGCTTTATCAGTGTTGTGCAATGGTAGAATAGATTAAAAAACGCATGTGCTTTTTCTTTCTTTGAAACTATACCAATATGGGCGACGCTCTAACGGTAAATATAGAAGGAAGAAAAAGCTATCTTTTCTCCGCAAATAATAATTGTTCGAATTTTTTTCAAAAATCTGATGTTTGTTCTCATACGTAAAAGACGTTCTCAATTGTACTAACGAGATTGGTTTACAGAAGACTTCAAATGACTTGAATGTTAACGAACTGTTCAAATTAATCTGAGTCAAAAATATATTTGATCTCGATAATTTTGTCTCTATGTTAGTTTATTGTAAAAACTAGTTGTACAGCACATGCAGCTTGTTTTAAATATTCTAATACATTATTTGTTTATGTATAATTGTTTCGTCGAATTGTTGAAAGGTAAGCTCGTCCACCCGAGGGTACCGATCCAAAAAGCGTTGTTTCATAAACATCATCTTCAATCGATTCAATTGTCCAACCATTTTGTGATGAAAATAATTCATATAAATCTGATTTTTTTATACGACGTGGACCACCTTCACGTGTTTCTTTTTCACTAAAACACAATTGAATATATAAACCATTTGGTTTGATTAAAAATTCAAGATTTTTTATATAAATTAGACGATCCTTGTTTGAAAATACATGAAACACAGCTGCCTCAAATATAACATCATATGAATTTTGTTTTAAATTTGTTGTTGTTGAAAGGTCAGCAATCATATCAACAACTTCGAATCGAATATTAACATTAGCTTTTTGAGCTTTTTCACGAGCTACTTCAATCGCTTTAGGTACCTAAATAAAAGTGAATTCGATTGAAATAAGAACAAGATTTCTGAATCTACTAGATCGGTAGCTGTGATGGAAACATTGTTTGTATGTTTTCCAATATAAATTGCATTATCACCAATTCCGCAACCTATATCAAGAACTTCACCATGAAAAATTCCTTGTTCAACAAGTTTAGATATTGCTGGCTGTGGCCTTTCAGTCTCCCAATGTCCTTCACCTGTTCCGGATATACGAAAGAATAGTTCTTGTGGAGGTGCTTCGTCTTTATTCGTTTCACTCGTCATGTTATTTAACAATGATGGAAGACTAAAGAAAGAATGCTTTATCAGTGTTGTGCAATGGTAGAATAGATTAAAAAACGCATGTGCTTTTTCTTTCTTTGAAACTATACCAATATGGGCGACGCTCTAACGGTAAATATAGAAGGAAGAAAAAGCTATCTTTTCTCCGCAAATAATAATTGTTCGAATTTTTTTCAAAAATCTGATGTTTGTTCTCATACGTAAAAGACGTTCTCAATTGTACTAACGAGATTGGTTTACAGAAGACTTCAAATGACTTGAATGTTAACGAACTGTTCAAATTAATCTGAGTCAAAAATATATTTGATCTCGATAATTTTGTCTCTATGTTAGTTTATTGTAAAAACTAGTTGTACAGCACATGCAGCTTGTTTTAAATATTCTAATACATTATTTGTTTATGTATAATTGTTTCGTCGAATTGTTGAAAGGTAAGCTCGTCCACCCGAGGGTACCGATCCAAAAAGCGTTGTTTCATAAACATCATCTTCAATCGATTCAATTGTCCAACCATTTTGTGATGAAAATAATTCATATAAATCTGATTTTTTTATACGACGTGGACCACCTTCACGTGTTTCTTTTTCACTAAAACACAATTGAATATATAAACCATTTGGTTTGATTAAAAATTCAAGATTTTTTATATAAATTAGACGATCCTTGTTTGAAAATACATGAAACACAGCTGCCTCAAATATAACATCATATGAATTTTGTTTTAAATTTGTTGTTGTTGAAAGGTCAGCAATCATATCAACAACTTCGAATCGAATATTAACATTAGCTTTTTGAGCTTTTTCACGAGCTACTTCAATCGCTTTAGGTACCTAAATAAAAGTGAATTCAATTGAAATAAGAACAAGATTTCTGAATCTACTAGATCGGTAGCTGTGATGGAAACATTGTTTGTATGTTTTCCAATATAAATTGCATTATCACCAATTCCACAACCTATATCGAGAACTTCACCATGAAAAATTCCTTGTTCAACAAGTTTAGTTATTGCTGTTTGAGGCCGATTTATTTCCCAAACGCCATTACCCGTTCCAGATGTACTGAAGAAAAATGTTTGTGGTACCTCATCATCATCGCTCGCCATGTTTTACGAATAATCCAGAACGGAAAAAGATAAATAAACGAAAAATAAAGATATTTGTTCAATAGAGAAAGAAAACAAAATATTTTCATCATAAGCCATTGCGCTTATGGATCATAAATAGTTAATATTGTTTATATTTGTTAAAGTACACTATAGACAGATGAATTCGAAATTCGAATTCTTAGTTTTGTCACATAACGAAATTGCCACTAACGAAATTTATCTATTGGACAAAATTTATCGCAGCGGTCAAAAGAATGAGCAAAATAATAGATGTCCTGTACGTACGGACTCTGACAATATCCGAGTAATTAACTAATTAATGTGATGATTGTATTCATTCAGATGAAGGAAAAATATCAATGCGTAACCGTATGTTGGTGTTGAACTTTTATCCGAACGAATGAAACTTTCATTACGAAAACTCTGGCACGTATCGTTTAATATTTTATCTTGATGTTCCTCTAGCTCTCTTAAGAAAATCACGAAGCTCTTAGTCGAAACTGCAAGAGACTAGATCAATTCGAAAAGCAATCAGAGTCGACCTGCAACGTGTAGTCTAGGATATTATTTTGTGGTGCACTTAAACGAATATCTCGATGTATTGACTACAATTTGTTTTGACTTATGAAAATGTACGAAGATTCGAGACATTTTATTTTATTTTTTGTTCAATATATATTCGGATCATAACTGAGGTGTTGTCGAAGAATAATATTACTTTTGAAATTTATTTTTATCCATGCATCTCTTTATATTACCGTAGACTAAGAGAAAACAACAGTACGACAAAAGTTACGTGTATAGCGACAGAAATTGAGTTTACTCATAACACGATTTTATATCGACTCAGACTTCTTTTGTACTTTATTTAGTTTGAAAAAACTTTCATAAGAAATATTAAATTGATTTGAAGAATTTTCTCTTTTTTTCACTTTTTTAATGCAGCACTTGTTTTTAGATGATGCATATTGAATGAAATTCCTTTTAAGACCTAGTTCGTATATAGTATATCGTCGATTCCCACTACGTTAATTGTGATATAGACAGGAAAAAAAACCATAGGACCACTTCGTATGAAACAAATATAATTAATTAATTCGCAGATGCATTCTTACCGCTGACTTTCTAAAAAAAAAGTACATAGAAATCGTTAGTGTGTTCCGATGATGTCGAAAATAGATATTAGAAAATTCTACTTTTAAAGACATTTTCTTTCTATTCCTTTGTAAGTTTTAGTCAGTATTGAACTACTTTGGAATCGTGTTGTGCTTTAAGCAACTACAGTGTTATTTGATGTATAGGAACACACATATATATTTTTTCTTCTTACTTTTATTATAATGATACGAAGAGGATAAGATGATAATATTAAAAAGCATGCCATCTCGGCACGTATAATGTAAGTGTTCTAAAGATGCTCAAAATGGACTGTAACCGCGTCATGAAATTAGCCAGACGCAATAGATATGATTTTATTTTCAATTTTTTCGAAGAACTTACATGGAAAACCAAATAGGATGCTGACATAATTTTCTATTATCTTAATAAGCTGATCGCATTGCTAATATCTTTAACATAAGTGATTAGGTTTTAATATCTCCGACATTTTCATGATCATGAAAGAATAGAAATAGAGCTCCAGGAAGTATTCGGATACAGTGAACGTCCCATGAAAAAAAATAGAACGTGCTGAAAATCTGGAAAGCATTGCAAAAATAGTCTATTTTGACATTCGAATCTACACATTCCGAATTTTTGTTTTCGCGTGGTAGTATCACATAAATTTTGATGCTCAATATACTCAAACAATTTATGAGCATTAAAATAAGCTCAACTAAGATGCTTTTGCGAGATAATCAAGGCATCTTGCAGAGAAATAGCACGAATCACAGTACCGTATCGTAATAATCAATTTTTTGTAAGTCTCTCACGTTTGGTTGAACTAGATATACTGTTTTCCAATCTTAGAGTACGAGTACTGCGATACAAATCTATTCGATTGGACCGCTAAAGTCTTTTCGAAGAAATCATTGACTACTTGCTCCTGACGCGGTGTCAAGTTTTTCAGGAAACAGCATTCTCACCTTCTTACTTCGTTTCGTAGTTTAATAAAACTCGACTACCATCTAGTTCTGTTTTCTAGTGTTTTAATATTTGTTTTCAGAAGCAGTGGCACCTGAGAACGACTCAACTGTCACGGTTTCTGAATCATGATTTATTTCCGTTGACATCTGCAATATGATATGTTGCCGTGCTGCTACGCCAATTGCTGCTTTCTTTTTGTTTATTATTATTTCAGATAAACTATGCAATACAATTACAATGATATTCATTACAAATACATGCTTTTCTGAATTTCTACTTGCAGTAGGTATGTTTTCTAGAGCTGCATTCAGACTTGACCATGATATCAAAAATACTCGTCTTCATGATTCACTTTGCGTTTTCATGTCCTTTCTGCTCTATGTCGGAGTGAACACACAAATTTATTCGTATCTACTACAAGCCATCTATCGATACGCTCTAATTGTTTTTCCATCTTTTGTATTCTACCAGTCGGCTAAGTTTCAAATTTCTTGTACCATTTGTCCTACTGCATTAATATATACTGATCAAGTAAAGTACCTCGCCGATAATCAAAAATATGTCAAATACCTTTGCAACTTTCGTTTGTGACTATATTTGATGCATGCTGTGTGTGTACAGTTCCCGTGCTCGATATAATACTTATTTCTTTAAAAATGGCTCGACGTGTCCTTGAAATGAGTGAAAATGTAGTCACAACCAATCGATTATTTCATGCTCAGCGAGAATTGCGAATGGTTCGACGTGTACTATTACATGTGCTTATTTTAGTTATCATTGTTTTACCTTATGTGATCTTTGTTCTTATGTCATTTTTCCGCAGTGCACCAAAATATAGTTTCCGTACCGCTCATACATTTATCAGTCCAGATTTGGTGCTGCTGAAGTTTGTTCTTCTGCAAATGTCAGAATCATTGCAAACTTCTACAATGAAAAGAATACATGGTCGACTGGTACGTGTTATCCGAACTGTGGCATAAACCATCATTATCAATTAGAAACATCTTTGATGTCGTATTTCTCTTGTCTAATTTTTAATAGACGATGAAATTATAAAACGATATAAAATTTCAAATACGAATTATCTTTCTATCCTGAAATATTCGTAATCAAATCAAAGCCAAACATTATATAAAGTTATCGGTAGATTCCACTTTGATAGGCACTCTTCATGCGCTGCCGTTACTTTCCAAAGGCAGTGATGAGCACATGAGCTGCCTCTCCTTTTTCGAAACGTTCAGTCGTTCGACTGTTGAATGTCGCGCATGATGTCTAAGCATTCTTTTCATCCCTGATCTGATACGAGAAAAATGTTTAACAACTTTTAATTGAAATAACATTATGTTTTCAAAAACGAGCAAACAATATAGTTCAACGGCGCAACAAGACCTATCCGTTTCCATATGAATGAGAAAAGTAAAAGTACAAATATTTTCATGCTGTGTGATTCTACTTCTAATACTACGAACTATTCTGCCTGTTAAAAGTTTTTTCTGCTTATAAGACCAACTAATCTAGTATTGTTTCCCATCGAATTGTAATATACACACACATCGAAGTGGTAAAATACGATCGCCTTAACTACTTTTTCATTACAGCTGTATGCTTAACAAGCGTATGTAATCAATGTTTTTCTTGTAAACGATGAGAAAGTAGTGCATTTTTCGATTCGATTTGAAATTGAATTGAAATATCAATTTCAAAATGATTCCTTTACAATATTCTATCATTATTTAATCCTGAAAAATCATGTTAGCATAACAAGCAGTTTTTTTAGGTACGTTTTCATTGCTGAGTATTTTGATTGCGTCGAATGAATGAAAGATAAGCACGACCATTTGGTCCAATTGGCGCGTCAGGTCTAGCTTCATAAACAGCATCTTCAATAGATTCAACCGCCCAACCGTTCGCGGGTGAAAATAATTCATTTATATCAGATTTTTGGATGCGACGCGGACCACCTTCACGTGTTTCCTTTTCACTATACACTATTTGAATATAAAGGCCATTCGGTTTGATTAAATATTCAAGATTTTTGATATAAGTTAAACGATCATCATTTGAAAATGCATGAAAAATCGCTGAATCAAGTAGAACATCGTATGAATGTTGTTTTAAATTTGTTTTTGAAAGATCATCAAGCATATTGGCCACTTCAAATTGAATATTAACATTCACTTTTTCAGCTTTTTCACGAGCAAATTCAACTGCTCTGGGTACCTAAAGAAAAATTCATGTACATGAAATAAATATGATAATTGTGAACATACAAGGTCAATGGCTGTGAGACTAATATTGTTTGCATGAGTTACAATATAAATTGCATTATCGCCTATGCCACAACCAATATCAAGTACTTTACCATGAAAAGCACCTTGTTCAACAAGTTTAATAATGACTGGCTGAGCTTGACCTATTTCCCATGGACTATCGCCAAGTCCTGATAAGCGAAAAAACAATTCTTGTGGTGGTGCTCCATCTTTGCTCGTCATCTTTCTTCAAATTATATCAGTGAAAAATACAAGCAAACAGTGAGATATTTATATGGAAAAAAAAAATGCTCTGTCATCATGAATTAGCAAATTGAAGAAAATAAAGCTGGCATCATATTAAGTTTGTCAAACTTAAGCGCAAACGAATGTACACATCAGGTATAGAATCGAGTTCAAGTCAGTCAGCGAAATCATCAAGGTTTCAATATGAATGAAACAAACTAGTGATCTGTGGTCTGGTGTAACGGATTGGTGTCGTATCATACATTTGTTTCTGAGCTACACTTACTACATACACACACACTACAAATTTAAGATTCTAATTTATTTCCAACTAAAAAACGCCAACTAAGAAATATGCAAAAGGACTTTGGGTTTAATGATAAAAACATAATATAGATGTCACTAATTTTGTATGATTCACTGAGAAGGCTTAGCATGGTAGCGATACATGTAATGAGTACTGTTTATGCAGGTAATCCTTGTGCTTTATTATCTTTAGATGAATCTTTATATTTGAGAAGTCTCCTAATCTAGTAGCTCATGGTGGTGCTGTCGTTGGCTTTTTACCAGCCAACCTTCCTTCCTTTTTAATTTATACATAATTAAGAAAATATTCATAATCAATAACAGTTTTTTTGTTTCATTTGAAACCCGATCTAATTTTTTTCTATTTATCTCTTGTTTCACAACGTTATAATTTGACGCAAAGTTATAGAAACGAACTTGGTGTTCAATCTCAAAAAATTGTAGATTACAACATCTTTTTAGTGAACACATCTCTTGTTGGTGTTGGTAAACTGTTTTATTCGATGAGAGAATAATCAAAATTTAATTGTTTGAAAAGTTATAGTATAAAAATTAAATCGAAGATTATCCGTAGAGATTTATATTAAACTCGCGAAAAAATTCAACGATGTGAAAAAGAATGAAACTGTCACACACATTGATATTTTTTCTGATAGCTTATCATTCTTCAAGACACGTTGCGATTGGCGTAACCTCAACCATGATGACTCTTTTATACAAAAAAAATAAAAACCCAATATATGTATTTTTTCTCATCATAAAATTGAAAATGCGCTATATTTAAGTCAGGTTTTATACGCAGAACGCGTGCGTATAATATAATGCAGAAGTGTGTTGCATTGCCTAAGTTTTAGAAACGAACGCTTATTCACTGTTCACCAGTCCACGGATCATAGACAGAATAAAAATTAATTTATTGATTGGTTAGCATTTTCATCGTTATCATGTCAATGAGTGAGCATCCATTCAAAATAATAGGTGTCCTGCACGAACGGCATAAATAATACAATAGAATTATTAATGCGATGCGAAGCAGAAACACTTATGTACTCCGTCTGATGCTCGTTAAAACAGTGTTACTAACATTAAGATCTCTATATGATACAATTTTTGTCCGATTCCCTCTGTCGAACTTGGTTTGGGCAAAGTGAAATACGGATCAAACTTTTCAGTTAGCCGATTCCATGTAGTGAAATTTGACGTTGATTTAGTCATAAATAAAATGATGTCATAGGCAAATACTAGTCACACGTATGTCTCTTCACAGCTGATCTAAGGTAATGAATCATGGATGTAATTCATTGTACAATCGAAACTAAGTATGAATGTAGTTTTTCGAGCGATGAATTTCATCATGTCTCCATGACAAGTATTTAACGTTTCTTCGGATTCAAGATTTTTCGTAGGAGATCGGGATTTGAGTTTCGCATCGCATTACGTGTTCGGGTGAAACTCGAAGATCATATGGTTTTTCTTACTTTCTAGCTCGACGTACATATAGCGACTCGTCATTCTCTGACTCAATGCTTTCGATAATTGAAAGTCATAGAAAATTCGTTCGAACCCGAGGTAAAAGCGCCAAGATCGAACTTGATGATGTGGATGTGAGTGAAGAGGAGAGTTAGAGTCACACCCACACCCACACTCTCAAGATATTTATATTCATCCTCACTTGTTTAGTCTTTTTTTCTCATTGTTCTCTACATAGCTCCATTTGGACAGCCGATTGAAATAGCTTTATTGTGGTACTTTCACGCTATCAAACGAAGACAACGAAAATAAGATAATTGCATTATTTTTCTTTTTCTTCATTTCAATGTGTTTTTTTAAGTATTTTCTATTATGGTATTTAACTATTTAATTTTAAGACATTTCGGAGATATTTTTCTCCTTCGTCCGTTGTATTTTATTTGGTGTTATGCTTTTGTTTTTACTATTTACAATGCGTATCTGACTATTCTTTTTCTTTTTCTTTTTCTTTAATAGTGGAAAGAAAGGAGCGTCAAAATATAAAATTTTTATCGGCCAGTATTACCGTCTTGTCATTCCGTTTCACTATTAAAGGAAAAGAAAAAAAGTCAGATGCGCATTGTAAATAATAAAAACAAAAGCAAAACACCAAATAAAAGGGTGCGGGTGTGGATAACATTTACGTCGTTGTCACACAAGTGAAAACCTATTCAAAATAATAGACGTTCTGGCCGAACGAAAGGAAGAAAACAGTCCAATTATCATTTTGTCAAAATCAAAACTGTAGATTGAAACACAACAAAGAGAACTTCGTGATATAAGCGTATAAAGAGAAAATACTCACTATACTGCTGTAGGTTGTAAGCGTGACTGTCATTGGGGGCTAGGGTGAACAAAAACAAAATAATACTCAGAATACAGCCATATTCTTGTACATACTAATTAAGTAGTGCTTCTCATAGCGACGAATCATGAATATTTCATCCGAAAAATTATTTTTTCATTACTTATTGTGTTTTAGCGCTGATACAAACAATCTACGAATGTTACATATGTTTATTCTCAATTTGTCTTGAGTTTGAATGGAAGGAAGTCTCAAACACTCCGCACACTGCTAACCCCTTCATCATTTAATTTTCATTGATCGACAGATGGCTTTAGTTCATTTACGACAAGTATAAGACCCCAAACAGACCAAAAAACGAAAACAGAATTAAGCAACGTGATTGGTTAATTCACACTCAAGTCATCTTTTTGAGACGATTTAGTGGTTAATTCTGTTTTATCTTTTTGGTCTGTTTGGAGTCTTACTACACTAAAAATCTTCTGCCACATTTTATTAAAATATCGCAGTACAAAAACAGCCGAACTTGTGAGCAATTAGGTTTTTTTTTCATACAATCTTTTATTCGGTTGAAGTAATAAACGATAAAAGAAATTACTGTAGAAAAATGATAATAGAAAAAAATATTGACATAATCTCTTACATGCGGTAGGAAGAAACAAAAAGTAATGTTGACTCATAACAAACTGAGAAAGAACAAAAAAGACATCAGTGGTAGGAAAAGGAAGTAGACTGTTTTATTTTCTTTCGTAGAATGTCGATATTTAGATTGGCAACACTCAATGTGCATTCATTCGTGGCTCAATCAACGTATTTGAATAATGTTTCTGACTTAGTATCAATTCTGAAACCACTTAATCTAGATCTAATTGCACTTGAAGAAACAAAAAATGATACTAACTGGACAAGATTTTGCCAAGATCTCTCTTTACCTCATTTAATATATGGTGACTGTGAGCAATATCACTTTGGCGTTGGTATTGCATCACGTTATCCAATCATCTCTTCTTTAAATCAACGGACAAGTGTATCATATCCAGGCGGACGTAGATCTTTACTTCGATGTGTGTTAGGTGGTGATCATCGATTTCTTACCGATCGAATATTTGCTGTGACACATTTAGATTATTTAGATGAAGATGATCGATTACATCAGATTAAAGAATTTAATCCACCTGAACAAAACATTGATATTTTAATGGGTGATATGAATGCATTAACGCGAGAAGATTATTCAAATGATTACTATCAACATCGAGTTGTAGATGTGCGAAAAAACGCTGCATGGGAATCGCCTCGTTTTGAATTGACAAATTTAATAAAAAACGAATGGAACTATATAGATGCTTTTAGGTTAATAAATCCAACATTGAAAAATGAACAAGTAACAACGTGTTATTACGGAACACGGATTGATTATATTTATTTCCGACCGAAGATAAATGACTCATGGATGTTATCAAAATGTTGGATTATTGACACCAAAGGAGCTACAGATCATAACGCTGTCGTAGCAGAATTTAAAGAAAAATAAAAGCCAATATGGCATTTATATTTCTTTCAATTGATGAAACTTCTAAGACGACTTACTTAGCTATTCACAGTGAGAAATATTCATAATACGTTTTTTTTAAAATTCCTGCTATTTTTTCAATAAAAGTTCAGATTATAATATTTGATATAAAACAAAGATTTACGTATCTTTTCGTATACAGACGATCGTCAAAATCTCAAAAACAAAAATCGAAGCCAATTTATCAATAGTATTTATTTAATTGATATGCTACATTGTCTTTTATTAATTTTAAAAGCAAAAATACAATTTTGTTATCATATAATAATCATATTGGCAAACATAGATTTTTCAATCAATGAAAATACAAGCCAACTTCGAATAACATCACATAACTGCAATAGCTATTGAAAGTGTAACTTTCAGTTCTTTCTCTTCACTTGCATTACATGACTGCGATAAAACTTTTCGTAAACCTCAAAATATATATTCATCACTCGTTTTTAAATGCTCGGTTATGCGTAATCAATGCATTTGATTTCTAAAGCAAAATTTCTTTCTTCCAACTAACTTTAACACTCAACCTAAAATTCAACAATTTCTTAAACACAATTATGCCTGAATGCATATTTTCGTAATATCCTATTAAATAAAACCTTTGAAAATTACCGGATATTAGTTTACGATTGAAGTTTCGATACATTCTCATGTTCACATACTAGATTTCTTAACTGAAGCACAAGCAAAACAACTGGTGAAATAAATAGTTTTCCAGGAAATTCCATATACTTCGGCATTCTTTTGTCTGAAGATATAGGAAGCGAACTATCTTGCACGGCTATATATGAAAAATTAAAAAATGTAGTGAATTAAATAATTATATTAATAAAATCATAATTTTCTCATGCAACTGCATTTATATCTCTTGAGTCGATATTTCAAATTTGATGAGTGCGCCGGATTAATGAAAGATAAGCTTGAACACTCGGCGCCAGTGGACTATCAGGTCTTGATTCATACACTGTGTCTTCAATTGATTCAATCGTCCAACCATGCTGCGATGAGAATAATTCAATTAGATCAGATTTCTTCACACGGCGTGGTATAGTATCGCGTGTTTCTTTTTCACTATACACTATTTGAATGTAAAGACCATTTGGTTTGATTAAATATTCAAGATTTTTTATATAAACTAGACGCTCATCATTGGAAAATGCATGAAAAATCGCTGAATCAAGTAGAACATCGTATGAATGATGTTTTAAATTTGTTTTTGAAAGATCATCCAGCATATTAACAACTTCAAATTGAATATTAACATTTTCCTTTTGAGCTTTTTCACCAGCAACTTCAACTGCTCGTGGCACCTAAATAAAAGTTGATGCAACTACAATAAGTAAAATAATTTCGAACTTACAAGGTCAATAGCCGTGAGATTAATATTGTTTACATGACTTGCAATGTAAATTGCATTATCAGCTATGCCACAACCTATGTCAAGTACTTCACCGTGAAAACGTTTTTGATCAACTAGTTGAACTATTGTTGGTTGAGACCGATTTGTTTCCCAAATACCTTTTCCAGTTCCCGATAAGCGAAAAAACAACTCTTTTGAGATCGACGTATCATGATCTGTTTCGTTCGTCATATTCGACAGGATCTATCGAGGCAACAAATAAAGTAAATATTAACTTTTGAATTTATGAAAAATATTCGTCTTTCACAGTTAGAATATTACCAACTGAAGAATAATAGAACGAGAAAATGTACATTTTGCATTTTCTGTTCTCAATGATGACACTGATAAGATAACTAGGTCAAACAAGAGAAAAGAAAAAAAGATGAATATGTATATGCATGACTTTTTCGAATAGGAAGCGCATAGTTCAAGCATTTTCACTCGAAAGAATGCCGCGAGGTTCTAGTCGCTTACATTAAAATATACTAAGTATCTTTTTTTTTCTTTTTTTGAATATAATCTAAATTGCTTCTCTGATATTATTATTAACATTTATTGAAACCATTAAATTGAATCAACAACTCAAATAGCATAATCTACTTAAAAAAATACTGATATTCGAATGGGTGATATGTATATAGTAAAAGGAGAAGAAGTACTTTGTGAATTATTTTTTATTCGATGCGATATTTAGTTAGAACAACGTGAGTGACTGTTAAATATTGATAAATGAATTCGTAACTATTCTATCATTCGAGTATAAACATTTATAGAACTGTGAGCGCGTTCTTCTATTTTATTATTATTTTTTTCTTCGTTTGTTACTTCATTGAAAAAAATATATCAAGCGATGTGTTACAAAGTTCAATGTCGAAAGTGTAATCATTTTACATGGGCTGGTTAGTGAATGAAATTTGTTCGTCAGTGGTTTATTGATAAACTAAATGTGATAGGTTGTGGTATGCACAAGGATTCAGTTTTGGCAACGATTCCTCTTGACCAACGTTGTAAATGTCATTTGATCAAACAATCTCATCAGCAGCCATCATCGAATTTAGGTTATTTTACTAGATCATCACGCTATTCTTAAATAAACCATCGTGTATTTTTGCACAGTAAACGAATATCGATAAAAGTTTGAAAAACTTCTCGAGATGATTAAACTCATACAAGAAGTGATGCTCTATTCTTGTTGCTATCCATGGATGTCGGAAGTCATCTATTGTAAGCTAAATCAATATTTTGATTAACAGCAGCAACAAAACCTTCAGTAAACATTTTTCGAAAAAAAGAAGAGCGTGTTTGATTGAATATTCCATAGTGCACTGCAAAGTCTTGTCTAATAGATCTATTTCATGATTTATCTTCAACCATTCTGAATTTCTATATATTCCCACTGTTCTTCAATTCATTTCGAAAGAAGCTAAAAGTCATATTTAATGTTTTATCCGATATTTGCACGAAAATCACAACGTTGCCAATTTTCTGTTCTATGTAAAAGGAAATTCTCTTGAAAAGTGATAAATTTGAAGATTTCGTCTGCATCTATTGAACTTTTACTATAAAAAATAATAGAATTCGCCATCAAGAGAACTATATTTATATATTGCAATCAAGATTTTTACTTTCACTAACATCGTCAGTTACAGTCAAAGTAGGTGTTTCTATCGAAAATACAACGTTACGGCTTCCGTTTAATTAAACATTCTATAATGACTAATAACTCAGTTGTTTATTCTAGTTTTTCTCATTACAAAATGTTATGCTAGTGCACCTACCCATTTCGTTTTATTTTCTTTTTTCTTGATTTTTGATTTGATACCTCATCAACAACTCGGAATAGTATTGAAAAAACGTCACACTCTTGGTATGATCGTATATTAGTTTTCCTTCGGCGCAATTCATTTTTATTTGCACCAAAAACATTTCCAGTAAGTTGCTACGTATATACACGATATTATTGCCAAATTAAATCATCACTAAACGCATCATTAAAAAAATGTACTGCTATTATTAATCACATAAAAAACACTGCTTATATAAATTGCACAAATATAGAATAACTTAAAAATTATATTATGGTTTACTGACTGGAGAAAACTTTGTTTGTAAGTCAAAGTAATACTCAAGCGCAAAAATAAAGAAAGTACGATTATGTTTTATTTTATGTTGAATGTGTTGAGAGAATTAAAATAGAACACATAGTACAGTAAATGTATTTGACCATGATTATCAAGATCAATAAGATAGCTCTTTTAATTGTACATTTTCAATGTGTAATTGGTACGGTGGAGAGCTTTTTCTAAATTGGTATCATCTAATATAGAAATATAGGTAATAAACTATCGTTGTGATCAACATACCACATTTATTGACAAAATAGTATATTTAGATTCATTAAATTTGTGCACTGCCGCTTGTTTTATAATATATAAATGAGCAATAAGGTTTTTGTTATCAACATTGACGACATATTTTAAATCAAAGTATTTTCTCACTGAAATGCAGGCTGCTATCAATCTTTAGGCAGATTTTACCATGAAAACTATCTACTCTTTTTAAAAATTACTACAATGAAAAAGTTGCTAATAACCAGTAAAAAAAATATAAAAATTACTGTTTCTTGAATATTTCTATTTTAGTGGATATCATAGAAGATGACATGGACACTGATATTATCTCGCTCAAACATGCATCGGACGACAGGCATCCTCATGTTGAGAATGAAGAAGATAGAAGAGCAGCACAAAGCCTACCTGATTTAGCGAAGGTTGTTACTCTTATTAATAAGAAGATAGACAAGTTAAAAAATACTCAAAATCCTGCGTATAATTCTTTCACTTTTTTTTCTCATTCCTAATAATCTAGTGAATGCTTTTATTAGGCAGGAATCTTGCTGGTCAAGAAATCGATCTTTAATCGCTATGGGTACATTTAGTGCCTTCATAATTATGGCTATTACTATAGGTATGCTGGAAGTTTGTTTGGCGACATCAAAAACTATAGGTATGAATTTTTCTTTAAATATATATTTAAATATTTTGTTGTGTAAGGCTGTAAATCCAATTGGAGCTTGTTGTTTCAAATTTGAAAAAAATCATTTGTGACTATTTCTGATTAATCATATCTTCATGCCAGAATCACTATTACAAGCCATCACGTTGTACAGTCTAACATTGACATGCTTCAACAGGCATTATAGTTTTTGAACATATTGCATAGAAAATGACGAGAATAAGTGATTCAGTAAATGAAGTTTCATGTATGTAACGGTATCTAAGTTTTAATAAACGAAACAAAAACATTTTTAGAACATCATTGATTTGAGTTGTATAAAAGCAACAAGATAACTTTTCTCGACCAAATTATGCAAATTGTGAAGATTCTACTCAATCCGATATGAAAAGCTTTTTTTTTCTATGTTGCGTAGTTCCAGAGTGTGGACTCAAGTTCATACAAACAGCTAAGAACCCTATAGAATATAATCATGGACCTCGATCTGTCGCTGCTGGTGATTTCAATAACGATACTTGGATAGATATGGTTGTTGCCAATCATATTGTCAACACAATTGCTATTTATTTTGGACAAAACGATGGCACCTTTTCAACTCCAATACAGTATTCAACCGGCGTGAAATCTATTCCGTACATGGTCGTTGTTGACGATTTCAGCAATGATGAACTTTTGGATATCGCAGTGGCTAATTTCGGTACTAATAGCATCAGCGTATTTCTTGGACTTGGAAATGGATCTTTCGTGAAATATACAGAACTGTCAACCGGTTCATCTCGTCCAATATCGATCAGCGTATCTGACTTGAATAATGACACATTACTTGACATTGTTACCGTCAATTATGGAACACACAGTATAAGCATCCTGTACGGATACGGAAAGGGAAACTTTTCGAGTGCAACTTCATATTCGACAGGCTATGATTCGTTTCCATCTTCAGTAGCTAGTGGAGATTTCAATAACGACAAGTATTTAGATCTCGCAATTGCGAACTACGGTACCGACAATATTCTTATACTGTTTGGAAATAAGAATGAAACTTTCTCAAATCAAATAACTATTTCAACTAGTTTTGGTTCTCATCCGAACTCAATTGCGGTTGGCCATTTCAATAGAGATGCATATATCGATATTGCTGTGGCTAATTATGGAAATAATACAATAGGTGTACTTTTAAACCATGGCAGCGGAACTTTTGCACAGCAAGCCAAATACTCAACCGGTTCAGCTTCTCCATACGCGATTGCTGCTAGCGACTTCAACCAAGACAGTCGATTAGATTTATTCGTTACCAGTAAAGGTTATAATAATACAGCTCTATTTTCTGGTTATGGAAACGGTACGTTTACTGAGCCAGCAACGTTTCCAACAGGAGCGTTTACATCAATATCACTCGCCATAGAGGATTTCAATGGAGATAACCATCTGGACATCGCGATTGTTAGCAATGATACAGGTACTATAGATATCCTTCTTAGTGCTTTTGAGGGTTTTGAAAATCAATTGATTTTCTCAACTTCATCTCATCCATTATCTGTAGTTGTCGGGGATTTCAATAATGACGATCTACTGGATATTGTTGTCACCAATCCTGATAGCAACGATGTGAGTGTCCTTTTTGGATATGGCGATGGATCTTTTACTAATGAAACCACGTATTTGACTGGCTCTAATCCACAGTTTGTGGCTGTTGGCGACTTTAACAATGACACTCAACTAGATATCGTTGTCGCCAATTATGATAGTGATGATGTGAGTGTTCTTCTTGCATGTGGTAATGGCTCTTTTGCCAATGAAACCAGATATTCGGCTGGTACTTTACCGATCTCTCTAGTTGTTGATGATTTCAACAACGATAGCCATTTGGATATCGTTGTCGTCAATTATGGTACCAATGATGCGAATGTTTTTCTTGGATATGGTAATGGTTCTTTCCATGATGAAACCAAGTTTTCGACTGGCTCTAATCCACAGTTTGTAGCTGTTGGCGACTTTAACAACGACACTCGACTAGATATCGTTGTCGCCAATTACAATAGTGATGATGTTAGTGTCCTTATTGGATATGGCAATGGCTCTTTTGAGTACCAAAGAGGGTATGCAACTGGATCTCATCCAACGTCTGTAGCTGTGAGTGATTTCAACGACGACAGTCGACTAGATTTGGTTGTTGTCAATTCGAAGAGCAATTATGTGAGTGTTCTCCTTGGGTACGGTAATGCCTCGTTTGCTGGTCCAGTATGGTATTTAACTGGCACTACTCCGCAGTCTGTAGGTGTGGGTGATTTCAACAATGACCGTCGACTGGATATCGTTATCACCAATTCTTTTAGCAATGATGTGAGTGTCCTTTTTGGATATGGTAATGGGTCCTTTGCTGATCAAGTGAGGTATTTAACTGGGTCTTATCCATACTCTGTAGCTGTTGGTGATTTCAATAACAACACTCGACTGGATATTGTTGTCACCAATTATGATAGCTATAATGTAATTATTCTACTACAATATTACGGAGGCTTCTTCAAGAACGGAATGACATACGCATCTGGAGTTGGTTCTGAACTACGATATGTTGCTGTTACTGATATGAATAATGATGACCGCCTTGATATCATGGTTGCTAACTACGGTACTAATAGTTTAGGCATCCTTTTCGGACACGGAAATGGTACTTTCCTGAATCAAGTCATTATGAGCACAGGTTCACAGTCTCACCCGTCCTACTTAACCTTTGGCTATTTCAATGATGACAGTCAGCTAGATGCTGCTGTGGCGTATAATGGTACTAATAATGTAGATATTTGGCTACGAAACGGAAACGAACTGTTTGTGCAACAAACAAGTGACATACTTCGTTTTGTTTCTGCTCCACTTGCTATTGTCTCGGGTGATCTAAATAATGATGGACGGTTCGAAATTGTCGTCACATTCGATGACAGTGATAATGTGAGTATCATGGCTACTTACAAGAATATCTCTTTTCTCGATGAAATCAGGTATTCAAGTGGCTATTCTCCATCCTCTGTGACTGTTGGTGATTTCAACAACGACACTAAGCTGGATATCGTTGTTGCGAATTCTTTTAGCAACGATGTGAGTGTTCTTTTGGGATATGGTAATGGCTCTATTGCCAGTCAAACTAGATATTCAACTGGATCTTGGCCATACTCTGTAGCTGTTGGCGATTTCAATAACGACACGCAACTGGATATCGTTGTTGCCAATTTAGATAGCAATAATACGAGTGTTCTTTTTGGATATGGTAATGGCTCTTTTGCCAATAGAACTATGTATTCAACTGGTGCTTCTCCATTATCTGTAGCCGTTAGTGATTTCAACAACGACAGTCAACTGGATATTGTTGTTGCGAATTCTTTTAGCAATGATGTGAGCGTCCTTCTTGGATATGGCGATGGCTCGTTTGCCAATGAAACTAGGTATTCAGTCGGTGCTTCTCCTTACTGTGTGGTTGTTGGTGATTTTAACAACGACACTCATGTTGACCTCGCTGTTGCCAATTCGTTTAGCAATGATACGAGTATTCTTCTTAGATATGGTAATGGCTCTTTTGCCAATGAAACTCGGTATTCAGCTGGCAATTCTCCATACTCTATATCTGTTGGTGATTTCAATAACGACAGTCGACGGGATATTGTTGTTGCTAACTCGAAAAGCGATGATGTGAGTGTCCGTCTTGGATATGGTAATGGCTCTTTTGCCAATGAAACTCGGTATTCAGCTGGTGATTCTCCATACTCTGTTACTGTGGGTGATTTTAACAACGACAATCGTCTTGATATCGTTGTTGCCAATTCGAATAGCAATGATGTGAGTATTCTTCTTGGATATGGTGATAGCTCTTTCGCCAATGAAAGCAGGTATTCAGTTGGCCAATATCCACAGTCTGTAACGGTGGGTGATTTCAGTAATGACACACAACTGGATATTGTTGTCGCCAATTATGGTAGCAATGATGCAAGTGTTCTTCTTGGAAATATCAATATAGGTTTCGTAAATCAATCTACACTCACATCTGGCAATGGTTCGAGACCGCAGTCCATCGTGATTGCTGATTTTAACAACGATTCTCGAATGGATATTGCTATTGCTAATTCAGCTTCTTGTAGCGTCGCTATTTTTGTTGGACATGGTAATATTTCCTTTGGTAATCCAACGACCTATTCAACTGGCTCTAGACCAATTGCCATAGCTACGGGTGATTTTAATGACGATATGCGACTTGATATCGTCGTTGCTAACTATGGTTCTGAAAGTCTCAGTATTTTTCTTGGATATGGTGACGGCTCTTTTGCGAATCAGAAGTTCTACACAACTGGTGCTAATTCTCAACCATACTCTGTAGTTATTTGTGACGTTAACAACGATGCCATGTTAGATATTGTTGCATCTAATCCAGGCATTGATGGTATAGGTTTATTCGTTGGATATGGCAATGGAACCTTCTCAAATATGATGCTAATTCCAACGGGCGACGGATCTGCTCCTTTCTATGTTGCCGTCGGAGATTTCAATAAGGACAGAAAGCTGGATTTTGCCGTGCTCAATGAGGGTACTGACAGTTTATCTATTCTTTTACAGACTTGCTGATTCGAAATGTTCTACATTATTATTCTTTAAATATTTATATATACTATAATCGATGATGCAGGATGCATTACAACATTTATTTATTTATTTTGATCAGAATTTTCCATCCTATAACGTGAAATAAGAACAGTCAGAAAATATTGCAATTTCTCATTCATTTTTTATTTTCGTCGCTGTCTTTTGTGAAAGTTTTGCTCTTTCAACTACTTTTTCATATAAAGCATTCGAGATGCGTATTGAAGCGAGTTTTGACCCCAACTGAGATCTTTATGTTTATGGATTCTTCCGTGTATATTTTCTGTGAAAGCATTCGTATGAATATCATTATACTCACTTTTTTGTTTGCACACTCATCAACTATGTGAATGGCAATCAAAAACAAAACAAAACATATAAGTTTCAAATTCTTGAAACAGTAACTACCCAAAGTCATCACCAGCTCGTTAAGATAAAGAAGAGATCTTTTTTTAAGAATATTTTTCGATCTGATTTCCTGGTGATAGAGCTACTTAATGAAAAATTCAATGTTTATTAAATTTTCGTTTGCATTGCTGTCTTTTTTTTTATGTATTCATTGAAAATAAAACATAAATACTTACTTTACGTCAAATGTTAGAAAAGAATTCCAAAAAAAAGAAGCTTGTTCATTTTCTATGCTATCTTCAACTACTTAAATTTAAGTTATTATTGTGAAAATTGATGAAACATGTCAGATATTGATAATCTGTTATATATCGAGCTATTTGGGACACGAAACTCGCTACCCAGCGTCTAGAAAGTCTACTTAGACAAGCATACATAAATAAGAGGAAGCAAAAATAATGCATAATACATGCGCACAAGTGTATTTAAATCTACAGGACAAAGTAAAATTATCTTACTGAACTATTCCCTTTCGTTCCTTCATTTTAGCATAAAGTGTAACTAAAGTATCTTCACGATCTTTATTTATTGCAATAGCAAGGACTTTTTAATTGGTAAATTCAAAAAAAAACAAAATTGTATCGTCTATTATATACTTCTGTGTAAAATTTTATATACAGCTTTGATTTTTGTTACTTTTACGGACTATTCATTAAGATGAACGATTTACTTTAATTTTAATCAGCAATAAGATACATATTTATTTATCGAAATTTGAATCAACGAATGATAAAAATAAGCTAAAAATATCTTTCATAATGCATGCTTTGTAATTCTATACTTATGTATTCATTATAATTGTAAGTAAAGTCATATTTGTTCACTTGAATACATGACCTAAATGTCAATACAACATAAAAATGGCAGTTGATTAGTATAACGTTCGTCAAATTCAGAATAAAATGTGCAACATACGAAGCGGAAAAAACACGAGTTCGTTAATAAAATTGGCGGGTGGAATGAATTTGATTGCGAAACGAATTAGTTATTCAAACCCCTTATTTGAACTACCGCAATTTCTATGTTGAACAGCATAAAAAACTTTTTAAAGCGCACTGGCTGTCTATTTGATTCGCATCATAACTGTATTTAACAATAGCTCTCCTTTAAAAATGAACAAAAATAAATGCCATGTTTATTTTTTTTATCATCACAATGATCATTTATCACATTATTAAAAATAGAAAAAAAAATACACACACCGGAAACAAATATTTTACATTTTTTTAAGTATTTCCATGTAGACTGTTCACAGAATATTGTACTTTCATACTGCTTCCAGGTGGCAAAGGTGGAACTATATGATCGTTTTGGTGATAACCAGTTTTTACTGGATTTGGCATTGACCGACGGCTGCTAATACGTGATCGATTGCTCTGTCGGCTAGTTATTGATACAATTGTATTTGATCTTGTTGGATAATAGCTCTCTCTTTCTGGAGGAACATGATAAGGCTGTGGAACAACATTTGGATAGGATGCTTGTACATCGCTACACGATGCTGGGTCTAGATCATGAGGATCTGGTAGGGTCGATCCATCGGGACAATTTACGTATTCATTGTACATGAGTAAAACTGAATATAAACAATTTTCTTTTTAATAATATATTCAATGTAAAACTATCTTACCAGCTTCTAATCGTCTTGTTTTTCTTAAATATTCTTCTATACAATGATATAGTAATAAGTATTGATCCTAAAGAAATGTGAATATTTTTATTATTATTTCAAATTAGATTTCAAATCACCTGCGTTTGAATCATGTTGACTCTCTGCTGTCTTAAGTGATAAACAATACCCATAACATCAAGTTGCAATCGTTGTAATTCATCATAAGAGATATCAAGTAGACGAATAATTGTATCTACGGCAATATAAGTACCTGTTCGACCAACACCGGCGCTATAAAAGCAAATGACATCAATATGGCTACTGTACGTTTTTGTGTATTCTAAACTTCATACCTGCAATGAACAACGATTGGTATTGATAATGAATTATTTGTTTTTTTACAGGGTTCATGAGATGCCGATACGCTACGTCTATTTACTGTTTCAATGAGAGCAATTAATTTTTTTGCTTCGACAACTCTAAAATCCGGCCAGCCAGTATAATAATAATGAATAACATTATGTTTCATATTAAACTAAAAGAAAAAAATATATATTTAACTTGAAGAATAATTTTTCTCAAAAAAGATTTTACTTGTCGAATAGTTAAATAACGAATTTCGAGACTTGCATGAGGATGATGTTCACTGTAAGTTAATGTCACAGTAGTTGCGTTGAATTTGAAGACGTCACCGTCATGTTTTGGAAAATAGAGATGACATTTACACTAAAAATGAATGAAAAACTTTGTTTGCAAATTCTGTAAAATATAAAATGTGCACGACGCCAATAAGATCTTCTTTAAAAGAATCTCGTAAAAAAGAAATGTTTGATACAATCTGATTTAGAAATCTCCTATAAATTAGCATGGATATCAGGGATAGACTGAATCGAAAAATGCATCTTACTGGCAGTACTCGATCGATAGACAAAAATGTGCGTATCTTTCAATCCTTTCTTTCCTGATAGACAATGATTACTCGAATGACTGAATAGAGCCGCTTAAAAGGTACAAAATATTATTGTGCGAGTAGAATTCTTCACCTACCTTGCCTTGCTCTTCCGTTCTAGTTAACATAACAATTTTTCGTGCTTTATATTGAATAATCATATCCCAGAAATCTGCACATGTATTTGGCAATGGACCTTGACATGCAATATATAGTTGTTTTTGATCGAAACTCTATAAAATAAAACATATATATATATTTAAAGACATTTTTTTCTTAAATAAATTACTCTGATTTCATTAGCATTAATATAATCATGAAAACGATGTTCAGCTGTTAGACGAACTGCTGTTGATTCCCCTAGGATAATAAGCGGGAAAAAAATATTGAACAGATATTTTGAAAATCAAAAAAACATCTATACATACATGCTCCACGAGCAGGAATATTTTTGTAACGATCATACTCCTCGAAGTCTGGGTCTTGATCCGATTGATCAAGACGAGGAGACACTTGTGCTAAACGCTAATTTGAATCAAATAATAAAAGTATAACATACGACAATAAAATATGTTAACTGACTTCATATTCTCGGTATATATCATGTTCACGTTCTTGACGTATACGTATACAGTCGATAAGTTGCCGAGGTCTGAATAAAAACCCGTAAAAAATGTCATCTCGAACAAATTAGTCATTTACTTCATTGATTTAATAACAGGAATCAATGGAATACTAAAATTAAAATTATTCCTGTTTGAAAATTATCAATTTTCTCTCGTATCTCAACTTATTTGGTGTTCTACAAAACAGAAAGATATTGAATAAGAATTATTTTGAAAACAATTCACATGGTAAGAATAGAATTACTTTTTTTTCTTTTGCTGCCGAGCCCGTGCAACAAAAAAAGCCACAATAAGCAGTATAGCTAAAATAGGAAATGCAATCCACCAGGGTGATGTTTTTGAGCCTTTGGGTTGCAGAACTAAATGAAATACAGGTTAAAGAAAAAAGTTTTTTTTTTTTATAATGAAAATGACTTACTTCTTGTTCGGAATGCTTTCGACAGTACAGATGTACAACCTGCTCGTGTACAACCACTCACAATGAGTCTATCATTAATCATTATCACATCAATAGTTTCGAAAACGGAATAAATAAAACATACTTGTAATTTGTACCTGGTTTCAATTTATCATTACAAGTAGAACTTGGAGCAGAATCACTCGTAGAGCATGTTTCATTACCAATTTTTAAACGGAGAAAATTATTACTCTTCAGAGCTACACTAGGAGAAAAATAAAATGAAAATATCTCGATAGTGCAACATGTTTCGAATTCAAAACCTAGAACTCATATGTGTTGTTTAGCATCGTTAAACCAATGCACAAAAAATAAAGTGAAGAGTCTCGCTGTTTTTCAAGGATACTTGATCGCTAAAGAAACCAATTTTCCAATGTCTTGTCGAATAGAAATTGTCATTGTCTGTTAGTTTCGTACTCCTATTGACTATTATTATTATTCTAACGATTAATTCTAAATAGTATACCAAAGAAAACTTTCAGATCAAATCGTATATGCCACGCGCTAACCATAGATCCATCCTTGACATTCAAATTCCAAAAACATATTTTATACTTCTTCGAATGTGTAATTATTTGAGGTTGGCAACCAATAATCAATTATGAATACTTTTATATAGGTATGACAATAAGGTGATTGTACTAGTGAATACTTACAAGAATTATTCGATGATGATATTGAAAGATTTAAAGCTAAATAATCAAGTGCAGCATTTTCAAAAGCCTCATGGTATGTCCCAATTGGACCTGGCTGCGATGCATTGTTACTTTGATCTGGAGTAGAAAATTAGAACATAATTATAAAACTATTTTATGACCACAAAGAACTTACCTTGACGTACATAAATTTTATAGTACCGTAGAACTCCATTATCTGGAGAAAATAATGCTTCATATATTTCAACAACATATGTTTCCCTTTGTGATTCGGCATCATTCTCGATTGGAACGATTTTCTCTGCTACCTCATCCTCAGTGGGTTGTCCGGGTGCTAAAAAAATCAAATAAACAGTTCATCAAATTAGAAATAAAGCTGTCTACCATCTTCTAATGTTGTTAAAATCAAAGGATCAGAATTGATTTCATGATTTGAAACAAGTTTTACGCGAAACTTATATCTATTCAAAAATAAATATATAGATTAACAAAAGATGATCAAACAACAGCAAAAAATAAGCTTACTGTCGATTCGGTAAAAGATACGAGTTTGTATACGAATATGTTGTACTATTGAGAGTATCATTTAGGCTTTGGTTTACAAACACTTCAAAAGATTTCATATATATTGGTGTGATTTTATCCCATTTGACTGATATTGATTTAGAAGTTATGTTCGTATAAGAGAGAATTGGTGGCGGAGGTACTAAAACAATGACGATGAAAACCAATTCGTATTTTAAATCTTCAAATTCTTACGAATATGCAAGTTGTAGTTTTTGGAATTTGTATTATTATAATTCACTTTTGTTGTAACAAAATAGCATACATAGTTACATCCGAAAATACCACTAATGTTAAGCTTTGTTGCACATTTACTATATATTGTCTTTAGATAAATACATGGAGCTTGTCTTTGATCAGTCTCACAAATAGATTCCAGCTGATTAAAATCACTGTTCTGATTAACATCAAATGTAAACTGCGTCGTGTTTGTTAAGGTATTGTTGTCATAGTCTACTGGTTCAAGGTCTACAATTGAAATAATACATAAAAGTGTATCGATCATCAACATGATCATATTCACTTACTCGTTACGAATGTGAAGTTATCAGAATTAGCATCATTGAAATATTGTCTGATAGTTCTTGCTTGACATTTGTATGAAACTCCTCTAGTTATAGGAGAAATCGAAAAAAAACTAGAGTTTGCACAGTTTTGAACTGAACTCATAACTTTCGTGATATTTTTTGAACAAATTGAATCTTGTGCGGAGCAAGTTAAATTGATTTGATCGAACTTACCACGCGGACAAGTAAAATCAATGAAAGCTTTATGTTTATTATGTAGATCTTCTTTAAAATTGAACCCTGTTACTTTGTCAAGTTCTGTAATATGAACAAATCAAAAATATTAAATATTAAATAATAAATCTTTCTAATTACCTGTCGCAAATTCTTTATCAAGAATCTCTTCTGGGAAACTACCATCGGGTCCAAGGTCTATTTTATCTGCTTTTGGAATAGGCAATCGAACTAATGAGATATTATAAGTTGAACTTGGTTCAATATTATAACACGTATGTGTACAATTTTGTGCAAGTCTTTCATTGGATGGATTCGAACTATTACAGCGAATCATCAAATATTCTATATCGCATATGTTTGTACAATTTGGTATAGAAATGAGTGCTGCTGTTATATTGTTAATAGTTTCTACATTAATAAAGGCAGATGTATTGAGAGATAATGGCTCTAATGTAATAGTAAATGTTTCATTAAATATAGTTTGGCCAGGGGAATTTTTTTCGCCCAAACTAAATGTCCAATTTCGGCCAGCGTGGTTCGTAATATTATCACAACGAACATTCACTATGGTATAATTTGTACTAGTTGAATTATCGTTAGTGACAATACAATTATCTACTGCGAAATCATCGAAAAATACAAATAGTTCAAACGAATCTGTTGTTGAACAATTAAAAGCAATAGTAGCGGCGAACATAGTCGAACTGCGATTATCAACAGTAAAATCACATGATTTAGTACGATAGCAAATGTCGGCTAGAAAAATAAACAAAAATATTATATGAATATTTTCATATTTTTGATTGCATTATATATATATATATATATGTATGTATTTACGAGGAACTGTTGTGTATGTTCCAGTAGCAGTAAATGTAAAAGATTCACTTTTTGCTGTAGCTTCATAATTTGTGATTTCTGTAGATGCTGACCTATCCTTGATTTTCGTACTAAATGAAGTCGATAATATGGGTGAAGCGATCGGAATCATGTCGTCCGTCTCATTCATCGTTGTCATGTGGCTCTCGTCGATATTAGGATCTAACAACAGATTAAAATAATTTAAAAATAAAGATTTAAAAAAAAGGAAATGACTCACAAGTACGAGTATCGTATTGCATAGACGTGTCTGTTTCGCCAGAAGCAAACTCGTCGGATCTTGAATTCCGTGAAAAACTTGTTATGTTACTATTGCCATATTGTATAACCTACGGAGACATAGATAACGATAAATATTTTACTAGATACGAACTAGTTGTATATTTAAATCGCTTACCAATAGAAAAATTTGTAATAAATAATATACTTTATAATGCCTTATATGCATCGGAACTTCTATTTGACTGAGTGGTTTATTGTGAAAGTCGGTGTAGTTTAATGGACTTCTGCATGAGAGTGAGCAGAGCTGTAAAAGAAAAAAGTTGACGAACGATAGTATTCGATGAGTCAACAAAATATGAGGTACACCTTTTTGTTGATGTGCTATCGAGAATACTGACTTTACATTTACCTTTATGCGTTACCTATCTTGGAAGGCATGAAAACGAGAACAACGTTTTTTTAAGCAGAAAAGTAAAAAAATAATAATCTACCGTAGACAATATCAGAAGGGTGACAACTTGCATCGAATCACTTTTTCAAAAAAGAAAAAAAAACAACTGGATATCAGTACTGGTTATTTTATGTCACTCTTTTCTTTTTCTGCTCAAAGAAAGTTCACAGAGATAACTATTTGTTTATCTTGTGTCTGTTCTTGTCCAAACGTCAGTTAATGTCTTCCGTTTTTTCGCTACTGTTTATAAAATAAAATGATGTAATATTACTAATAGATTAAGTTATGATTGTTTCAATGAAGACGAAGAATATATGTAAGGTGTGAATTAGAGATTGGCGCGCCCTTTTATATTTTTCGATGGAAAATATTTAATAATTAAAAGTGGTCGACAAGACAAAAACCATACGACAGCATATTTCGTAATGTTATTGCAAAATAGAGTCGATTGCCAGAGAAATATCTGTTTTTTTCTTACCTTACAAATAGAGTTTTGCACTATCATATAGAATTTTATTGTTAGCAACAGTTAAAATTATACATTCATGCTTATTTAAAACCAAAAAAAAAATTTATCACAAAGTTCTTTCAGGTTAAAATAACAGAACATTATAACAACATTGAAATGACGTTATTTTTTCTGTAATCGATATCATTTTATTGCTCTAGCGCATAATGTTTTCGTCGCTTAACCAATTGTAACATAATCATCATTGTTTCCAAAACCTACTCTTTTCTCATCATTCGGAACATCCACTGATTCATATTCGTTTATTTCTTCATTTTTAATATTAGCAATAATCGATGATAAATCTGCTTGTAAACTATTTTTCGAGTCAAGTAAAGTCATGTAACCTTGCTGATCTGCGCCAATTAATGAATCTCGAATTGTTTCATACTCATTGGTTTCCGTGGGTACTAAAAAGAAATCAAAATCTTTCAATAAAAATAAAATAAAATTTTCTCACTCGGATCGAATTGTTTCTTCCTTTTTAAATATTCTTCTACACAAATATGAATTAAGAGATATTGTTCCTAGAAAATATAATTTTAAAAATTCAAATTTATATCGATTATAAAAACATACTTTTGTTTGTACTAATTTTACTCTATCGTGCTTTAATTGATTTACTATACCCATAACATCAAGATTCATTGTTGCTAATTGTTCATTAGATTGATCAAGTAAATGAATTATGATATCAACAGCAATATAAGTTCCGGTTCGACCGGTACCCGAGCTAGGGAGAAAAAAAGAATTGTCATAGACATATTGATCTTTTATTTTCGAATAACATGGCGTTTGGGGATCTTGTAGAGAAATAATACCTGCAATGAACAAGAAGAGGTGACGATGAATTAATTGCTAGTTCTCCATATTGGTTTACTGTTTCAATTAAATCGATAAGAATTTGACTATCGATAGTGCCAAATCTTGGCCAATTGTTAAAATAGAAATGATGTACATGAAAGTGCTTGTTAGCCTGTAAAGAATCACGTTTTGTTTATGGAAAAATCGAATATTTTTTACGAAATCTTTTACTTCTTTAACGAGTAAAAGACGAACTTCAAGTTGATTGTTAAGATAATATTTAATTTTTTTTACTTGAACTTCGATTCTTTTAAAATTTAATGTGCCATTTTGATTCATCGGAACATAACGATGACACCGAGCCTATCATTAAAAACTCAATTGAATAGTTTTTCTTAAATTACTACGAGTAAATATTACATGTGCTGAATCATTCTGTTGATTAAATTGTTCAAAATGATTTAACATAACAATTTTCGTTATTCCATATTGAATAACCATATCCCAAAAATCTTCACATGTCGTTTTCAATGGACTTTGACAGGCAATATATTGTTTGATACTGTTGACACCCTATGCAAACACTCAAAATTTATGTCTGCTTTTTTGTATTGGATGAGAAATAATTTATGTCGTACTCGAATTTCATTTGCATTTATATAATCATGTTGACGATGAATACCAGTTAGGTGAACGGCCGTTTTATTCCCTTGGTATATTCATTAAGAAAGTGTAATCTCTTCTAACACAAAACTTCACTTACATGGACCACGACTTGGAATATCAGTATATCGATCAAGCAACGAAGTATCTTGTGATCGATCACAGTGCGGTGCTAAATTTTCCAATTCCTATCATAACAAAATAATCGAAGTTTTTTTTGTTTTCCTAGATAATTAGAACACATGATAACTAACTTGAAATTCTTTATCAATGATCTTTTTCTTTTCATCTGATAAATTAAAGTATTGAATTAAAGGTTTCGGTCTGAAAGATAAATATTATTCAGGTTAAATTTAAAGTCAATTTATATCGAACTTCATTTCTTGAAAATTGTGAATATAGAATGGCGATTTAGGAATGACACTAAAAAACAAAAGAGACGAAGAACTATCTAAAGACAACATTTATTTACTCACGATTGTGGATCAGCAGGATTTATATCAGTGTCTTGTCTGAAAAAATAATAGGATACGTAATTAAAACGTGTAATTAATAGTTCTTAGTCACTTTTTTTGCTTTTCCAAACAACATTCTTTTAATATTTTTCTTTTCCAAACGACTAAACCAATAATAACGGCTAAAACAGCCAACACAGGAAATACAGCAACCCATGCTTTCGATGATGTTTTTGTTGAATCGTCGACTACAGTTGTTAACAGAAATCTCCCATCAAAAACGAGATACTGTAATGATAAAAAAATCTTCAGCACGAACCTTTCGTTCGAAATGATTTTGAAAGTACATGAGTACAACCAGCACTCGTACAACCACCAACAATAATTCTAATAAGAATTATTTTCAAAAGAAAATAGAAAAGAAAAGACAAATGAACTTACTTATAAATATGATTTTGTTTTAGTTTACCATTACACGGCATTGAAGGGAGCCAATTCTGTGAACACCATGCTTCATTGCCAAGTACTATACGAATTGTCTTATCAATTCTTTGTACTTGAAGAACAGAACATCATATATATATATATAAAGGAAATTCTAATACATCGTTGAGATCAACACTTACATTGCTTCATTGATGACAATAGATCAATAATTTGAGCTGAATAATCGATCAAATAATTTTGCGAAGCTTCATAATATGTTCCAAGAAAATCTAATGTCGCTTCATTGTTGTATTGATCTATAGAATTAAAGCAAAATATGATAATTTGTTTTTGCAAAATGAATACATAAACTATTTTGTACCTTGACGCACGTAGATAAAATACTGCGTAACATTACCATAAGCATCAGAAAATAATGATCGATCGATCTCAATAACGTGCTGTTCAGTTGTCGATTGAAAATCATCATCTATTGGGATGATTTTTCTTTGAACTTCAAAATAGTCAGGCATCGGTGGTGCTGCAATTGATAAAAGAAAAGCTGACGCAACAATATTCAATAAACTATTTCTACCTTCTTGAGATGTTTTTGTAGAAATGCTATTAGACAAGACCGGGCGATCTGAATTGAGTTCAATTTGCAATTCATACCTAAATAAAAATAAAAACATAGTTTTGAAAACAGCTTCGAAATAAAAATCTACTGACAAAGTATTAGGTGATAGGCCGGTTAAATTATACCGAAATGCCGAGTTGTCAATATTTATACTTCGAATTTGATTCACAAGTAAAATAAAGGATTGGATATATGTAATTTCAGTCAATGGCCAAGCGATATCTATCCATCGTGATCCTATGCTATAAATAAATAAGCTTGGCTTTGGAGGCACTAAATAAAATCATTCTTGGCAAATTATTGTTTGCAATCAGCAATCTTACAAAATGTAAATTTGTATTCCGGTGAAATTGCATCAATATAATTATATTTCTTTGTTACGAAATGACATTTATAATCACATCCAAGAACTCCCATGAAATTAAAGTTTGTTTCACAATATGATAATGTCAAGTCAACAGGCTGACATGGATATGATTTATCATTGTCAACGGTACAGATAAAATTGAACGAATAAAAATCACTTTGCGGATTTACAGTCATATGCAAATAAGTTGTGTTTGAAATAGTTGGTCCTTCGTAAAAGATTGGTTCAAGATCTAAACAACAACAACACATAGAAAGAGAATTATGAATAATTCGCATCACTTACCACGCATAAATTCATATCTATCAGATATTATAATCTGAAAATTTTCTTTCATAGTGGTTGCTTCACATGCAAATGTTATTCCTGGCAGAATTGGAAACATTGTAATGAAATTACAATCAGAACAATTTCCAGTAGTATTCGTCAAGCTCATGCTTTGATGTATACAAGGTCCACCGTGTCCAGAGCAAGTCACAGAAACTTGATCATACGATCCACGTGGACGAGTAAAATAAATCCTTGCTTTTTTCTTATTTACTGAATCTTCAACAAATTGTAAATTTATTGCTTTCTCAAGATCTAAAAGTATGATAGATATGCAATAAGTTGTAAAGCAGACTTTTTATTACTTGTTTTGTAAACTTGCCCACGGATTTCGCCTGTAAACATATTGTCAGGATAGGTATCCGTCTTGTCTGCTATTTGAATAGGCAATCGAACTAATGATGCATTATAAATTGAACCTGGTTCAAGATTAAAACATGTGAAAGTACAATCGTCTGAAAGAGTATTATTTGATTGATCAAATTCGTTGCATCGAAAAATAAGATCTTTTCTTTGAGATATTTTACGGCAATCGTATACAAAAATCGATGCTGTTGTTTGATCTGCATCAACAGTTATGTCAATCCATGTAAAATCATAAAGAGATGAGGGTGCTAAAGTGATAGTGAATGTTTCATTGCGAATAGTTCGATTATACATAGACTCCTGTTGAATCAAACTGAACATCCAATCTCCGCCAACATGGTTTTCAATATTGTAACATGTCACGATTATTTCTCTGGGCTTTGAATAATCTGAATTTGTATAACAATTAACTGCTGCTGTTTCATTGAAAAATACATATAATGGATCTTGATTCAGCAAAGAACAATTATATATAATAATGGCTTCAAACGAATGAGAAGTTCGACTCGTGACATTGATCCTGTTCGTTACATCTGTACCACACAGTTCATCTACTTAAAATAGAATTACTTAGTAAAAAAAATCGACGACAAAGATCATTTATTTACTACCGGTAGAATCCAGTTCTGCTTCATTGACAGTGATATTAGTTAGAATCTGAATATAAAATAAGTTCTTATTATAATCCGTATCATATTTTAGTAAAACAATGTCTTACAAAGATTAAAAATAGAATTCCGACTGTGAGATTGATCATATTCATGAGAATACTATTTGAATAACCTCAATATTATATTTTGCATGATCCTTATATTACCTGTATTATTTAAAAAAAAGAAACAGCAAGGCGAAAAGAAAAGTGTCTTGAGTTGTAAAAAACGCTGATGGCGATAATATCAAGGGTAATTATCAGACCGGGCGCATATTGACTTATGTATTTTTCTCTGTGAAATCATATGATATTGGGTAACAGAGTGTGATTTTGTTTTTGAAGTGAAAGAAAATTATGAATGTAAATTCTGTCTCTATTTGTCATTTTACGATATTGTTATAGGTGTATGATAAAATATTTTCGAACGAAATGAAAGTGTTGACTGCAAAGTTTGAATTACAAATGTCTGCTGTTTTTTTCAAGTTTTTGCCATCAACTCAATCAACCAATGATCTTTGTTGGTTTTTCGATGAACCTCATAAAGGTTTAACTGTGATGAGAATCCTATACCGAATGAAATTGGCTACAAATTCGATAAGCCAAGTGGATATTAATAACTTCGAGATTCAGGTAAACTCAAATATCCACAGATAAAATCAATCGATTTCTTTAACTATCTTTAATTATGAATATAGCGAAAATACGTTTCTAAGAAAGATACTCTCTCAATGCGAAATAACTAATTGCGTTTTTGTCTTAGAAAGGTTTTATTGAAATCAATAAATGTGAACGCATTAGTTATTTTAGATGTGCTATTAATTTATTCCATAGTTCATCTTCAATATGCATCATCGTTAATTTAACAGAATAGATTTTAGCATTTAATTCATCGATTTTCCCAATTTTGAAAGTAGCACCCATGGAAAATAAAATTTCTTGTTCATCTGGAATGAGAGTGTCAATTTTTGCATATGATGTTGATCGAATGTTCGTATCGATAGTCATTTCATAGATTACTGATACTTCATGTGGATTTACGTTTTTGCCCATACTAGAAAATGCAAGAGCAACTCTTTCATCCTGTGTTACTGAACAAAAACTATTTATCGAAATAAAACCACCAATATTGTCTTGAATTTCGTTTAATTGATTCTTTTTCATGACTTGACCACGATATAATATTAAATTCATTTGTCCATTCAATGATTCAATAAAAGATAACTGTAATGCAGCTAATTGATTGTGTAAATCATGAATATAATATCTCATTTTGACGATAGAATCAATAGTTTCGATACGAAGACTTGTATTTAATAGACGATATAAAAAACTATCTTTTGTATACCATTTTGCAGCATCTTTTGATTCATAGTTTTGTTCAAAATCATTTATCTTCCGCATTTCTATGGGTTCATTTTCATATTTCGATCGACAAAATTCTAAAAGTTCATCTTTGGCATATTTATTTTGATCTAATCGAAGTATCATATCTATTAGCACTTGAAAAGCAATAAATTGTTTATTCTCTTTGGATAAATTTCGAATGAAGATTTCATCTGCATGTGGGCTGAAAATACTTCTTTCGCCGAAGTCTGTATTCCATATGTTATCTTCATATTTTAGATGAACTCGCCAAATATTTTCGTCATTCAATTCTACAGATTTCACTAGAAACGTTGAATGCATTGAAAACAATATTTCCTTTTCTTCTGCGAAATAACTGGACGATGAAATATCCGCAAAACGATGTGCTGTATCGGTAATATTATATAAATCTATCTCGATCTCAAATAGCACAGACCTTACAATAGATTCACTGGAATGTGAATCACCGAGAAAGCGCCGCGCAATATCCAAGTTCAAAGAAGTCGAGAGAAACTGATTGAAACATAGTAATTGGCCCTGAGCATTTTTCAATTTTTCTAATTCGTACAGTGATATATACTGGCCTCGGTATACGATAAGGTGAGAATTAGAACGACCAAAAAATGTTGATTGAGCTGTCTTCATCAATTCAGACATGATGTCTGTAAGAACTAATCGCCATGTAAATATACTATTCAAGTATTTGTCTCTTCGTAGTGTTTGATTTAACAACCGATAAAAGAAGCTATCGCGAGTATACCACGATATTGCTTTATATGATTCATAATCAAGATTGAATTTATCGATCAATCGCAATTGAGTATGATTCTTGCAGAACCATGATCGACAAAGTCCAACAAGCTCATCTTTTGTGATCTCTGTATGCCGAATATGCAGTAAAATTTTATCGAAAATTCGCCACCATAGAATTGTAGCGCTACTGTCATCTATAGTTTGCAATGAACTTTCTTGTGAATAATAATTACACTCGAGTTCATTGATATCTTTCTGAAATTTTTTGAACATGGTATTGACGTCATTGAAAGTACCTTGTACTTTTGAGTTCGTAAACCGATAATTTTCATAGTGATCGTTGTTACAAAATATATAAATGAATTTTATATGCGAAATTTCAGAAATCACTTGAATCGTTTCATTACTGATAGTGTTCGAAATAAATAAATATGTATTTGTGATTGACGATTTAATATAATCAATACATAAATCAATATGCTCTCCAGTAAATGCTTTCGCTTCCAATCGTGGATTATTCAAGATACGATCATTTATATCTATATTAATATCGAAAATAACGACATTAAGTTTTTTGGTTGGCTCTTGAGTATTCTCTGAAGGTAAATCACGTATGCGTGTATATAGTCTTGTTTTTGAAGCGATGCTGATGTTTNAATAAGATATGAACGAGGAAGTGTTTATAATAGTTTGACTGTACTACATAGATGTCATAATACCGTTACACTGGGTATCGTGATTTCCAAGTCATAATACCCATCAAATTCTTTTTGGGGTATTACCCCTAGGGTATCCACTTTTAATTAACTATATGTTTAAAGTTGAGGAATTCGGAGGAGCTGCATAATTCCACATAAAATAATGTGGCGATTTCAGATAGAAGAGATGCCTGTGCTGATGGTATTACATTTTATTTAGCTCTTAAAATCATAAATCGCATCGATTACATATAAAGCACACGCTTAAATACTCAACCATTTGAGAGAACGAAGAAGAAGGATAGATAAAGACAAATATCAAGGACAGAAAGATAAAGGCAATAGGTGTGATGAGAATAAATGGCACCATAAGGCCAACTATTATGTATAGGTTATACTCGAACGGGAGCGCTACACCCCCGCGAGGAATTTGGACGCTCTCCGCATTTACCGTTACACTGAGCAGCTATTTTTCTAATTGAGATTCATTAAAACAATTTTCATTTGATGAAGTATGGCAGTTGCATCATGTTTCCCTTCTCATCTTAGAAACGATGTATTGAGAAGTTTTCTAACAGGTTTAAATTTCATTTATTAATTGAAAAAGACTGTTTTCTGATGTTATCGGTTGGGCGGAATAAACATATACCACCGCAATCCATACGAATAATGGAAAGAAGTATGAGAGAACTCATTTAAAAAGAACGTAACAGAAAAAATTGATTTGATTATTTTTATATTATGCTTTGAAATGCACGAATTTTACTTCTAAAGTAGCTTAACGAATAAAGATTACTTTATGCAAATATTCAACAACCAATGCCTTTTCATGTTTTGTTGGGTTGATTGTTGTAAATAGATTTTTTTAATTTTTGAGCACGTACAATAATATTTTTGAAAGAAGCTTTTCACATAGTTATTGAAATTTTGTTCAAACTAGTTCGTATATTTAAATACCTTTAAAAAATGAATCGTTGCATTTATCAACTTTTATAAATTCTCTCAATTGTCTTCAATAAATCCATTAAATTGATTTACTCATCGAATCGACAACCTTTTCGTAGTAGTGAAAATTGATACTAAAACTAACAGCAGTTTCACGCTCACGATCCGAATTCAAATAAACAAATACTCATCAAGTTTCAATGAGTTATGCTTTTGTGGTATCCACAGTAAACGAATGCCTCTCGTTTATTTGAAAGTCATAACTAAACTCTCCTATATTCCACTTGCCAGTTTCATATTTATACATGTTAGGCTTTCTGCTTTTGAGAAAACAAAATTATTGGAAACACTGATTTGTAACGATTGTTTTTGTTCACATTCCAGGTTAGCCATTGCATTATGATTTGTTTACAACGTAAAAATTCATCGTCTTCCATCAACATTTGATCAGCATCTGGTTGAGAATGGCCAAGTCAATAAAAAAATCATTGTTTACATATTTTTATTAAAATATAACTAATCGCATAGTGTGCTGAAATTCATATTTACTCACAGTCAGAACCAGATACTAACACTGTATGTCCATCAGAATTATTATTTAGGTAATTATTCATATTTTCCATTCTTATTTTTTCTTTCCATTCACATAGATATTTGTCATAACCAATTATTATTCCCGGTTCTGCGCCATGGATAATGATTCGTCAAATCAATTGCGTAGTCAACTCAAATGTATGAGTCGGCCAGTCATTGGTGAAGATAGTGACTGGGTTGACGAATTTCGAAGTAGTGATCCAGGAAAACCATCAGTTAAAATAAAAAGCCTTCATATTCACCACACTTCTCATCCATTTGATCCAACGAAGGACTATGTTGGTCTAATAGTTTATTTATGCAACAATAAAAGCGATTTTTATTTTAAGAATCAGCACAGTCAAACGGGTGACATTTATATCAAACAATCAAATTGGATCATCGAAAACATACGAGAGAGACCAAAACACGGGAAATATGTGCATGGTAGATTATTTTATTCAATATTTGGCTGTTGGAAACGCAAGAAGCATAACTTTGTTGGTGCTGGCTTCTCATATACGAAGGGAGAATGGAAGATAAATGCGAGAACATTGAACACCATGAATCGGAATAATAATGATGACACGTATCACAATACGGACAATAAATTGAGTCATTATGAGGAAAAAATCATTAAAACTATGTGGTCTCGTTACTATGTGAATCATTGTTGGCTTAGAATGGAACCTGAAGAACGAGTTCCTTTTAAAACCTTGAAACAAAAGGATTCAGAAACTGAACTACCAATTGATGTGAAGAAGCACGATATATCTCAAGTACATCCAGATAGACGACTACGTGGAAAAGTTATACAGTTTAATTACCAGAAAGGTTACGGATTTATCGACACTCCTGGCTTCCCGAATGATATTTTTGTGCATCGCACCGCAATTGATAATGCGCCATCGGGAGGAACTTCTTTACAAGGTGATGATAGTGTTGAATTTCGAGTTGTCAACACCAATAAAGGATGGCAAGCTCGAAAACTGACAAAAGTCGAACACTGACATCAATGAAAGAACAAAATTTTTCTGCTACACTGAGCTTGGACGTGTTTAATTCTTCAAAGCAGACAATTTATAGAAATAACTTTATTCGTAATATTAGTTTTGATTGATCGTTAGTGATTGTGCCCATCAAATTACTTACTATCTAATTCGACTTTAATAGTTTTCAGTCTCAAGAAAATTTCATCCGTGTCTTTTCAGCCAGAGACGAGAAAAGTTATAGTTAAAGTGTAGCTTGAATTATAATTCGAATTCACAATGACACACTTCCTTTTAAACTGGTCAGACAACTCAAAGTGCAACTTTATTATGTTGCACGAATTGTAACTGAAACTGTAATAGCGACCTAAGCGGATCTATACTAGACGCTTTTCTTCGATATAAAAAAGCATACTGTTGTAACGGCTGAGAGTTCTAGGATTAGTAATGATGGTAAATTCAGTAATAATTTATTTGTGCCTTGAATGGTTCACATACATATAAAATGAATAAAGAAAAAGGAAACTAAAGAGACGACTTTTTTTTACAAGACACGTTTCATAAAAAGCTGGTTGACTTCCAGTGATGAGAGTCTTCCTTCCTGGGATGACCGAAATTCATTTATAGATAAGAAAAACGATGTTTCGTGGGTGCTACATATTTTCATACTGAAACAGGAGGTTTGTTATGAGATCAAAAGTCTTACTTGATGGCTGAATAGTAGAATTGAAATTATGGGTATATCTGACATTTAAAAAATTCTTGGGCGTATAATTCATACTATCGTATTAATAGCTTTTCAGTTGTTATTGTGATATTTTTCATGCAGCATATATGATTCAGTTATACGGTAGGACTGCACTTCGAATTCATTCAATGAATGTTAATTTGTGTGATGATTTATTTTTAAATAATGTCTCCTTATTATTCTGCATTTGTAGTTTCATCAACTTGCATCCAGAAAAACTACAAATATTCTATTTAGTAGTGCTTCGTCGCGAGATCATTTTAACTTACTATTCGAACGAGTACTTTGAATGTTATTGAATTCGTCAGATACTCTAGGGGGAAACGATTTGACCATAGCATTGTCACAGTTCAACACGTTGATATATGTCAGAAAGCTGCTCGGATTCATCATTCGTTTCATACAATAGAAATAAAATGACTTATTCGAATAACACGAAACAGACTAAAATCGTGGTACTTATTCTTTCAACGATCTTATATATTGAGAAAAGGAACTAATAGATAAACAAAGATCGGTTTGTATTGAATCGATAGAATGAGTCTCTTTGTACCTAATTTGTATTTTATTTTCAATAAATACTTATATTATTCTAGCAAATATGTCTTATTTTCAATATAAAAGAAAAGTTCTACAGAATACAATAAAAATCTAAGAAGTTTAAAAGAAAAAAACTCAATTTATTATTGGTCAATGAACTGATCGTTGCTCTGTTGTATTATCTGACCTTTGATCATCGATTTCTTCTTCAATTCCAGCAAAACGTCGAGCTAATTTAGCAAGTAAATCAGATTGTTGAGAAATTTGTTCTGTATATTGTCGAATTTGTTGCGCTTGTTGATCAACAATTTCAATGAGCATTAAACATGTACGACACTGAAACAAATTAAGAAAAGTAAGAAGACTTTCGTCTTTTGTTCATCATATTTACTTGATTTGATTGTTCCTTAAAATTTGGAATATTTGTAGGTTGATTTATTTCAGTTTTTGGTTTTTCATTTTCAATTAAAATTGGATCATCAGAATTGTCTTCATCAATGACTTGTTGACGTTCTACAACTGAAGGCGCTGATGGATATGTATGAATGGTTGATACTCGTCTAAAAACATTTTCGTTTTAGAAAATTCAATAGAAACAAAAATAAAAATCTACTGATGAACAAAATCAGTTTCAATAGTTGAAATCGAATGAATCGATGAATGTGTTCGTCGTAACGATGAATTATGATCAGAAAATGTTCTTATATATGGATGAATTCGATGAGAATTATATTCGTCTTGGCGATGAACTGGACATGGATTCGTACGATTATCATTTTCATCATCAGCCAATTGAAGACGAACTGCATCAATAGGCTTTTCAGATATTTGTTTTGGAACATTAAAATGTTCACGAAATGTCAATTGACGATTCGTTGATGTTTTATTCATACCCTTTCAACAAATAGTTTTATGTCATAAAAAGATTCTGAGAAAAAACAATCAACTTACAACACCACAAATAAATTGATTCCGAAACGGACGACGATGAGTCCAATTCATGTTTTATTGAATTAAACCAACGTCCGTTGGTTTCTCGTTAAATTGTACCCGCGAATTTTCTCCATTCAGGTCTTGCTAAAAATATATTGGCTTTTTTTTGCAAAAGAAAAATTTTAAGATAAACATTTTGATGAGAACTAAAAATAAAATTTTAGTTTAGCGTAATTTAAATTTTGATAAAACGCCATCTATTGGATTAGCGTAAATTCGAATTTATTTATCTATCATCACAATGACATTTTGTTTTAGTATTTATTTTATAAAATTGTATACAATACTCAATCATGCACACAAGAAGAAACACGAACACACATACTCTCCTGACTCTTTTTTTCAAAATTCATTTTAAAGAAATTCACTTTTTCTCGTGTGACATAAGCGCAAAAGCATTCTTTCAATCGAAAATGGCGTACGTAATAAAAATAACTGTTTTCTCTTCAGACTTTCTTCCGAGCTTAGAACGACAGTGTATGTGTGCTCTACAGGCATTTTTTCTATCCGTAGTAAAAAAATGGTCAGGATACGTTTTGCTTCTCTGGAGTATTTGGTCAGTTCTAACATGAGCTGCTGCTCTCATGAAGTATATTCCATATTTCGAAATTATAACAACGAATGTTTGAACTAAATATCTGTCAGCTATTTGATAAAATTCAGTCATTAGTTTAGATTGTCAATATACGTATTATTGATACTTATCAACATTTGTTGATTACCTTTACCAAGGTAGTATGGGTTGTGCTTCCAGTATTAATCCTTCAATGGTTAGTCAACCAGACGCTTCCAAACGTCCTACATTTGAACAGTCAAGCCAAGTAGATAAAGTTAAACAATACGTTGAAGCATCGACACAAACTAGTGATATTCAAAGAGTCGATACTGGTGTTAATACAGTCGTAGAAAAAGAAAAGATTGACAATGATCATTCCGCACTGAATAATACAGTCTCGCTCAATACTAAAGATCCAGAAAAATGTTCGACTATACATCAGGTCCAATCACAAACAAAGTTAATAATATCAACAAATCAACTAAGCGCTTTTTCTAATCCTCGGCTGTGTGCAAAACCTAATGACGAAGAACTAAAATGGATTCTTAGAGATTTTGAGGCACAACAGTTCTGCATGATGCTTCAACAGGAAATTTTCTCTCTTGGTCCAATGGCTATTCAGGAAGCTGTCGATGCCATGAAAAAAGACAAGGAACTCCAAATCGTAAATCAACATATTTGGGATTTGTTTGAAAAAGCAAAGGAAACAGGTGATGCTTCATATTTCATTCGAGCCTATACTGCTGAAAGTGACTTCTACAAGATACTCAATCGTACATTAGCTAAGCAAGAGTTAGATAATTCCGATGATATGGATGCGGAGGAGCAACTACAAGCGATGATGGGAGCTTTATTTAAAAATCTTGATCAAGTAGTTTCTCGTGCTCAAGCAGTGCAAAGTGGACAGCAGCTACCAATTCTAAACAGCAACGAGTCCAATTGGGCAAAATTATTTTTGCGACCACTCTATATGCTGCTTTCGATACCAAACTCGAGCATTCGATTTCAGGGATTAACATTTCGAGGTATGTGGATTTCACAAGATGAATTTGAGTGCTACTTAGGCGATACTAAACTTGTATGCAACAAAGCCATTACATCCACATCGAAACTTCGCACTGTTGCTCAAGGTTTTATAGACGGTGTCACTGATCCTCCAGTAGGAATGGTACCTGCTATGTTCACATACACAATTGAGTCAATGGCTGCAATATATGCAATGGACATAACTAATTATTCTTTGATTCCTGAAGAAGAGGAAGTCCTACTGCTACCTGGGGTATTTTTTATGGTCAGCAATGTTCAAGTTATAGATCAGTGCTCGGTAGAAATCGAACTTCGATCTACGGTGAAAGATATGGCCGAGATGATGAATTCCGGTATTAGTTCATTGTTTTCACTTTTTAGTGAATAACAAGAGATCTACATTCACATGTAGGCAGAGTACTTTCTTGTCTTATTGTATAATATTTTCACAGTAAATAAGCAGATACAATGTGGATATTCACATTTGTATTCTGGAATAAAAGCAACTAAGAAATTCTCTATTCAATATTTAAAACAAAACGGGAATAATGTTCGATATCATAATGGATGCATTAGAAATTAACTAAGTGTAACATAATTATAACACTTAACCAACCTATCAGAGTGAATGGCGCTCGAATTTGTATGCCGTCACAAGCAATTACACAATCGTTGGTGATCGTTGCACTAAAATATATTGTTGTCGAGATTTGTCTAACAACAATTCTATCCTTACGAATCAGTATTGGACATAGTCGATGTGGTAGACGTTGACAAAGTAAAAGTGACATTCATGTATTGAATTTTGTACTCAGCATATATAACTCACATAGTGGTGCTGTATATGTCACCCGGGCAACTATTGACACCATTTCTTGATAGTTAAAATGTAGAACAGTACTGTGGTGATTGAGAATATTGACTGAAATACGATGAATACGTTAATCTTTGCGATCCTAAATCTTAATCCTTGATTTCATTACGTATCCACTGCCATAGTACACGTGGCCTGAAAACCTATTTGAGACACAGTTGATGTCCACGTCAGTGCCTTACAATAGTTGGTTAAATTATCTCGAATGATATTACTCTGAACCATGCCGGATAACGAAAAAGTAGCAATATCGGAAATGTTTACATTAGAACCACAATCATTAATAACAACTAATCGTGATGTGAAGGTTTGTCCGACTGTAATCGGTATACAAGATTGTTCGATAGGCAGTTCGATGATAAGTTGGAGGAGAAATTGAACAGGAATAGCACTAAATGAAATATTACTGGGTGTACTAATAAAATCTTCAACCTAAAATAAGACATAAAGAAAAATTTAAAACAATTCGAACCATAATAGCAACGGCAAACCAGTCTCGCGATTTTGTACCAGTGATTACAATCGTACAGTTTGGAAACAGTACCGTATTGTATCACCATCATTATCACCGGTGAGTACTTGAATTACGTGAGTGACACCAACATATACGTATATTGATAGGAGACATCATGTTAGAGACTGGCGCAGTATTGTATAAATTATTGTCAGCTCTCGGTTTGGCATTGAGACGAGCTGCAATCGACCAACAACAATAGCTTGTAAAACGATTAAAATAAATACGAGAGATAGCATTCAATATTCTTGTGTTAGCTATAGATTGAGCTCGACAACTAGATGGTGCTGATGACGAAGACCAGAAAACACTACTAGATTATATATTTATGCATTGTGAATATATATGGTATCTCAATCGTGCACGAATAATTGCTTTTTCTCCTAATAACCGTCCTCATCTGCCAGACCACCGAGAAAAAAAACTTGATTAAAGTTCAATAGCAGCACTAAAAATAAGTATAAACTAAATCTGATGAATCAACCGATGCCAGTCTATTTGTTTTTCTTCACATAGATACCTGTAAAAATCTTATTATTATTATAGTTATATTTTCAAAAAAACAATGAATTTGTTTTTCGGATACCCCAATAATAAAAACAACCCTACACACAGTAATCCACATCTTCAAATCATTAACTCGTGGTAAAAATGAACTAGTCAACACTGAAATGAATTTAGATAAATTATATTTCTCCATCTTTGTGGAACTGTGAAAACATTGAATAAACGTAAAAATCAGTCCAAGCAGGGCACCAGGATTATATTTCGATATGTCGCCCATGGTGTGGCTGCATATGGTTCTCACATTTATGAAAGCAAATCATGTGAAACGAAATAAGAGCCCTTAAAAGAAGAAAGAGAGAGAGAGAGAACGGGTGACGTATTGCTTATTGATAAAAGCGATATATTTTCTCCATTACGCTGCATTTCATTGCTTCTTGAGAAGTTTTTTCTTTTTTAAGCGATCGAGCCATGTGCGGTGAAGAAACACATGCGAGAACGATCATTGGTGAATCGTTTGCGCGTATTTACGAAGTGAAAAGTAACTATTATTTTTTATTTCTTTTCTACCGCATAGTTAGAATACAATCTATTATTGCCGTCATTGTTCGGTGTTGCTAAACAATATCTCAACATCTTTCTAGCCAATCACCACTGTGAACTGTTGGCATATAATATTTAGCTAACACTTTAGTGTGCAGTTAGTTGAGTTTTACCCCATAACAAATATTTTTCGTAAGTTCGAAAAAAAATTTTGATATTTGAGCAGTGATATTGTATTATTAGTAACCTGATTATTGATTGGCATTAATCCACGTGGCTGTCATGTCTACTGGCTGAAAAACAAAAGAACACGATTATTTTTTTATTGAAACTGAGAGCGTAGTGAATTATTTTATTTTGGCAAAGGTCAGGATACATCGTAGATGTACGTTGAGACATTAAAAAAAAATTCTACACTGTAGGAAGAAAACGAACAGCGTAAGCAGCACAGAATTATGGGAACAACTATGACATCTATACGTACTATACAGTCGCGTCATGATATTCGTTCTATCGTGAGAAATAGAAACGAACGAATTATTTATTTGAATTCTTTTAGAAAACAACAAAAATTTTCAGTAGAAAAATTATTTCTATTCTACTATATTTCATAAGTTTGACCTTGCTTATAGATCTTTCTATGATGCAGCCAATAAGTTTACTTAGTGGTATCATTTGTGCCACTTGGTCGTTTGTCTTCTTTATAATATGCCAGCATTTAATTCAGCCATTAACCGAAATTTATCATCCACACAACGACAGGGACAATGTCGAGAAGCGCAAAATGAAAATGGTTCAAAATCCATCTTACATTCGCACCTGGTTTACTGACTCAAATGCTGAACGTTGGATACGAAAAAACACATTGATTAGTTTCTTTCATGCTTTCATCACTGGTATTCTGGGTTTCTATAGCTGTTGGACCTATTCACCAGACATCCACCGTGACTATGTCAATCATATAACTTGGTTTACGTATTTGACGTGTTCTTTCTCTTTCGGTCTGAAATCTGGTTATACACCAGCTACGATCTGAGGTTTGTTTTCTTCATCGTTTCAGGTTATTTTTGCTACGACACAATTGATATAATTTCAAATCAACAAGGATCTGAACTTTTGGAAATGATGATTCATCATGCTCTCGTAAGTCTTTGACTCCTTTTGTTCTTTTGAATTATTAGTATTAAAGAAGTTTCGTTTAGACACTTACACTTTTTGGCACAAGTATCATTCGTCGAGCGAATATTGGCTATCTAATGTTGGCATTAATAGTTGAAATCAATTCAGTCTTTCTACATTTGCGAAAACTATTTCACCAGTACAATATTCCTCGTGAAAGCTTGATTGTTCGGTTAACTATGGTGACCAATATTATTACATTTCTTATATTTCGTTTTGGACTATTCATTTATGGTTCTATAACAATCTTTCGTGATGGCGAACGAGCTGGTTCTTACTTCCACATATTTCTCGGTTATATTTTGGTACCAACAATTTGGATCATAAACATTGTTCTTTTCTATCGTTTATTGTACACGGATTTTCTGAAAAAGAGAAAAACCAAGTAAACTGTATTCTTAATTATTGTATTTATTTATATTTTGTAACGCTCAATCATATTCTGCCTATTTTTTCCACGTTTTTTGTTCTCAAAAATCCACGTCGAATATTTATCAACATGCCAATAACGTGAGATTTGTTGTGTCTACCGTTTCCGTCTATGTTATTAAATAGACGCCTTACTTTTAATGAACTTAATAGACTAGTGATAAAGAATTTCTAATTCAACTTTAATAAAAAAAAACTCTGTCAACAAAAAATAAAATAAAATGCTACTCTATTTTTCGATCATAAAACATTCACTAGAGTGAATGATCCTTCAGATGTTTACTCCATTGTATAGGCAAGAAATTAAAGTCAGAAACGAGTTATAAAAATTCACGTAATTTCCACGGCATTACAAATCAATTTCTCTTAGTTTTCGATACAAAAGGATATGAATCCACAGAATAAATTTCATAGTATTTTAATCCAGATCATATGTGCAAGTTCGATGAGCTTTTTCGCTGGAATCATTGATCACAATTATTTCCTAATGATAGCTTTCATTCATTTATTCTTTGACGTCGATATTTTCTTTAATTTCAAGTCATAATCAGTGATTGTTTATTCTTACTGATAGCATTTCAAATGAAACGAAAGCCATGAATTCAACGTCCTACAACATTCTAGCATAAAAATTAATTTGCCTTGGTTGCGTCACATTCACAAAAGCAAATGCCGAAAATAATATTTCTTCAAATTCCTTTTAACATATATTTCTTATGCGTCCAGGCGTGCACGTCATTCAAATCGATATTTTTTAGTTTGTCGTTCGATGACTATTTCGGTTATTTGTTTAGTTGCGATGGATGAAATTACACAGGTTGCGAATATTGTAGAAGGAATCAGAAGTTTAATTTGTCGAGTAGCAAAAACACACTTCATACAACTGAGTTTTGTAAGGTATATTAAATGAAAATATTGAAACTAAGCAAATGCAGTTGTAGGATCCTTGTCCAGAGAGTATTTTTTCTTGTAGAACCGATCAATAGTACTTTTACACCCATAATATCTATTTGTAGATATAACAACTAGAAGTTGATTATTTATACTTTGAAATTTGTAATCAAAAATAAAGTCAAATGAGGACTCCGACGATCTACAATATATCAGCGATGGTGCGTCTACTGATGATCATGCTTATGATTGAAAAAAGTATTGTAATGGTGAACAGCCAATCAGGTTATGATTCCACTTGCACTTGTAATACGGTGACGTCAGGTGTTTGCATGCAATATACTTGCTCAACGACAGCGAAATCACCAAATTGCTTTGCAGGTACAAGTCTTATTACGCTTGCCGATGGTACATTCAAAGCCTTAGCTGATATACAAATTGGTGATCAGGTACTTGTCAATAAGAACAATACAATTGAGCCAATCACATCGTTCATACATGCCAAACGACAAGGTCTCTTTACCTTCCTTGCACTGCAAATACAATCGGTCGTATCCAATTTGTCTTCGACGATATTGGTCTCTGCTAATCATCTTATTTTCGATTATGATTCTGGCGAAGCAAGATTCGCAGGAAAGTTTCGTGTTGGTGATCGAGTTCAATTTATTNCAAGTACTTGTCAATAAGAACAATACAATTGAGCCAATCACATCGTTCATACATGCCAAACGACAAGGTCTCTTTACCTTCCTTGCACTGCAAATACAATCGGTCGTATCCAATTTGTCTTCGACGATATTGGTCTCTGCTAATCATCTTATTTTCGATTATGATTCTGGCGAAGCAAGATTCGCAGGAAAGTTTCGTGTTGGTGATCGAGTTCAATTTATTGACAACAGTGAAATCGTACCCGGTGAAATAGTTCATATCCAACTAACAAAACAACAAGGATACTATGCACCATTAACTCCATCAGGTACTATTATTATTGATGGCGTTGTTGCTTCGAATTATGCAACAGTAAGCAATCACGCATTGGCTCATCAATTAATGGGCATATATCGATGGTGGATTGATTTAGTCGGAGGATCTAAATGGAGCGAAGAAATACCATGGATGTTACAAATCATGTTAAGTATCGAACAAGTAATTCGATGGTTTGGTGGACAGATAGTTATCAACAATTTTAATTATGATGGGCAGTTCAAAGTTTCATCAATAGCGTGAAAATCATGAATGTCTTATCTACCTCTTCTTCTAAATTTCATTATCCAAGCAAGAATATAATTGCGAACATAGTGTGTTTCAACATTGTCTATTTATTTTAATAATAATAATAATCGCCCGCTGTAATGATGTTATTGAATAATCAAGTCGCTAATATCCCTATTGATTTCATTTTCGTGCTAGTGTCTCAGTACAACTGCTCGCATAGTTTTCTCTTAATCTGCAAATCGATTTGATGTTTTAGTATTATATTGTTTAGTTTTGCATCGCTTGTATTTCTCAAGCAATCTAGTGATTTGCACATGATTCGACATAAAATGTTATTCATTAGATGAGTGCTAAAAAGTTTTATATCCTATCAATATCATAGGATGAAAATAACTGTACACTCTAGACGAATTTCTTTTGGTCTGTGCAGGAGATACTTAAGAATTTTGATGAAGAAAGCCATGCGCTTTGGGCAAAACTTGAGCTCGCGCATGTTCAGCGCATAAAAAAACGTTCGGCTAGGGCATCTGATCGCAAACATTTAGTTTTGGAAGAAAATATGTAGATACATTAAATGAATCAATAGAGAGTAAAATGTAAAAGCAACCTTATACAATTTCTTTCAGCAAATGGTCAACCGAAATATAAAATACTATTTATTTGTGATTCAACTCTTATATATCGATTGCTGTAATACGTAACTGTAATTGGACAGTCAAAAAAGATGATTATAGGTTTAGAAATATCATAGACGTATCTAATGCTACACTAGAGGTGTCAGGTTAGCATTAAAAATGAAAATAATGCATTGGTGTATTATGGTAAAGAAAATACTTAATGCGAATTTATTCACTAATTTATCATTCTTAACACCGATATTACTTTTAATTCTAAAGATTTATTATTCATCAACTTTCCTGGAGAAATAAAGCAATGTATTATTTTCACTTTTAATGCCGACCCTACACCTCTATGCTACACAAAGTTTTGTGCGAAGTGTGTTTTAGTTGTGTTGCGTTCACAAACGCAGATGCCGAAAATAGCATTTCTTCAAATTCCTTTTAACATATATTTCTTATGCGTCAAGGCGTGCACGTCATTCAAATCGATGTTTTTTAGTTTGTCGTTCGATGACTATTTCGTTTATTTGTTTATTTGCTATGGATGAAATTATACAGGCTGCCAGGATTGAAAAAAGAATCGAACATTCGATTCATACATCAGAGTTTAGTAAGCTACACTTAGTTGACTGGTCAAATTTTTATTTTTTTAAAAGCACACCATTAAATTTCTACTAACAGAATTAATGAAATAATTTTACAGCAACTACTGATATACGTGTATACGATAGATGCATGTTTAGCCTATAGTTACATGAGAATAAAACGACGGCATACTTAAAATCAACGATAATCAAATGTCTAGATCTATTTTGCAGTCTGAAAGAGTGAAGCCCCAAATTATATTAACCGAATTCGTTGCTATTAGTAGGAAATCACTGAGAACCGGAAACCCGTATGACTTAATAAATACTTTCTTGCTGCTCATAGCATTTTTGCCGAGTTATTTACAGTTGCAGTACTTAATTTTATTAAAACGTGAAATCTGCATGTTTACTAGAGCATTATTATTTTTTGTCTTGGTGCATAAAGTATTACTACACGACGAACATCTTGTAGAACATAAAACAATTGTAAAATGACACTGATCTTGCTTCATACATTTATTATAATGGCTATACGAAACTATGAATCAAGCGAATCTTCAAACAACAATGGTAATTCGAACGTATTAGGTTATCAAATAACTTGTAGTTGTATGTCAGTGTCGTCTAGCGTATGCATGCAATATAATTGCGGCATAACGGCACAACAAGCAAGTTGTTTTGCAGGTGCAAGTCTTATTACGCTTGCCGATGGTACATTCAAATCCTTAGCTGATGTACAAATTGGTGATCAAGTACTTGTCAATAAGAACAATACAATTGAGCCAATCACATCGTTCATACATGCCAAACGACAAGGTCTCTTTACCTTCCTTGCACTGCAAATACAATCGGTCGTATCCAATTTGTCTTCGACGATATTGGTCTCTGCTAATCATCTTATTTTCGATTATGATTCTGGCGAAGCAAGATTCGCAGGAAAGTTTCGTGTTGGTGATCGAGTTCAATTTATTGACAACAGTGAAATCGTACCCGGTGAAATAGTTCATATCCAACTAACAAAACAACAAGGATACTATGCACCATTAACTCCATCAGGTACTATTATTATTGATGGCGTTGTTGCTTCGAATTATGCAACAGTAAGCAATCACGCATTGGCTCATCAATTAATGGGCATATATCGATGGTGGATTGATTTAGTCGGAGGATCTAAATGGAGCGAAGAAATACCATGGATGTTACAAATCATGTTAAGTATCGAACAAGTAATTCGATGGTTTGGTGGACAAGTATTAATAGATAGTTATGTATGACAGACGAAATTTTTAAGTTGTACTGTCTTCTAAATATTTTCTCTTTTGCTTGTTTGACATAAAGAAATATTATAGAAAACTAATCAATATGAAATCCGAATGCCTAATTTGTTGGTATTGTTAGAGAGAGAGAAGGGTTTTCTCAATGATTGAGAAATCTATATACAAATTGTTGCGCGGTATGCCTAAGTTTTCTTATTCTCTGTGTTTATAATTATATATAAAAATGAAACAGATTTTTAGTATTGAATAATATTTAAATAATGTTAGAACGCTAGTGACATAATTGTTCCCAGTAAGTTTTCGGCAAAATCTTTTGCATCTTCAATAAGGTTGTCATCATCCATATGTGCAATGGCTCGACCACTATCATAATCATCATCATCATCATAAGGCTCTTGATCCACGCTTTGATAATCAACTGCATCATTATAATCCCAATTGTCTTGACTAAAGTCGTCACTTGCTAATTGACGAACAGTCCATGCATCAAAACACAGATTTTGATTCGTCATATATGCATATGGAATATAACAATAACCATTATCTCCCTGTGTAAAAAAAGTATTGCTTCAATAGTTTTGATAGAGACTATTATTTTTTCATACCCAGTATCTACCCCAAGAATTTCGAACAATAAATGAGTTTGATTGATCACTATAGCCAACAGCTAGCAGAGCATGACTAAATCGAAGTAGAAACTAGTATCAATAACGATTATTATTTTGAAATTTTCATAAATAGCTATTGATTATTTATCTCAAAATAGCAGTTCGAATTTATTCATGAAAATCTCAATTAATAGCATTCCCATAGTTTCGAGAGTTAAATGCACAGGATTTTATTCTCTAGTACTGATTATATTTTAGTTTCAAGAGAGCATAGTTCAACTTTAAATATAAATTGAATGATCACCACTAGGCACAAACCTGCCGTGTGATTCTCGATTTTGTTCATTGCCGTCTGGCATGGGTACCACACCTGATTTGGCTGCCTTATCGAATGATGCAAATAATTTTAATCCAAAAGCAAATGGAAAACCTTGGGCTAAACAAGATTTCATTTGATTAATATCAATTTCAACTTTCAAAGCTTCCGTTATTTTGAATTCATCAGCTCTTTGATAGGCTTCTTGACTTGGACGTACATTAACGTTTGCAATATCATAAGGCCATATCGATTCGAGACAAACTCCATATTGTTCTAATGCTTGAATAGCCTCTGTCATCGAGCAACCTGAATCGGTCATATCACCTGATTCATCATTACTCGCACGAGCATTATAATAAATGAAAAGACGACTTACATCGATATCTTGACCATTTTTTTTCTTTAATAAATATTCATAGGCTCCTGTTAGAAAACAGAATATGATCATTTTTCATTAAAATATTCTTCATTCTTACCAGCAAGAGTGTTAGCTACACTAAAAAAAAGAATTTTACTATTAAAAACAAAAACTATATTCAAACTTTAAAATTTACCAACTGCCAAGCTTTGATTGATCCTCGACAGCTGTCATGCTCGAGCGAAAATCAACTTTCGGCGGTAATTTATCAGCACTGTAGATAACATGATCTGAAAACGATTGACATAATTCTGGTTTGTTGGGCATAGTCATTGACTCTAGTATCCCATTCAGACGACATATTCGGGATTGATTTCGATTTAATAAATAAGATTTTTGTGGCATTGTAACAAATTTTTTCTAGTAGATGAAATTCTAAATTAGTTTATCTATAATATGATAAGTCAATTTGTATTGCTTCTATATCGTAGTATAACAATGATAGCATCTATCGTGATACTGTTTCTAGAAGTTTTCTATTTTTTCTCGATTTCACGGTGTTTGTAAAAACAAAACGCACGTGTTTTAATTTTGTCGAGTATTTCATGGAACAAAATTATCAGATTTCTATTATACTAACACTTACCTTTATTCATTAGTAAACATGCTAGAATTTAGGACGTCTTCTTAACGCGTTCTCTTCCAACACGATAACTAATATTCTTTATTCAGAAAACTAATATTTGTCGGTCAAAAGAATGCCTATCAAGTTCCGCTGTTCGCTTTCTTAAAATATAAAGCTGCACAAGATTGAAAAATTTTTTTCTTTGCCTCCTCTGCAGTCAATCATTCTTTCCGTTCGTTGCACGCAAACATTCTGGCATGCTTGAAATAAAGAAAGCAATTTCTCTATACAGCTAGCAAAGCGATAGTTTATTCAATACAGAATCGTTGGAGGACACATACAATACATCGATTTGCTGTAGCGACGGAGAATAACATTACGCTCGCTGTTGCTTACCTACATTCAATCTAAATTGTATCGAGCTGTGTGTTTATTGTTATGAGTGAAAAAAACGTTTATATGTCATAGGTATCATAAAATAAATAAGTAACAACTCAAATAATCTGATAGAAAGCCAAAACAAACTGACACCAGACATCACGATGAATATTATCAAATACAGCAGAATCAACGGCAGTATTAATGTTAATAAAGCGCCAACATTTATAAATGGTTTTCAAGATTTTTCTGATCTCAAGTTTAGCTAAAACTTCGTTAGTTAAACGTTTCACGGGAGAAAATCTATTTGAAACAAAGGCGTTGAGTTCAACAATGAGTGGGGAAATTTTTTCCACTGAAATTAGTTGAAAAACATATACGAATAGCTCTATTATATTTTTCATAATAATTATACAGAGACACGCATTATATTCGATCAATTGAAGCTAAACAAACTCAAAGCAAAACATCCGTACTCTAGAGTCATGTTGAAATCTAGAGAAAACTACCGCACGTCAATTGAGTTTGAATACACTAGTCGTTATTAGTTTCTGATGATCGATAATAAATTGTTGTTGGAGAAAAGTTCAAAGACTTGTTCACTTAGAATAATGCTACAAATTGTCAACAGTTTATCGGTACCTTGTGATTGGCAGCGTCTTTTCATTTTCCTCCTACAAGAACAATTTAAGTCTGCTGCTAAAACACTTCGAGACATCGTAATAGTTCAGGAAAAAAATCCTTTTGTTTTAGATCGATTTAATAATCAACACAATTGGGCAACATCATTTATTTTGCATAATAATTCCTAATCTAGATTGTTCGTGCCATGTCTCGGATTTATTTTGCATACTTAAAAAGTGATTCATCCATTAATGAACGCAAAGAGAAGATGTGTCTTTCCTATGCACTCCTCAAATTTCTTTTCTTTTCTTTTCATTAATAATTACATAGTGTGATAATATGAAACTAAATTAGAACGGAACAAGTACTGCTCTTGCAAGGCGGATCAAATATCTATTCATATGAACGCATAGATTCTTTTCATGTTCATAAATGATCGGATAGAACCATGTTGATTGATGTAGGTATGCACAATTGGAAGATTGTAGAGACAAGTATTTTTCATTGGAATGACGCAATAAACAATAAACGGAAGAGTCTTACAAGTGCATTGGCGAGTTTTAGGCTAGAGCTATTGAATTAAAAAAAGAAATAATTGAATAATTAAAGAGACTTCTTATGCAGTCATTTGAAATGCCGTCGCGTATTCGTTCCTTGTTTTTATCTCTCGTTTTCACAGTAATCTAAAAATTAATTACAAATAATAATACTAAGAATAGACGAGATTAGTGAAGATGATGAAATAGAACAAAAAACGCCTTGTTTTCTGGGTATGATCTCATTTACCTGTTTCACTTTTCTTCATCAGCAAGAAATATTGTCTGAATAGATAAAGTTAAAATTCAAGCATATAAAACTGATAGAATTTTCTCATTCGTAAATAGAAATTAATATTTCACTTTCTCATATTTCATGAAAAGTCCAAAACTAAATATTTCAATTTGAATTACATATGTTTACGCAGATGCAACGTAAACATAGTTTGTATGTACATTCAAGATATGCAAACTACTAGTAAACTGTCAATGAGAAAAAATATGTTATTACTTGTATCAAATATTACTGTTTCTATCTGAACGACAATTTTCTTTCTGGTAAATAAGGAAAGAAGCTCTCAGTTTCCGCATGTCAGCATGTGGGAGTTAATTTCGCTTTGTGATTAATTAGAATCAAAATGATGATAGCCACATCTACTTTTCCATATTCAATTTACAGTTCGGTGATCCTGCTTTTCTTTGTCGCCGATGAAAGGATAAAGATTATTTTTCTTGCTATTTACAGCAACAAGGAAGATGAGCTCTCTCAACTTATTTTTAGTCGAGCTTATTTATTGCAACAAAATTTTTAGCTTTCTATGCCTGACGTGTATGATTAGTAAAATCTGATAAAGCAGCACCTATAATTTAAAAGCAAGCTTTTAGACGAATTTAGACGAGTATAAGACGCAAAAATGGCGCTCTTCATGTCCTCAAGATTTATAAAGGTCGCGAGGAATCATTGACAGCGACTAAATTAATTATTTTTTTTTACAAGTCTTCTAGAACAAAGAAAATAGAAGATTTCCAAAACAAAGTGCTTAGAAATATACAGATCTGATCGTGACTCATATATCCTATTCGGTCAGTAATACTTACCTCATTTGTATTTAGCTGAGTACGAACAGAAAACTTAAACTAATATGTCCATGACACAAAATATAAATAACTCATTATCGCATCTCTGCATATAACAAACAACGGAAGAATATTTGCTACTTTTTTTTGACTGCTCAGCGTTTCAAAAGATTGTCTAATAGCACATTCCATAAGGCGATACATTTTAGTTCAACTAATATGAACTATAACTGTCTACACAGTATAGGACTAACACAGCGAAGGCGTTTACGAATACTTACCGTAGTTATTTGACTATAATTACTTATATTTTACAATTCTTTTATTTTCAGAAAAATTTTAGATTTAATATTGAGGACACTTTCACTTATCAATATGTCAAGACAACTTCGGAACTCATTTCAAGCATCATATCACAAAATACGTAGTAATGATGTGTTGAAGCAGCCAACTGTCAAAATAAGTGTGAAAAATGAAAATATTGCAACTAAGAACAACAACAACAACAACAGCCGTCAATCTGCTTTTATAGAAGAAATGAAAGAACTTGAACGTGAAGCAGACAAGCAATCAGTGGAAGTCGAGCTGAGCGACTGCGTCGAATTTGTCTCTCAACTTGTCGATCTATTCAAGCATGCTATTATTATGCCTGAACTTGAACCAGAAGATGATTGGCACGATGATGTTCGACGTCAACTAAAACTAAAGAAAGGAACTACTGGCAATAGTCTTCTCGATGATAAAATTGAACGAATCGCCAGTGAAAAGGGCTTAACCAAAGAACAGTGGAAAAGTTTGTGCTACATAAATTTTACTGCGGGCGACACATTGGAGATGACAACAGTTAGCCGAAGTCATCTCAAGAAGGTACACGACATGGCATCTCGTTTGCTCGTAGGCGAAGAACAGGCACCTGTATTTGCTCTCGTTGATGCTATTGAAAGATATATGCCAAAAAATCACTTAACTCAGAGATAACCAATTCGTCATCGCACATGATACAGAAATGAATCGTTTGGAAACCTTTTTATTTGCGTTTGATATTGTATAAAGCCATATTGCTTCTTAAAATTCACTTGATTCAATAATAAATGTTCAGATTGATCTCAAATTTGTTGTGATAGATTGCCAGGTGCGTTGCCAAGCAATGCGTGCTGAATGCAATTATTGAAAATAAAAACGAATGATTCAAGTGTCATCAGTAAATAAAGAAGTAGATAGATTCCATTTTTATGAAAGAAGTTCGTAGAATGTTTGAACATATGAAACGATTTACACGGCCAGGAGACGCTTTAATCTATATTTCGAATATTTAAAATATTCTTCCTTCGTGCAAATCAACCTTAGTGCACGGATCACTATCTGAAAATAAAAACTAACTATTTCTACTTCATAGACAGTTGAAACATATATTTAGCTTTTCTCGACTAAGAGCTAAATTATTTCGAATACACAGCATGATAAGACAGATTTAGCTGCGATGATCTTTCCCCTAAGACCTCTTTTAAAACTATTTTTAAGTATTCATTACGTGATCTATTATGTTAATAATCTGCGTATGATATGCTTTATATAGTTATATAGCAATCTCTTTACATATCGTACACGGCCGATGAGAATAGCGTTATTTTGATTGATCAAACAGTAGACGTTCTTTTCGAAACGTATGCTTTCATCTTTTCACGCGTTCATTACACGATGTGAATGTCTTCAATATTGTGTATTACTATTATTAATAGTCAATTGTCTAAAAACGATATTTTTTACGGGCAATTAAATATCTTTTTATAGCCTTAAGTATTATCCAGAAAGTCGTACAGCCTATGAAATCATGGCTAATAAAATAAGTATGAGACTTCTTTTTCTTCTTGCTCAACGTACCTGACAATGATAACAAAACAACAAAAATTAGTTGCATAAGCAATTTGTTCTATTCTTAACATTTTTCTTTTGTACAACGGCTAAAAATATAGTTGTAATATAAAAGCTTAAGATACTCCACTTCTAACATGTTTTTTTTATACCTCCGCTTCAAAGACCAACATGCGAGCCGGTAAAATATTTCCTTTGAAATTTTTAATACTCGTATCCTGGCGTTTAGTTTCCGATATGCATACAAAAAAATAGTTTAAAACCATTCAATTACTCGTACGACTACCCTTACATACATAGTATAGGGCTGAATCAACTAGTTAAAAATAATCATAAATGGATTTCATTAGCTCATTCCGTATGAAATTTTTCACAATTGGACACATCAATTGTATTAGAAGTTATTCTTATAATAAAATGTTGGACACATTAACCTAACATAACCGTTTTATATCTCGATTGTGCCATCAACAAAAGACAAAACTAGAAAGAAATGCAATATTGCTAATGACTTGTAATCTGTTGAATATTTTATCTAAGTCATAGGAAAGTTTAGTAGTAGAGTATCGAAAACAATTGATCAACCATTCAAAAGTAGAACGGTCCAGTCAAACTTAATCCCTCTTCGATTAGTTTTGACGTTTTTTCTATAGATAATAGTAAAAAGAAAAATCTGTACGTATGACAGAATTACATATTCAGCGAGTGAAAATTTAAGTAGAAATCAAAATTGTAAAAGCAGTTCTAATTATACTGAAAATGGTATTATTTTCACAAACTTTGGCTTATCTCATAAACTAATGACTTCATTACCCAATAACTGCTATGCCAAAACGTATTGATATAGATAAAAGTTGTGTATTTCGCATTTGCCCTCCCACATTGATAACTCTGCGATATACAGAATGCCTAGCGAGACCGTAGTTCGTGTCAGAATGATTTATTATTTGATGTATTGACAACATTCATTTCCCGTCTGTTCTTTCTTGTGAATGAGTTAGAGAGAAGGAAAATCGAGTCTACCTTCTCAACCGTGTATCAACATCAAATGGCAGATCTTTCTCTTTTTTTTTGCTTTCGATAAAGGTGTTAACTAAACCGAAAAGAGAAAAATGAAAGTAAAGTACAGCTATCATTTAGAATAGCTTAAAACGATTTACTCTCGCCTGTATTTTTTTTTTGTTTACTCAGTGACATCTTTAACTAATGAGACGACTCATTACATGCCTAGTAGATTAGAAATTGTTAATGACAGAAGCACGTCTTGTCTCGCCCAAACTCCATATGGGCAGTTGAGTTTTTCTTTCCTTATTTCAATGAATATTCATTCATAATTTATTATTTTGAGTATATAAAACACTCAATTGAAAATGTATAGACAATGGTAGACAATACCTTTTTTTCTTTTCATTATTAATTAAGATGTCGTACATACTCTATGTCATTGAATAGGATGCCTAAATAATTTAGATTTTTGGAATGTCTCATCTATATATCTACATATGCATTTTAAGGACGTTACAATGATTGTGTTAGTGACAAGAGTTGTTGACTACAGCCGCTTTAAGGACAAATTTGCATATTAACTAAGAAATAATCATCTTCTTTTATGATAATCAATTTAAGTCAACGGACATATATTTTTATCGTTGGTGGTTATTTCATGGCATCTTCAAAATGTTTTTTTTCTACACACATTCAATCATGACTTTCACTAGAATAACCTCTAGATACTATCGATTACAAATAAAGCGCATGAATCTAACTAGTTGAATTTAAGTGCAGAATCGATTTTGTCACTGAGTGCGCATGTTTACGATAGATATTCATTTCGAATGAGTAGATTTACAACGATGCCACAGTTAAATATAGAATAGAATTAATCATACGTATTTGATTGTTATTATAATCAGTGTTGTTATCTGTCAGTGTAAATAAAAGGATTGAAAGTTATTGCTTGAATAATTTTATAAATGTTAGGAAACTATTTGTAGAGACCTCGATCCAAATTAGTAAAGTATCTTGAGTGTCTTCGTCAGATTTTTTTCTCTATACGCAAGCACATGTCATTGCTATTCAATAATGATTAAACATAATGCATAATTAATGTTTTCACAAGAATGATTTCATTGATGTTCTTCTCGTAATTTATTTACTATCAATTCGGTCGAACTAGTTTTTATTTTATTTATAAAAACAATTATTCTCCAAGGAAAAAGAAACAATTCTATTAAGTTGTTTTGGTTCGTATGAATCATTGGATTCTGTAACACTTGCAAATTTCGGTTCGCACAGAGAAAATAACAAATGGGAAAGTGATACATAGCTGTAATAAGAGGCGAGAAACACAAAAAAAAGAACGAGAAGCTGTGAAGACTATAATTTATGTCGTCAGAATTGTCTATGTGACATTGTTCGTGCGAGAAACATTTCCACAAAGAAAAGAAAGAAAACAAGCTATATGGATTGACATAGAACTGACAAAATAGTTTCCGCTTAATATGTAAGTAAAACAAAAAGACACTAAGGTTTATTAAATATAGTTTAAGATGATAATAAACTCCCGGTGATTACTCTTCAATGATTGGGGCTCTGGATATAATACCTAAAGATTTTAATTTAACATTCAATGAAGAAGATGAACTTAGTAAAAGTGTGGTTAATTTTCTCGGACATCGACGTCGAGATAAATTTGTTTTTCCAATACTTACAACGCTCTATGCATTCATTTTCTCTACTGGGCTTATGGGAAATCTTTGTAAGTTAGATTCTTAGTTATACATATATATAGTTTTTTGTAAGTGAAAATTTGTGTTTTTAAATTTAGGTACATGTGTTACAATATGGAAAAGTCGTGATATGCACACACCAACCAATTTCTATCTTTTTTCTCTTGCTGTTTCTGATCTACTATTAATTAGTCTTGGTAAATATTTTTCCAGTTTTGTTTTGCGCAGTCGATGAGGCCTTTCAAGGGTAATCTATATCGTTAGTTGTCATCAAATAGAAACGCCAAGTTTTTATCTTATTTCGCATAAATTATAGTGTATTTAGTGAGATAGGAAGTTATCGAAAATTACTGTCAAAAATGATAAAAGATCTTGTGATTATTGATTTCTTTTTTTCTTGCTATTTCAATGATGAAATTAATATTTGCAGTTTTTCTAGAAAAATTGAATGATCTACATAATAATAATAGCTCAAAGACAACAAAAATTTAAATGATTTAGTTATCTATTGGAAGTTTTGGTAGAATTCTAATTGAATATTTCATTGATTTTTAGGTTTATCTGTAGAAATGTACAATATTTGTGAATCTTGGCCATGGTATAAAAAAAAACATTTTCTTAGACTAATAGCTTGTATATCGACATATATATATTTAGGATATTTGGCGAACCATTTTGTGTATTTCGTACTGTTGTTCTTGAAATTGTAACATCAGCGTCAATTTTAACAGTTCTATGTTTTACAATTGAACGTTATTTAGCGATTTGCTTTCCTATTATATCACAAAAAGTACTTGGTGGATTGAGTCGCGCACTTAAAATGATTATGATTGTTTGGTTTTTATCATTCTTATTGGCTGTGCCTTATACATTTACCGCTGGTAAATTAAAGAATTTTTGTGAAAAAAAAACAAGCCCATTAATTTTTTTCAATTAAGGCGTGTTTATTAGTGTAAAAGCTGTAGTTCGAAATCAAACTATTGAAATTCTTGATAGTCGTATATGTGCGATTCGCCCCGACTATTGGGAACCAATGTTATATTACATGGCAGTAACAACTTTTCTTGTTTTTGTTATACCAATCGTTGTTATAACTGTTCTTTATATCCTAATGGGTATTACTTTATATAAAGCGAGTCATCGAACATTGAATAATTATCAAGAAACAAAACAGGAACAATTGGTACTACGACATCGTGGTCAGCAACATTTTTGGTTACGACAAAATGCTGTTTCATCATTGAAACCGCGACCAGTGAAAAATTCGAGACGAGCAGTTTTAAAAATGTTGGGTAAAAATAAAGAAATTTGAATTTCATTGCTTTCTGAAAAGCTGCATTATTTTTATTTAGTGGCGGTTGTTATTGCATTTTTTATTTGTTGGGCACCATTTCATACACAACGTATTACAGCATTTGTTACAAGATTATTGGATAAAACTAATGAAAATATCACATCCGATGCGTCAACTAAATTTCAAGAAATACTTTTCTTTGCTTCAGGTATTTTGAATTTCGATTCAATTCGATCAGTAGTGTTTGATAAAACCTAATGGCAAACTATGTTTTTACCAAAGACATCTTTTTACGAAGCAATAAAAAGAGCATACTATTAAGTCAGTTTATCTAGAATGTTTTGAGTGATGACAATAAGCTTTTGAGACGCGACCGGATTCCAGGAGTTCAGAACTCTTCAAGAACCCTGAACCCTTCGAACTATTATCTGATAGAGATTTCGAACGCATTGCATCTGATGAAACTCTTAGAACCTTTGGAGCCCTAGCAGCTCTGGGACGTTTTCCAGATATTTATATGGATCGAGGTGAGCCATGTGTTTTCGAGAAGTGTTGACCTTTGAGGCGCCATTGAAAGCTATTAGGTTGATACAGTGTCTGAACTACCGAACTAAATGGAGTTTGAGAAACGAGCGTTGCGAACTAACTGTTAGGAGCCTTTTTTGCTATCATATGCGAGTTGAAAAGTGACAGGACGGTGTTTGTCTGAAAAGCTACGGATGAACCACACGCTAGCGCTCAGTCCATTTTTCAAAAGTGTTTTCGATGAATTCACTTTATTGCTGGCACGTGTTAGCAAGCAGCTACCAGAAAGTATCTCAGTTTCATACATTTTGCTCAGCGTCGAGATATTCCATGCACTTGCACACTCCTCATATATTTATCTTTCATTGGCTCTTGGAGTTTATTGCAGAACGTTATCTTGGATGTATCGCTAGCATTACAGAAACACCTACTCGCATGCTCACCACACACACACACACACTCAGTTCAAGAGTTCTGAAGATTGTAAGAGTTCCGAGGGTTCTAGTAGTTCTAAGAGTGCAACGGTCCTTAGAGCGATAAAATGTGAATTATTCGCGAGGCGACGCGACTTTTAGAGTTCAGGGTTCTTGAAGAGTTCTGAAATCTTAGAATCCGGCACTGCTGATGAAAAGTATTATTTCAATGTAGAATTAGCTGCCTTGGAACACATCTAATATCTTTGAAACAAATCATTTTCCTTAAAAATAGGTCGTAAACATCAGATTTTCAAGTATACAAAAATATTCAAGTTCGACTTGAACTCGACTCATTGTTAAAACGTCAAATTATTAATGAATGCAATTCAATAGAAATTAGTTAGTTTGACCCTGTCGTCTATTCATAGTGAAATCACTGAAACAAAATCTAATCGTATTAGCTTTATTATCTCCGTCTACATGAGCTATTTCTGTGTTTTAATCCGAAACCAATTCTAATAGATTAGTGCCAGAAGACAAGAAGATTAAATATTCATGTGTTTCATTATTTTGAAGCACGATTTACTGTTGTTATTTTCACAGTCACATTTCCATTGGTTGATAGAGGGCAACATGTCATAGAATTAGTTCTAAGAAAAGTCAAAGAAGTATTATAAGGACATAATCACGTAAAGTGAAAACTTTTTTTTGCATAGGTTAATATGATTCATCATCTGCTACATCGAAAATCTAGTCCATGAAGATCAAAATTTCATGAAACTGACTGTAGTCTCAGTGTCAGTATTTTAACCAATGCTAATAATGACACTATCCTATCTAAACTTTAATAAGCTATGCTAATTGGGAAACATGAACTGCAGCAATAAAACATATCTATTATTTCAAAATTTTCTTATAATTAGTAATAGAGAGCTCATTCATTGATCGAACAACAAGCCTAATAATTCATTCTTTAAGAACATCTAGCGTATCATAATCAATTTTCCTACTTCACTTAATTATTTTTTTCAGACAAAAAACATATTTTTAATAAAATTATTTTTCCGTAGGTATTTTATATTATCTGTCAGCAACTGTAAATCCCGTTCTGTACAATATAATGTCCAAACGTTATCGAAATAGTTTCAAACGAACATTATGCCGTTGGAAAGATCTGCCAGCCAAACCTTTATATCGAAATGGACGTTCTATTATTTCTAATAATCTAAATGTAGCACGTACTATTCGATCTCCGTATACAATAAATCCGTATAATCGAACCGTCTATAGAAAAAATTCATTGAATCCTTATCGTGATAATATATTTACATGTTCTGTGTCAAAATATAAATTAGTTATTGGTTCTCGTACATTTTCTAATCAAGACGCAGAAGGCGACTATCGCCGTCGTACATCATTTCGTTATCGTTTATCATTAATAGAAAAAGAAGAACGTGAAGAAGAAAAAGAAAAAATGAAATTCCAATCACAACAAAGAAAATTTTCATTAAGTTTTATTCAACAACCGAAAAAACGTCAATCAAGATTTGTTTTTACTACTAATATGCCATCATTAGCACCGCCGAATTCATCGATTAGTGATTCAAAAAATTTTGCACAATTACAGAATAACGCTCATGCTAAACATTGCCAATCATAGGGAAATCCTATATCTTTTTTTGTTAATCGACTTGTCCATGTAACGCACTGCTTCGCTGACCAAGTTTTAAAAACTTTTTTTTTCAATATAGACAGATCTAAGCGTATTTCTTGGTACAGTTTTTTGAACTGACTGTGAATTTGAACATTTTTTCTTAAAAAAATTGGGTTTTGGCATCGAAAACCCGGTTTTAAAGTCTTCAAAAATCGTATTTTCAATTTTCTAACTAAGAAATTTAAAACACAAATACAGAATTTGATTCTCTACAAAATGGCCTATTCAGTTCTTACTCTCATTCTTCAGGACAACATCTAAGCTGTTGTATAATTTCTAACTTACGATACAATTATTGAGCTCGCATTTCGATGTAGCAACTTGATTTTTTTACAGAAGGATGCATGCAGGGCAATGATCAATATATATAAACATTAAATCTTTTTAAGCATGTTAAGTGCTTCTAATTTGGTCGACAAAAAACTTGTCACAGAGTTACGTTTAGACAAGCCGTAATGTAAATATTTACGAAAATAAAGAGAGAACTTGATTGTTTTATAAAATGTAAATATTCAAGACTCGATATATGTAAATTTCGTCGTGTCAAATTAACATTGTAGCATTTAATTAGTCCGATCGTTTTCATATTAAATTAGTGGTTTTGCAATTTTCGTACAATCATTTGAGTGTCCAACTTCTCAAACATACGCTATTCATCGATGTTATGCTGTTCTATTATTATTGATGGAATGAGAATCGGATGCACAAGATTTATGCAAGTTAAGTCGATATGTGATTTATTTCTATGACGTTGAGAACACAAGCGCGGATAAAGTATCAAAGGTCATATTTTATGATATGATATTTTCTTGAATGTTTCATTGTTTTCGGAAGTGTCATATTGGCACAGAATTGCGTAGTCTTGATTTGTTTTCAAGCCTGAAGATAATACAGATGAGAACAGCTGCAGCGACCAATGTTGGCAGGGGTTCTGTTTGCTCATAGTTATGACAGTTGTCGGTACCGCTGATTATAAATAGTGGATGAGATTTAGAACAGATCGACAATATTGCGTAGATATATGCCAAACGTTTTTTTTATAAAGTTCTTGAAACAAGAGTTAGTTTCATTTGGATGGTATCTTTGATCATATATGATTCAAATTTGTGATATATAAAGATGTGAAAAGCGTTGATTGTAATAAAATGTGGATATTTCTATTTTGGAGAAAAGCGGCTTTTTATGAATCATAAAAATAATTATTGGTTTTGCCGATAATTTATATACAATCCAATGATATTTAAATGCCAATTGGTTGCATTTACCCTATGGTATCGATAGAGCTTTTGTTGTATAATTAGTATAGAATTCTCTTGAGGACTTTCGAAAGGCAAAATGTTCTTTTCTATACAGACTAATACTTCCTTGTATGACCCCCAAGAGCGGTTTGCAAATAAAGGCATAATAGATCTGAAAAGTATTTCATTGTGAAATCTAATGATTTCTTTAACTTCCGCTTCTTGAATTATGTATTTTCATGAAATGAATGCTCGAATTTTCGTTCTGTTTAGAACATTATGTAAGGTTAAAAGATTTCAAAAACACCTTTACATATTGACTTTTGCGATATGCAAGAAGCTAAACTATCCGCATCAAAACAGATAAACTTCATTCAAGTCTCTGATTCAAATAGACGTATCAAGAACATTGGCAAATATGCCTATGGCAAGTCCTAAAACGAGATATTTCATTCATTTGTAATTTATTTACGTCATGATTCTATGTGCTATTAACTACCTAAGAGAATGAATTGAAGGTTTCATATTGACAAATAGCCATGGTTTGTAAACATTTCCCTCTTTATTTACTGTGCTACTGAAATTATAATTGCACAGATCAACCGACGGAATCTTCTAATTATGTTCGTGTTGAAAACCAATTTTTCTCTACAGTATTCTTCTCATTCATCATGGGAACCCTCATCAAATTGTTCTCTATTGATGTACGATGGCAGTTCAACTAGCACTAACAAAATTTGTCGCTCGTCGATGATACCTTGTATTGATTATCGTGCCAGAACTAAAATTAGCCATTGTGTACCTGTTAGTTTTCGTTCAATATTAGAATTATGTGCGGGGTATATGCGCATCAACTACATCTGTTTGTAGTCAAAACAGGATGTCTTTCACAATCGTTCATCAAATAGACTTCGTACAATATAACTTTTTATGTACAAAACAACGAGTTTTATATTCAAAATGTAACGAAATTACTAAACAATAAAATTTCAGTAAGTACAATGGCAGCGACATTAATCACATATTCCAGTGAGCAAGTCATAATTTATTTTTGTCTATACATTGTTGTTTGTTGTAAAACATTTGAGCAACACATAATTGTGACAGTCTACATTCAATCAGTTTTTTTCTCTGAACAATATTTTAACTGTTTCATGAGTTGATGCACGCTTATTAATAATTCTTCTAAGAGTTAATGATGCATCGATGGTGGGTGAGCCGCATGATTTACACATCTGCATACGAATATATTTTATAATAATAACATATTTATTCAAATACCAACAAAAGTATTTCTTTCCATTATGGTTTTTTTTGTCATTGTCATTCTTCGTCGCTGGTAGTGTTAATTGAAGCCAAACCTTCGTTTCTGCTTATTTGACATCATTTCCATTCATTTCTTTCGTACCATGATTGCGTTTATCTATTATATCACAACACCTAAGCATTAGAGGCTAGAGTCATACGCATAAAACACAACAGCAATTGAGAATTAATTATTAATATACTATTTTATTTGAAATAAAAATAAATTTTATATCATAATATTATACCATCTGTATTGTTTTATTTGAAAATCTAAAAAGAAATACGAAAGCTAATTTCTTTCTACATAAAATACACTAAGATGAAACTCCAAGACTCTCTCTCCTCTCATTTATATAGTAATCACCTGGATTTCGCTCAATTAAAAGATCATTTCTATTTCTATCTCATATCTTCTTGTCATGGTTATTTTCATTTTCAATTCTATATTTTTTTCTCTTTTGTTGTTTCTCTATTTCTGTTAGTCATCCTGGGGAGAATGATATGCACCCTTGAAAATAAGCCATCTTTTTTAAATGTTTATGTAACGGTCTTCCCAGGAGAATGATTCCAATAGTAGAATCCTATCGGATTCGTGTCGGATTCATTCACTTGGATACATATTCTAAGTCCTATTTATGTTCAGAAAAGCTAACACCAACGCATTCCTATCATTTTTATGTTATTTGCCAGATGTGATCTACAAATGTTCTTTTCTCAGCACTTTTTCGACCTATGAATGCATGCTGCTATAAATAAAAGTCTACATGTAGCATCACATGTCTATGATTTTCCTTGCCTTTTCGTTGACCTATTTGAATACTTTGCACTTATATGCAATAAAATGATTGCAACTATGCATTGTATCGCACATCATATTCGCTGATTGGGAACACAATAGCAATTAAATATAGGAAACAACCGCCCGTCGATAAGTCTTTAAATAACGTTCAATTTGAAATAATTGAAAGTATCCATCGGATAAGATACTCTTGAGTTCGCACAACGTGAATTATAGTCGTTTCATAGTAAAAAATAGACAATAAGATCTTATGACTTTTACAATAGGCTATTCTTTCTAACAATCGATCGCTGCGTAAAAGTTGACATCAAATTCTTAAAATTATTTGTTTACAGTGCTTTGATAGTGGCCATGGTTTTGGTTTGAAACAACAAACCACACTGTCACTGCAATGTACGTATAATATCATTACTAAGAAACAATTAGTTAATTAGATGGTTGCTGCCATCAGTCAATGTGCGTGTATTAGAAATGTAAACATAAATGTATTTTATGTGTATCTATCTTACAATATACTCGATAAGTGGCTGATTAAATATTTTCTATTCAAGAGATATGGTTATTTGAAGGATATCGCGACGAAATAAAGATTTATTTTTCGTCTCGTTTTGATAGCCATGAAAAAAGTGACATGAAACTTGATTAGCTAATTTAAGTTTCTTCGATTGTTTGATTAGGCTTATAAATGTAATTTAACTTCTAGATTTAATACTAAGTAGAATTTTCCTATATAGGAACTAGAAGTTTAAATATTATGTATCATTATGGACTCATCAGATCAATGGTAACAATTTTGCACAGTGAAAAGTAGAAAAAAGAATTGTCTTCGCTTTATTGAATATTTAACAAATAGAAATCTTCAAAGTATCTCTTAGTTCATGTCGATTTTGACGGTAAAATCAGTTCTCTGGTTGAAAAATCTTTCCGAAATATGATCTAGAACAGTTGTTGAAGAGTATTCAGTAGTAATTAGCTTTCATCTACACATTGTGGTAGCCCGGTTAGAGATGTTAGATTACAGACGTGACATAGTGCTTTTATACATGAGAGTAATGTCGCATGTAAATACATCATCTCATTGTACGACATAAAGTGCTTTATTCTCCCAATATCCGCGTAATTGACAATAGTAGCTAAATTCTGTTCCACATAACAATTCTATAGGGATTACACAAATAGTTATTTTTTCATCAATACATACATTGACTTTCATCCGTGTTTTTATTCATGTGTCTAATGAGTGATAGAACTCTGAATCGAATATTTTTACTGACATCTTACAAAATTTTCATTACACTCTGTTGAGTAGTTGCGTAAAAATGAAATAAGTATGCCTCAGATCTGGGAACGAGTCGTTTAGGCAAAATCTAGATTGACAAATAGAAAACATTGAACGTCATGCTAATAGTCGTATTCGTTTACAATTCGAATTATTGCTGAGAAATATTTGAGAACTTTATTGATCATATACGATAAATAAATTCCTTTATTGTTAAAATTAATTTGATTGGCGATCCCAATATCAATGCAAAGTCTTTTTTTATTTATTTGTTTGTCTATTGCGTAAAGGTTAGCCAAATACCCCGATTTAACTTTTCTGA